TTTGTCGATTTGGGTCAAAATGTTCTAGGACGTTAGTTGAGCAAAGTAACTGTTTAAGTTTTTCGAATCATGAGTGTTCATCCGATCCCCAGCTGAATGGTGCTTCCTTTCGAGTTAACTGAGTCAAAGGTCGGGCGATCTTGGCGAAGTCTCTGATGAACTTGCGATAATATGAGCAAAGGCAACGAAGGCTCTAACATCACGAATCGTTAGAGGAATTGGGTAATCCTTAATTGTTCTGATTTTCTCTGGATCAGGCTCTTGGCCGTCTTCACTGACGATGTAACCAAGGTAAAGGATCTTTTTCTTGAAGAAGGTACATTTTTCAGGTTTTAGGGTGAGTCCAGCGGTTCTCAATCTATTGAAGACTAATCTGGGTCTATTTAAATGTTCATCCATTGTTTTGCTAAAGATGATGATGTCGTCGATGTAGACCAAACATGAATTATACTTGAGACCAGCGAGGCAAACGTCCATCAATCGTTTGAATGTGGCAGGGGCATTACAAAGTCCAAACGGCATCACTTTATATTCATACATCCCAAATGTAGTGACGAAAACAGTTTTGATTCGATCAGGAGGATTAACTTCCACTTGATGGTAACCACTTCGAAGGTCGAGTAAACTGAAATATCGTGCACCTTGTAAACAATCCAATGAGGTGTTAATATCTGGTATTGGGTAACGATCCTTCAACTTGACCTAGGATCTGAATTGGCTTATCATTAGCAGCTAAAGGAATCGGACCTTTGTAAGGTTGTAAAGTTAAATTTAATTGATTAACTAAATCTTAAGTAATTAAGGTCATATCTGAGCCTGTGTCAAACATTGCCTCGACTTTCAAATTATCAACTTTAATCTGTTGATGAATAAGTTTTTTCTTGAATATTGAGCAAACGGCTGAAATCGGAGGTCCCTCATCACTACTATAATCATCATCCTCAGCATCATAATCACCTTTGGTAATTGCTCTGATGTGAGGACCTTGATTACTTTGAATAACTGACTCTGATTGATTCTGATTTTCTCTTTGTTTATTCTGATTTCGCTCTCTCCAATTCTGGTCATTGTTCGAACGATGATAATTTCTATTTCCTCTTCTCCTTTGATTGTAAAATGGTTGATGATTTGATTGAGATGGGAGACTCGATTGATTGGTCATTGATTGGTTATTATTAGTTTGAGGTGCAAGAGACTGTTGATTAACTGTCGGCTGAGCTTCATAATTTGGTTGACTAATAGTCGACTGAGCTGTCAAATTCTGTTGATTTGATTGCGAAGGTTGAGTGAGTTGACTGTTGACTGGCTGAAAGCTATTAGTCTGAAGAGCTGAAATTCTGAACCTACAGTTTTCTTCACTATGACCTCGATGACCAAAAAAATTGCAGCTAATTCTGTTTGTATTATTGGTTTTTTATGGTTAAAGGTTTTATGGTTGAGCTTATTCTCTAATTGATCAAACTTTGATTGTAATTGGTCAAGAGTAGACAATAGTTTCTTTTCGATTGAATTTGCTTGATTTGATTCTAGGCTAATGACAAGGTTAGGTTTTTCTTCACAATTTGCCAGAGCTTTATCTGCTAATTTAGCGGCTGTAATTAACTCGTCTGAACTTTTTGGGTTCTGTGATGTAATTACGAATTTGATCTGGGGCAAGAATCTTTCTGAAATGAAGCTAATCAAATTTTCAGGCATTTTACTATTCATTCTGAAACAAAGTTCTTGAATTTCATAGATGAAACTTGTTGTTGGTTGACCTGGTCTCTGTTTACTATTGTGAAGCTGCTGAGAGAGGTGAGTTCGATAATCAGCTGGGCAAAGACCTACAATCATTTTTTCTCTTAAATCTTCTTACGTTTGAGGTTTTTCACTAGCACCATAAGAGCTGAAGGTGAGATTGTACCAGCGACGAGCTGAACCCTGAAGGTAAAAGGGGATAATTTTAAACATTTCCTCAGCGCTTAAACCTAAAGCTCGAGATGCTAATTCAAATTGTAGTAACCAATCAATTACATCTTCATTGTCGCCCTTAAAAGGTTCAATAGTCACATGATTTTTTAATAGGTTCGAGAGATTGACACTCATTATTGATGGATTAACTTGATTTGATTGATTTGCTTGATTTGTTTGATTTGATTGATCTGATTGATCTGATTGACTAAACTGATTATCATTGGACTCAGAATCCAAAGGTTCAGGTCTAGAAGTCATTGTAATTGAGAGATGAGAGCAAAATTAATCGCTAATTGATCAAGAGAGAAAACACTTAACAATAATCTAGATTAATTGTTTGAAGCAACTGATTTATGAACTGATAGGGAGCTTATTCAAAGTCATTAGAAGGTCACGTAGAAGTTTGATTGGGTGGTTGCTGATTGAATATTCATTAGAAGTCAAAGTTGAAACAATGGAGAGAGAGAGAGGATATACAAGAAGTTCACCAAAATAAAGTCTTCACTGACTCGCATAGGTGATAGGTTAGTCTCGTGTCTTCACTGACAACGGTAGACAATAAACGAGTCTTCACTGACTCAAGTTAGTAAGATTAAAAGCCTTCACTGGCTCTAAAATGGCTTCTAGTTTATCTCTCTCCACGAAAGGTTATCAATAGTCAAGAATCAATCGATTCAGATGAGATGAATTTAATGGATAAGTTGTAGAAATGAAAGTAACTATTTGCACTCAGTTATGTTAGAATAGGACAGATTGGGTAAACGCTGAATGAATCTTCAGTTCGAGTTAATGAAACTTGATCAAATAATCTAAAGTTTTGTTGTAGGGTTAAAGGTAATAGAGCTTATGAGTCTTCACTGACTCAAGACTCCAGTCAATGGTTTACTTTTCGAGCGAAGTAAATGAGATAACTTAGACTTCACTGTCTCATGTTTACATCAAAAGGGAAAAAGATTGTTCATGTTTATTCACAAACTGACCTGATATCCTCGACATGATGAGCAATTTTTGACAATGGAAAGGAAACGGTTGTCGTCTTTGACTTACTTTTTCCGATTTAGACAATTCGCTATCTGGATATCTTATTGATGGTAGTAATATACCTGGATTAATTTTATTTATTCAAATGAAAGAGGGGGAAAAAAGGTTAAAACAAATTGTCCAAAGCGTATTCAAAGTTGTCCAAAGAGTGTTAAGAATCGTCCAGAATTACTCCAGAGTTCGAGCGGAAACAATATGATTATTGCTATTAATTGTTGAGGTTTTTTTTCACAATGAATGTTTATCTAATTGAATAACAATTAAATAACCAAGTATTATCACAACCACAAATTTGTCACAAGTTTCGGCTTAAACGAGCCCTCACACTGGCCACCAAGTTGTTGAGTAACTAATTGGACAATTAATTTTAGGAACAATTTATAAGTTTTTGGTAATTTTTAATTAGAAATTAACTATTACTGGTCGATTACCAGTTTTCTACTAACTATCTTTTTCATTACATTTAATTAATACAAGTTATATCGTAAGATATAACCATGGGAACAGATAATTTTCAAGAGTTTTGTTTATTGCAAAAGTATCAGGATCTCTACGAGTGATCAAGATTACTTCATTACATGGGCCAACAATACCAATTGATGATAAAGCACACCAAGTATGGACACTCACTGGATGTGCTACTCGCTCGCTTAAAAAGGTTGGCCTTTCTTTCCGCCACCGCCTATTATTTTGATGGTTCTCGATACCGGAAAAACAAAACATCTTCTCGTCAGAGAACCAGATTTTTCGGGAATCGATGTTGGAAGCATGGAAATAGGTACAAAAACCTAATCTCCTATTTTTATGAGCTGCTGTCAATTTTTGTACCTCAACGGGCTTATAAGCTTTGTACCCATTTTTCTACAAAACTTTCAGCACCTTATTTTTGATATTTTGCGATTTGCCGGATTGAAAGCTCATCATCCTCTTCAATTATTGAAATTATTTCCCGCTCACAAATTGACTCCCTATTTGACTAAAACTATTGATTGACAATTCAGATGAAGTTAATTGATTAAAATTTTGTTAAATTGAATAAAAAATGAATTAATAATAATAATATTTTGATACAGACTAATCATTCATTCATCTTCTAACAGAGATGCAAAGAAAATTTACAGACAATTGTAATCTAATAATAGTTAACCAGCAGGATTTTTTTGTAAAGAAATCAGATTAATTTCTTGTGATCTTTATCTCAAAAAACAATAATACTAAAATCAATTATTAAACAACTCACATGCTGGTCATCAATCGATATTAATATTACAGCCACAGAAATTGAGTTCGGAACAAAAATTAAATCACTCGCGCACACAATCAATTCAATCGTTAATCTATCAATTTATAAGATTGAAAAACATTGTGCCCTCCATAAGATGATCAAATTGATCACAGTTTAATCACTCAATGTGCAAAATGAAATAAATTTTGTTCCAAACTCAATTTCTGTGGCTGTATAACCATGATCAACAAAGGATTATAATTTATCAATTAGAATCGTTTGGAAATATCATATAAGTTCAATTCGAAATTAAGACATGGAAGGTTCGAATTGTATCAATAATACAATCATTGTCTCAAGCTTTTTATTTCCATCTAAACGTATATTCTCATCTCTATCTAAATGGTTTTAATAGTGACCATTGGAATCATTGGCTCAATAGATTCGCTTCTTATGTCCCTTGATTGGTATGAGTTTATAACTACCTCGGAAGGAATAACGTTGCGTTCAGTAAGAAGACTGGTTTTGCATCTTATATTGAATCTACGAATAGTTTCGGTATTCGCTTTGAATTGGTCTGATTTCCGTGATTACATTCGCTACCTAAGTAATCTCGATCTCGATGCAAATAACGATTCTGTTGGAATGATAAAGCGAAAACGTCGAGTTAAATATATCATTCTGATCATATCTATACTAATTTATAAATTTCTGTCTTTATTGGTCCTTAAATATTTCGTTAATAATTTTATGAGTACAATTTGGGTTGTTGAATATTTACTTCATTTTTATTACATTGTTGGTGATTATTTCTGGTTAAACATAATAATTGATTCTTGTATCTGTTTAGAGACCGCTTTTGATTCGATAAATACGAATATTAAAATGTTCCCTCGTCATGAAACGCCGATAGTCAAGCTGCAGAAATTAAAAAAGATTCGATTAGATTATAGTTACGCGGTTTTAGCCTCTAAGTCAATCGAAAAGTTCTCGCGATATTATATAACCATAACATATATTAACTTCGGACTGTTTGGAATCGTAAATACTTTAGATGCTTTTGGTCATGGAAGCTTAGCTGCCGTTTGGATTCTCTTCATGGTTGCTGATTTTATCACACTCATCTTTATAACAGTTCGACTCGTTTCCACTAATCAGGTCTCGATTGATGGATTAGAGGATTTATACGATATCTCTTTCTCATTAACAACTCAACAGGCACAACACGAGGTAAGAGTCTCTTGGTAATTATACGAATTCTTATAATTTTTTATTCTATTCACAACTAGAACGACATTTTCATTAACCGAATGCTTTGGAAAAATGTTGGATTTACCTTTGGAAATTTATTCATAATCAACACTAATTTTATCACTTCAATGTTCACATTGGCACTAACACTGGTTATTACTCTCGCTAATTTCCTCTATTAATGAGTTTAAAATGAAAACTATTGATCGACAATAACAATAAAGTAATTGATTAAAATGTTTGTAGAAAACCACCTGATTGGTTTTCGTGTTAAATTGAATAAAAAAATGAGTTAATAATATTTAGACACAAACTAATCACTCATTTATCTTATTAAAGAGATCCAATGACAATTTAATCTGATTTTGCCAAATGATCAGCAGGATCTTCTCTTTGGAAATTAAATTAATTTCTTGTAATCTTCATTTCGTACAACGATAATACTAAGATCAATCATAGATCACAATCAATGATAAAATAAATAAACTTCTATTCAGTTCATCATAGTGGTTGGTAAAGTTTCTTAGTGGACTGGAGATTGACTACGATTTCTATGTTTCGATGAACAGTTTTCGATCCATCATGATGATCAAATCATGATCAATCAATGTCCTTACGGGATTCACACAATGAGTATTCTATGCGTTAATTGGGCTCAGTCCATTGGTTGTTTCTTTATTAGCCACTTTACTCGAAAACCTTTACTCGTACTAGATGAGTAAATAGAATTTCGGACAGAGCTAAACAAGAATAGAAATTAACTTATTAACTAACTAGAAGATAACAAAATTCAATTGAAAATTGATTGTCAATTTACTTTCGAATAATCGTCGATTTTTGTCTCTAGTTTTTTTCTTTCGACAAAACATCGATTATGAGGAAGGAATTGATTAAAGATCGATTATTTAAACAATCGGTTAGCATTTAAGCGTTTTTTTAATCAGATTAATTTTATTGAATTTCAATTTAAATGCCCTTCCAATATTGTTTTGTGTTTTGAGATAATTTGGGTGTTCTCATCAGCGTTACTTTGAGTTCATTTCATTCGAAATAGAGATCAACCCAATCTCATGAAATCGACTCTGAAAAGGTAAATAACTAAAATGATTTTAACTTTTCGAAAAATAAATTTATCCTTTTTGTTTTTATTTCAAGTGACAACAGAAAATTAATAATAACAAACATTTAATTTCTTTGCCATGGATCTTCACCAGGAAACATTGACACCAAATCGAAGAGTATCACTTATTAGTTCTGTTTTTGTTCCGACTTCAAATGTTTCTACAAATTCACCATCAACATCAGATAATCAATTATCTTTTATTTCTAAAGCCCAGCCTGGTATTGGCCTCTCTTCGTCATCACTGTCTACACCCGTTTCTCCAATGGCGCTCGATAGCGCAAAACCAACTGATTCTCAATCATCTTCAACGTTAATTGTCGATCCTGGTTTACAGTTACAGTGTGACAAGTGTGAACACTTGCTCGAATCAAATAAGAGTCTCCTCAACAAGTTAAGTGAATTGGAAAGTAAACATGACGATGAGATAAAAGAAATGAGAGACAAGATAGAAAAAGAATTTGACCAAAAGCTATTGGAACATCGAGCTAATCTGGAAACTGTTACAAAAGAAGAGGAATTAAGAATGAAACTTGTAAAATCCAATGAAGAGAATATCTCGTTGAAACAAGAGAATATAAAACTTCTCAAAAACTACACAATACAAGTCAAAATACAAATCGACAAGTACAATGATCTGAAGGAGTTATACGACAAAAAGATGGAAACAGCACCAATCACCGATTTGGAAACCCTGAAGATCGTTCACAACAAGCAGATGAAGGAATTGGAAGAAAAATTAAAAAAAGAATATGAAAAAAAGCTATTGGACCAACGAGTTGGTTTGGAGAAAAAGGCAAAATCTAAATTGGACCAACTAAGAAAAGAATTGACGAAATTTTTGGATATTTCCATAGACACCAAAGCACAACCAGAAAAGGAAATTGACAAAGATGAAGAGGTGATGATTATCAATGAAAGTTTCGCATCGCAATCAAACAAAAAGAAGAAAAAAAACAATCCTACTGTTCCTGATTGTGAACCCGCTCAGAAGAAACAAAAATCATCGATTCCATCTATTCAATCTTACACTTCTACCGATGGGCCAAGAGGAAGTTTACCATCAATTGGAAGAGAATTGGTTGTATCAAATGATAAACTTGGTTACACCGAAATACCCGAAAACCATTCTGCAGTTAGAATCTGTTCAATATGTCGATGGGTGGAAAAAATCTGCTATTCCAATTATGCAAAGCATTTCCTTGACAATCATAGTTCAGTTTTCTCAGGGAAAATGTCCTCCTTATTCAAAGAGCTCATTCTGGATGAAGAAATTTTCTTTTCATTGAAAAACGAATACGAAAGAAATCAAATTTCTGATGAGCTGATCAACCTTAACTGCTACAGAATATCAAAAGGCTCCCTGATTGTTAGACTCTGTTCAATTTGCAAATATGTAGAACTTGCTAGAAAAACATCACAATCAGTACATTTAAAAGAACACCAAGATGAATTAGATATAGCAGGAACTGTAGATTCAATTTATGAAATAGTAGTGATGAAGGAAAGTAAGTATCAACAGTTGAAATCCAAAAGAAAACGGAAATATTAATTTCGAGGAGAAATAACAGTCCAGTTCGCGAACTGCATTCTCGTAATAACGATGGTTTTTTCGTGACATTTGTTCAATTGCCCAATTGATGTGCCAACCAGTTCAGACAGAATATTTGAAGTTGTAATTTAAATAACACTGATCGACCATCTTCCTTTGGTGTGTTTATATTTGACTGATAAAGAATTGAAGAGTAATAACTTGTGTAGAGAGCAAAATGTTTAAAACAATCAAATTGATCCTAATGACGGGAAAAAGTTACAACCAATTCTCATCGATCTATTTGAGTCAATAAATCAACCGGAATCATTTTAATGGGTATAAAAGGATCTCCTTGGACAGAGCTGAGGAAAATAAAAGTGAATTTATTATCTAAAGTTTCATACATTTTGTTTTATCAACTAATTAAATAGACTAATTAAAAGATAGCAACATTAAATTGAAAAACGATTGTCAATTTACTTGCGATTGGTCGTCTATATTTGTCTCTTTCTTTGTCAAATATTTTTCTTGCGACAAAACATCGATATCGAAGGAATTGATTGAGAGCCGATTATTAGGATATCTTTAAATAGGCCAGCATTTAAGCGTTTAATTAGATTAATTTTATTGAATTTAAACTTCGAATATCATTTTAATTTTGTTCTTAATAATAACAAACATTTACCTTTTTTACCATGGATCTTCACCAGGAATCAACACCGTTTCTTTCATCACTCAAACAGGAAAAATTGTCACCAAATCGACGAGTGACGCTTGTTAACTATTCCATTGTTCCGACTTCAAATGCTTCTACAAATTCAATACAAATATCACCAGGTAATAAACTTTCTCGACTTTACTGGATTATCTACCTGTTTTTAGATTTAAGTTTGATAATCAACGTTAGAGTGAGAGTTATTTCTGTTAAGTTCTATATTTCTTATTAAAAACTATTGATCGACAATAACAATAAAGTAATTGATTAAAATGTTTGTAGAAAACCACCTGATTTGTTTTCACGTTAAATTGAATAAAAAAAATAAGTTTATAATATTTAGATACAAACTAATCATTCATTTATCATATAAAAGAGATCCAATGACAATTTAATCTGACTGTGCCAAATGATTAGCAGGACTTTTCTCTAAAGAAATCAAATTAATTTCTAGTAATCTTACTTTCAACAACAATAATATGAAGATCAATCAATAAATAACTCACATGCTGGCCATCAATCGATATTCTATAATAGCCATGATCAGGAAAAAATTATTTTAAAGTTAATTCGTTTTAAAATATCATATTAGTTAAATTCGAAAGCAGTTTAAACATGGAAGGTACTAATGGCTCGAATTGTATCAATAACTCAATCATTGTCTCAAGCTTTTTATTTCCATCTAAACGTATATTCTCATCTCTACCTAAATGGTTCTTAGTAGTGACCATTGGAATCATGGGCTCAATGCAATCGCTTTTTCTATCCCTTGATTGGTACGAGTTTATAACTGCCTCGGAAGGAGTAACGTTGCGTTCAGTGCGAAGACTAATTGTGCATCTTAACTTGAATTTACAAATAGCTGCTGTTTTCGCTTTAAATTGGTCCGATTTTCGTGATTACATTCGCTACCTAAGTAATCTCGATCTCGATACAAATACTGATTCTGTTGGAACGATAAAGCGAAAACGTCGAGTTAAATATACCATTCTGATCATATCGTTTCTCTCTTATACAGTTCTGACAATATTGTTCATGAAACATCTCGCTCATAATATTATTAGCTTAATTTGGGTTGTTAAATGTTTACTTTATTTTTGCTACTTTATTGGCGAGTATTTCTGGTTAAACATAGTAATTGATTCTTGCATCTGTTTAGAGTCCGCTTTTGATTCGATAAATACGAATATTAAAATGTTCCCTCGTCATGAAACGCCGATAATCAAGCTGCAGAAATTAAAAAAGATTCGTTCAGATTATAGTTCCGCTGTTTTAGCTTCTAAGTCAATCGAAAAGTTCTCGCGATATTATATAACCCTAACATATATTGACTACGGATTGTTTGGAGTCGTAAATGCTTTAGATGCTTTCAGTCATTCTTCAAGCACAATTTGGATTCTCTTCATGGTGGCTGATTTTATCACACTCATCTTTATAACAGTTCGACTCGTTTCCACTAATCAGGTCTCGATTGATGGATTAGAGGATTTATACGATATCTCTTTCTCATTAACAAATCAACAGGCACAACACGAGGTAAGCGTTTCTTGGTGCTTATACGAATTCTTTTACTGTTTTTTTTCTATTTACAATTAGAACGACGCTTTCATTAACCGAATGCTTTGGAAAAATGTTGGATTTACCTTTGGAAATTTATTCATAATCAATACCAATTTTATCACTTCAATGTTCACATTAGCACTAACACTGGTTATTACTCTCGCTAATTTCCTTTACTGATAATTTTAGATCATAGTGGTTGGTAAAGTTTCTTGGTGGACTGGAGATTGACTACGATTTCTATGTTTCGATGAACCGTTTTCGACAGAAAAGATCAATTAATGTCCTTATGGGGCATTCACACAACGAGTATTCCATTCGTTTCTCGGCTCAGTCCATCGATTGTTTCTCTATAAGCCACTTCATTCGAAAATGTAAATCAGTCGGACAAAACTATCATCCATTATGATTTTTGCAATATAAAAATGTTCAGGGAAGTCCAACTAATGATTGATGATAAATACAATTGATTCAATAAAATAATTTTAATTCTAAATTTTCCTTTGGTGTAAGTTCATATTCATTTGGTAAAGAATTGAAGATTGAAGAGAGTTAGTTTAGAGAGCAAAATGTTTAAAACAATCGGTTTGATCCTAATGACGGGAAAAAATTACAATCAATTCTCATCGATCTGTTTGAGCCAATAAATAAACCGAAATCATTTTGATGGATAAAAGGATCTCCTCAATTTCATCCATTGGTCGAAAAGGTAAACAAGGAGAAACAAAGTTTTTTATTGCACCAGATGAGCAAAAAGAACTTCTTGGACAGAGCTGAACAAGAATTGAAATTAACTGAAAGTTGATCGACTAAACAAACTTACTAACTAATTAGAAGATAACAAAATTCAATTTACTTTCGATTAATCGTCGATTTTTGTCTTACTTTTCTTCGTGCGACAAAACATCGATTATGGGGAAGGAATTGATTGAAAATCGATTATTGGAACATCTTTTAATCGGTCAGCATCTAAGCGTTTTTTTAATAATAAGATTAATTTATTGAGTTTCCATTCCCTTTCAATATTGTTTTAAGATAATTTAGGTTTCTTATCAGCGTTATTTTCCTTTTGAATTGATCTCGATCCATAATAGAAATTAATCCAACCTCATGAAATCGACTCTGAAAGGTAAATAAACTAAAATGATTTTAACTTTTCGAAAAAAAATTTATTCTTTTTGTTTTTTATTTCAAGTGACAACAGACAATAAATTATAACAAACATTTGATTTCTTTACCATGGATCTTGGCCAGGAATCAACACCGTTTCTTTCATCAATCAAACAGGAAAAATTGTCACCAAATCGACGAGTGTCACTTATTAATTCTGTTTTTGTTCCGACTTCAAATGTTTCTACAAATTCACCATCAACATCAGATAATCAATTATCTTCTATTTCTAAAGCCCAGCCTGGTATTGGCCTCTCTTCGTCATCACTGTCTACACCCGTTTCTCCAATGGCGCTCGATAGCGCAAAACCAACTGATTCTCAATCATCTTCAACGTTAATTGTCGATCCTGGTTTACAGTTACAGTGTGACAAGTGTGAACACTTGCTCGAATCAAATAAGAGTCTCCTCAACAAGTTAAGTGAATTGGAAAGTAAACATGACGAGGAGATAAAAGAAATACATACAAGATACAAGACAGAAAAAGAATTTGACCAAAATCTATTGGAACATCGAGCTAATCTGGAAACTGTTACAAAAGAAGAGGAATTAAGATTGAAACTTGTAAAGTCCAATGAAGAGAATATCTCATTGAAACAAGAGAATATAAAACTTCTCAAAACTACACAATACAAGTCAAAATACAAATCGACAAGTACAATGAGCTAAAGGAATTATACGACAAAAAGATGGAAACATGTTCACCAATCGCCGATTTGGAAACCCTGAAGATCGTTCACAACAAGGAGATGAAAGAATTGGAAGAAAAATTAAAAAAAGAATATGAAAAAAAGCTAATGGACCAACGAGTTGATTTGGAGAAAAAGGCAAAATCTGAATTGGACCAACCAAGAAAAGAATTGACCATAGACACCGAAGCACAACCAAATTCAATCATCAGAGGTGACGAGGTGATGATTATCAATGAAATTTTCGCATCGCAATTAAACAAAAAGAAAACAAACAGTCTTTTTGGTCCGTATCGTGAACTCTCTCAGAAGAAACAAAAATTATCGATTCCATCTATTCAATCTTACGCTTCTACCGATGGGCCAAGAGGAAGTTTACCATCAATTGGAAGAGAATTGGTTGTATCAAATGATAAACTTGGTTACACCGAAATACCCGATGACCATTCTGCAGTTAGAATCTGTTCAATATGTCGATGGGTGGAAAAAATCTGCTATTCCAATTATGCAAAGCATTTCCTTGACAATCATAGTTCAGTTTTCTCAGGGAAAATGTCCTCCCTATTCAAAGAGCTCATTATGGATGATGAAATTTACTTTTCTTTGAAACATAAATACCGGAGAAATCAAATTTCTGATGAGCTGATCAACCTTAACTGCTACAGAATATCAAAAGGCTCCCTGATTGTTAGACTCTGTTCAATCTGCAAACATGTAGAACTTGCTAGAATAACATCATATTCAGTACATTTAAAAGAACACCAAGATGAATTAGAGATAACAGGAACTGTAGATTCAATTTATAAAATAGTAGTGATGAAGAAGAGTAAATATCGACAGCTGAAATCCAAAAGAAAACGGAAATATTGATTCCAAGGAGAAATTACTGCCCATTTCGTGAACCGCATTCTCGATATAACGATGGTTTTTTCGTGACATTTACAAAGCAGTTCTGTCCAAGTTTCCAATTGATGTGCCAACCAGTTCAGACTGCACTATTGCAGATATAATTTAAATAGCACTGATCTCCATCTTCTTTGACAATCATTTTGATCCAATTGATCCTAATGACGGGAAAAAGTTACAACCAATTCTCATCGATCTGTTTGAGCCAATAAATCAACCTGAATCACTTTAATGGGTATATTGGGGATCTCCTTGGACAGAGCTAAGGCAAAATAAAGTTAATTTACTAACTTAAAGTTTGACATTTTGTTTTATCAACTAAATAAACTAATTAAAAAATTAACTAAAAGATAACAACATTCAATTGAAAAACGATTGTCAATTTACTATATTTCGATATTTGTCTATTTCTTAGTCTAATATTTTTCTTTCGACAAAACATCGATTATGGCGAAGAATCGATTGAGAACCGATTATTGGGATATCTTAATATCGGTCGGCATTTAAGAGTTTTTTTGATTAGATTAATCAATTGAATTTTTTTCTCTGTGACAAATAAATTTAGTTGTTCTCATAAGCGTTATTTGGTTTTTCTATTCATCTTGTTTCATATTGAAAGCTAATAACTTAGAAATCATTTCAATCTCATCAAATCGACTCTTGAATAGTAAATTAGCTAAAATAATTTTAACCTTTCAATAAATCAATTCATTCTTTTGTTTTTTTATTTCAAGTGACAACAGACAATAAATTATAACAAACATTTGATTTCTTTACCATGGATCTTGGCCAGGAATCAACACCGTTTCTTTCATCAATCAAACAGGAAAAATTGTCACCAAATCGACGAGTGACGCTTGTTAACTATTCAATTGTTCCGACTTCAAATGTTTCTACAAATTCAATAGGAATATCATCACCATCAACATCAAACAATCAAAAAGCTGTTGCGTCTAAAGCCCAACCTGAAATTAGTCCCTCTTCACCGTCACCCGTTGCTGTGTCTAGTAAAAAGCCAACTGGTTCCCAATCATCTTCGCCAGTTTTCAATGTTGTTTCACAGTCACAGTGTGTCCGGTGTTCTCAATTATCTGATTTAAATAGGAATCTCCTCCAAAAGTTAAGCGAATCAAAATGTAAACATGACGAGGAGATGAAAGAATCAAGAAAGAAAATGGAGAAAGAATATGAACTAAAGCTATTGGAACACCGAACTAATCTGGAAACTGTTAAAAAAGAAGCAGAAAAGAAATTGGACTCACTTAATTTGGAATTAAGATTACAACTTGTAAAATCCAAGGAAGAGAATATCTCATTGCAACAAGAGAATTTAAAAATCATTAAAAACTCAGTACAAGCCGAGAAGTACAATGAGCTAAAGGAATTATACGACAAAAAGATGGAAACATGTTCACCAATCACCGATTTGGAAACCCTGAAGATCGTTCACAACAAGGAGATGAAAGAATTGGAAGAAAAATTAAAAAAAGAATATGAAAAAAAGCTAATGGACAAGCGATTTGATTTGGAGACAAAGGCAAAATCTAAATTGGACCAACTAAGAAAAGAACTGACGAAATTTTTGGATATTTCCATAGACACCAAAGCACAACCAGGAAAGGAAATTGACAAAGATGAAGAGGTGATGATTATCAATGAAAGTTTAGCATCGCAAACAAACAAAAAGAAGAAGAAAAACAGTTCTATTGGTCCTGATTGTGGACCCACTCAAAAGAAGCAAAAATTATCATCTTCATCTAATCAATCTCACGCTTCTACCGCTGTGCCAAGAGGAAGTTTACCATTAATTGAAAGAGAATTGGTTGAATCAAATGATAAACTTGGTTACACCGAAATACCTGATAACCATTCTGCTGTTAGAATCTGTTCAATATGTCGATGGGTGGAAAGAATCTGTCATTCCAACTACCCAAAGCACTTCCTTGATAGCCATAGGTCAGTTTTTTCAGAAGGAGAGGCAATATTGAGATCTCTATTCAAAGAGCTTATTCTAGACGATAAAATTTACCATAAGTTGAGAGATAAAAACAAAAGAGATCAAATTTCTGATGAACAAATCCAATTGAGCTGCTACAAAATATCGAAAAACTCTCTGATCGTTAAAATCTGTTCCGTTTGCCAATTTATAGAACCTGCTGGAAGATACACTAATATTTCGCATTTCAAGAATCATAAAGAAGCTGTGCAGATAGAAGGAGATGCAAATTCACTTTACAAAACAGTAGTGATGAAAAAGAGTAAGTTTGAACAATTAAAATCCGAAGGAAAATGGAAAAGTTAATTTCAAGGATAAACTATACTGTAACTCGTGTCCAGTTCGCAAAATGTATTCATTTAAAAACGGTGATATTTTCCGGAAATATTCGAGCCTTGTGTTTACCGTCGAGATACTCGAACTTGTCCAAATGCGCTTTTTTGGTCCGACATTTTCTGAATAACGGCTGCTTTTTCTGGATATTTACGACGTAGGGCCAACATTTGTCCAAAATAAATTCGATCAGCTCCTAATTCACCGGCATGATTAACACGGATAATTCTATCATACATTTGACTACGAACTCTTCCTAAATATCCTGCCATTGTTACGATAATTTAAACCATGTAAAAATCTATGTACACAGAAATATTAATACAAAATATTCGAACATTTTATCTTAATCACATTGATTGTCAATCTTTCTTTTTGGTGTGTGTTTGTCGAAAAGGTAAACAAAGATGAGCAAAGTTCCTTGTGTAAGGTTTAAGCAAATACACTTAAAAAGGTAAATTAAGAGAAAAAAGATTTTGAATTTTCCATTAATTAATCACTGGTTTTTGTTTTTTCTTAGATTAAGTGACAATCAGAAATCCGTGGTTGTAACAGTTTACTTTTTCTCACGGATTGTCCTTAGGAAATGACTCAGTTGTCCCTGTTGCCGCCACTAATTGATTTCTTTTTAATTTTATCCACAATTAGTCCATTATAATCCATTTTCATTGACCGAATGCTTTGGAAAAATGTTGGATTAACCTTTGGAAATTTATTTATAATCAATACCAATTTTATCACTTCAATGTTCACGTTATCACTAACACTGATCATTACTTTGGACAGAAAAGATCAATTAATGTCCTTACGGGACATTAACACAACGAGTAGTCCATTCGTTTGGGCTCAGCCCATCGGTCGTTTCTCTACAAGCCACTCGAAATATATATCAGTCTGACAAATTATTTAAATTTATTCATTATGATTTTCGTGATATAAAAATGTTCAGGGAAGTTCAACCAATGATTAATTCAATAAAATGATTTTAAAAATTTGATAATTTTTCTTTGGAGTGTGTTTATATTTGGCTAATGAAGAATTGAAGAGAAATAACTTGTTTAGAGAGAAAAGTTACTATTAATTCTGATTGATCTGTTCGAGCCAATAAACCAACCGGGATCACTCAAACAGGTATAAAAGGTCCATTGGTCTAAAAGATAAACAAGGATGAGTAAAGTTTTTTATTGTACAAGATGAGTAAAAAGAACTTCTTGTACTGAGCTAAAGAAGAATACAAATTAACATGACTACCTGAAAGTTGGTCGGTTTTACTAAACAAACTTATTAACTATTAATTTACTTGCGATTAATAGTCGATTTTTGGCCTTTACTTTTTCATTCGCCAAAACATCGATTATGGCGAAGAAATTGATTGAAAATCGATTATTGGACAGTTTTTAATCGGTCAGCGTTTAAGCGTTTTTTTAATTTGATTAATTTAATTGGAGGTCAACTTAAATGCCCGTTCAATATTGCTTTCTAGTTGAGACAATTTAGGTTTTCATCAGCGTTATTTTCCCATTGAATTCATCTCGTTCCAAATTGGAAATCAATCCAATCTCATGAAATCGACTCTGAAAAGGTAAATAAACTAAAATGATTTCAAATCTTCGATAAATTAATTCATTATTTTTGTTTTTTCATTTCAAGTGACAAAAGAAAATTAATAATAACAAACATTTACTTTCTTTACGATGGATCTTCACCAGGAATCAACACCGTTTCTTTCATCACTCAAACAGGAAAAATTGTCACCAAATCGACGAGTGTCGCTTGTTAATTCTCTCATTATTTCAACTTCAAATGCTTCTACAAACTCAAAAGAAATATCGACTTCATCATCATCAGATAATCAATTATCTTCTATTTCTGAAGCCCAACCTGATATTTGCCTCTTCTCATCATCACTGTCTACACCCGTTTCTCCAATAGCACTCGCTTGTGCAAAACCAACTGATTCTCAACCATCTTCCTCTTCAATTGTCGATTTTGGTTTACAGTTACAGTGTGACAAGTGTGAATTATTGCTCGAATTAAATAAGAGTCTTCTCAACAAGTTAAGTGAATTGGAAAGTAAACATGACGATGAGATAAAAGAAATGAGAGACAAGATAGAAAAAGAATGCGACCAAAAGCTATTGGAACATCGAGCATCTAATCTAGAGCCTGTTACAAAAGAAGAGGAATTAAGATTGAAACTTGTAAAGTCCAATGAAGAGAATATCTCATTGAAACAAGAAAATATAAAACTTCTCAAAAACTACACAATACAAGTCAAAATACAAATCGACAAGTACAATGAGCTAAAGGAGTTATACGACAGAAAGATGGAAACCCTGAAGATCGTTCACAACAAGGAGATGAAAGAATTGGAAGAAAAATTAAAAAAAGAATATGAAAAAAAGCTATTGGACCAACGAGTTGATTTGGAGAAAAAGGCAAAATCTAAATTGGACCAGCTAAGAAAAGAATTGACGAAATTTTTGGATATTTCCATAGACACCAAAGCACAACCAGAAAAGGAAATTGACAAAGATGAAGAGGTGATGATTATCAATGAAAGTTTTGCATCGCAATTAAACAGAAAGAAGGAAACAAACAATCCAACTGTTCCGGATTGTGAACCCGCTCAAAAGAAGCGAAAATTATCATCTTCATCTAGTCAATCTCAAGATTCTACCGATGGGCCAAGAGGAAGTTTATTATCAATTGAAAGAGAACTGATTGAATCAAATGATAAACTTGGTTACACCGAAATACCTGATAACCATTCTGCTGTTAGAATCTGTTCAATATGTCGATGGGTGGAAAGAATCTCTCATGCCAATTACTCAAGGCACTTTTTTGAAAAGCATAGTTCAGTTTCTTCAAAAGGAGAGACAATATTAGAATCTCGATTCCAAGAGCTTATTCTAGACGATAAAATGTACTTTAAATTGAGAGATAAAAACAAAAGAGTACAAATTTCTGATGAACAAATCAAATTGAGCTGCTACAAAATATCGAAAAACTCTCTGATCGTTAAAATCTGTTCCGTTTGCCAATCTATAGAACCTGCTAGAAGACACACTAATATTTCCCATTTCAATAAGCATAAAGATGCATTGCAGATAGAAGGAGATGCAAATTCACTTTACCGAACAGTAGTTATGAAAAAAAAGAAGTTTGAACAGTTAAAATCCGAAGGAAAATGGATAAGTTATAAATAATTTCAAAGATAAACTATACTGTGATTAGTGTTTAGTTCGCAAAATGTATTCTCTTAAAAACGGTGGTATTTTCAGGAGATACTCGAACTTGTCCAAATGAGTATTTTCTTATCCCACATTTTCTGAATAAGCCAGGCAGCCTTTTCTGGATATTTACGACATTTGTCCAAGGGCCAACATTTGTCCAAAACGATTTCGATCAGCTCCTAATTCACCGGCATGATTAACACGGATAATTCTATCATACATTTGACTACGAATGTCATCCATTGGTGATTAAGGTAAACAAAGATGAGCGAAATTCCCTAAAGATTGGCCTGCAAGTTTACATGAGACACAAATCACCTTGGAAACATCGGACACTCTTATGATCACATTAATTAACGACCCAGAGATTTTCACTTAATTACATCAAGTGATTTTCAATTGTAACATAAATGAATCTCCAATCACAATTAACAGCCAGATAATGATGAGACTATTTAGAAGCATCTTTTAATCACTATCACAACAAATTGATTTTCTATGTTATCACTAAAGAAGTGAAGAGTTTTCCTTATTAATTTCGATGATTCACAATTAAGAAAACTTGACAAAAAGATTAATCAAAAACATCGACCAACCATAAGATAAATTCAAAAGAGTCACAGGTTAACAGTTTTTGTCTCTGATCAAAATTATCTTTGATTCGATCAATCAAAACCATCGATTTTCAGTCTTTTTTCTTTCTTTTCATCGATCATGATTCATGATTGTCTCATAACCAATTAAAAGATTTTCCAATGATCATTAATCGATTTTATGAACAAATCAACTTAATTGTTTATAGAAAAGCCGAGAGTCAAAAGGTAAATAGAATTTTCATTTTGTTCTTTTTGTAGAAAATTTAATAATTCGATCTTCCAATAAATTCTGTTATTCTTTTCTATTCATCTTCCCATTGACTTCAATCTTTTTTTGGTTATTCTTTTTGTTAATTACTAATTATCTTTAATTTGTGGTCTTTTATTTGTATTTCTCTTACGCTTTAGATGTATTTTTTTTCAAAATTGAAAGTAACTTTCAAACGGTGAACATTTTCTAAGCCTTGTTCCTTGTGTAAGGTTTAAGCAAAAACACTTAAAAAGGTAAATTAAGAGAAAAAAGATGTTAAATTTTCCATTAATTAATCACTGGTTTTTGTTTTTTCTTAGATTAAGTGACAATCAGAAATCCGTGGTTGTAACAGTTTACTTTTTCTCATGGATTGTCCTTAGGAAATGACTCAGTTGTCCCTGTTACCGCCACTAATTGATGATTGTGTTAATTTATCTTCTACTTTAGTGTAAATTGCAGCAATAACATCATCAGACTTGATAAATCATAGTAATATTTGTAATATGTCTAAAACTCAACACTGTGTTGGCACCTCTTCATCATCTAGTGAATCTGCGATTAGAAGTACTCAATCCGATTCGCAATCTTGCTCGTCATCAGTGGGCAATCGTCTTGTCAGGTTTCGATGTTCTCAGTGTTCACATTCGTTTGAATCAAATAAGAGTCTTCTCCAAAAGTTAAGCGAATCAAAATGTAAACATGACGAGGAGATGAAAGAAACAAGAAAACAAATGGAGAAAGAATTTGCTCAAAAGCTATTGGAACATCGAGCTAATCTGGAAACTGTTAAAAAAGAAGCAGAAAAAAAATTGGACTCACTTAATTTGGAATTAAGATTGCAACTTGTAAAATCCAAGGAAGAGAATATCTCATTGCAACAAGAGAATTTAAAGATCACTAAAAACTCAGTACCAGTCGAAAAGTTCAACAAGCTAAAGGAATCATACGAGAAAAAGATTCATGAACATGAGCGTGAAATCCGATTAAAATTACAAAATAAAGAGTTTAGACCTGGAATTAAGATTCGGGATCAAGAAAGTCAAACTATGGAAAAAGTGTTTCCAATCAAAGATTTGGAATCTCTGAAAATCTCTCACAAAAAGGAATTGAAAGAGTTAAGAGACACATTAGAAAAAGAATATAAACAAAAGTTATCACAACAACGAAGTGATTTGGAAAAAGAGACCAGATTAAAATTGGACCAACTGAGAAAAGACCTGACCGAATATTTAATTGCCTCCATGGACAAAGAAAAAGCTCGATCAGAAAACGAGATTATTGTTGATGACGAGGTGACGATTATACATCAAAATTTAGTACAAAAATTACCAAAGAAGAGGGACAAAAGTGACCTGAGTGTTAAACACAATAAGAACAATAAGCAATCTAGTCGTTCGCACGTAAGCACAACTCAATCAAACAATTCTACAGATTCTGATCGTGAATCATCACTGAAGAAGAGAAAATTATCATCTAATACATCCGAGCAATTCCATCATTCCACCTCTGGTCCATCGAAATCCAACAAAACTGTTAAAAGTGCAAATTTATCCTCGTCAAGTGAAAAAAAATTGATTAAATCAAATGATAAACTTGATTACTACGAAATACCTGATAACCATTGTGCTGTTAGAATCTGTTCAACATGTCGATGGGTAGAAAAAATCTCTCAATCCAATTACCCAAAGCACTTCCTTGATAACCATAATTCAGTTTCTTTAGGAGTGAAAACATTAATCTCTCAATTCAAAGAGCTTATTCTAGACGATATAATCTACCTTTCGTTGAAAGATAAAAACAAAAGAGATCAAATTTCCGATCACCTTATCGATATTAATTGTTATAAAATACCTGAAGATTGTCTTTTCGTTAGGATCTGTTCCATTTGCGAATGGATAGAAACTACGCCAATACAAATTTATGTAACACATTTCAGGGAAAATCATGGCTCGTTGGTGACAGAGAAATCGAAAGATTTGAAATTCAAAATAGTAGTGATGGAAAAGAAAAAGTTCCAATTGTTGAAAGATAAATGGAAGCAAAAGGAATCAAATTCGCGAGTAAGAATTTATAATTATCCTTCAATTTTAGTGTGGTAAACGTAGAATGATCAAATTAAATCCAATTACTTATTTCTTCTTTTTCCAATTACAGAAAAAGGATTCTACGAAGTGATATTTCCCATGTGAAATGCTATCGAATCTGAAAACTCCAATGACTATTCTTAAATCCTCCACTAGATTGATTTTTGATAAACAAACAGGTAAAATTAACCTTAAATTGTGGAGCAATTGCTCTTTTTTTATAATAAAATTTCATTGTTAATTTTCTTTCTTTTCCATTCCAGAAACAAATCATAGAAAATGATAGAAATGTGGTCCTATCATTGATTGACAATTACGCAAACAGAGAGAAACATTGTAGAAAGTGGCTCGAGAATAATCTTTTCTCACACAAAATATACTCGATTACGAAGGAGTATCACAAAGAAAAACTATTAAAATGGAAAATAGTCGCTGTCGTTAAAGAATCGAAAGCTGCTGAGGAAAAAGAAGATAAATTTATTCGATGAAATAGTTGAGCGAAAAAAAATGCAAAGCGAAATTTACCAATCCAATGAATCCAATGATCCAAAAGTAAATAAAGAAATGATTAAGGCAATTAGTCAATTTCGCGACGATGAACATCATCATGACTGTGCCCTTGAACACGACGCTAAATTGGCTCCCGGTTATCAACTTCACTCAATAGACAAGACAAAAAAAACAAAAATCCAAAGATATATTAATATGGAGATATAATCATTGATCTCATAAAAATGACTCGATATTCTATTTGTAAATTTAGAAACAAGTTGATTAATAATTTGATTTCATTAAAAATTTCTCGTTATCATCATTTTATTGAATCGATAAAAGTTTCGTAAATTATTTTTTTATATTTATTGAGGTTGATTACTTGACATTTTTTAAAGATTAATTTCAACACCGTTAATTACTTCGTCGATTTGTTCACTTCCATACAACAGTTTGGAAGGAGCTTTAGAACGAGAACATCGAACTCCGGGACTTGGTTAAGTTAATTGAAACCTCAAAGATTTTCGCGTCTTCATGGGGACTTGGGACGATCTCTTTTTACCTGGTAGAAAAAAAGAGAAAAAGAAACATTGAAATGCCGACAAATTAAGTGAAAGTCAACGATGAATTTTACCTGTTTTTTGGTTACAAGAATTCGATTTATTTAAAGATTTGAGAATAGATTTCGGAGCACCTTCTTTCGAATTCTTTTCCGGGGTGGAATTATCGCTTCGTTTCTATGATTGGAAGAAGTACAGTATTCAACTTATTTACAATTCTTTCAATGATTAATCTTATAAAAAACTTACATTGGAAGCTATTTGGTATTGGCTCTTCCGTAATTGTAGATATTTCGATTTTTCTATAAGCACTATTTTAAATTGTAAAAAAATTGAACTTTTTATTTCCGTAGAGTTGTGATTATGCTTCCAATGTGCATGGAAACTGTTATTGTCGGTATTATTGGTCCATCGACAAATAGGACAGATAAGCATGAAACAATAGTTTTCGGGTATTCTGTAGCTGTCGATCTGTTCAGCGGAGATTTGACTTCTCGTGCTTTTGGTTTTTAAAGTATAGTAGATGGAATCAGGCATGATGGCCTTTTGGAAATTTGATTCTTTTGAAAGCGACTCATTGTGTGCTTTTTTAAAGTGATGCTTATAGTGTATGTTATGACTTTTTTCTACCCATCGACATATTGTACAGATTCTAACAGCACAATGATTATCAGGTATTTCGGTGTAACCAAGTTTATCATCTGATTCAACCAATTCTCTTCCAATTGATGGTAAACTTCCTCTTGGCCCATCGGTAGAAGCGTGAGATTGAATAGATGGAATCGATAATTTTTGTTTCTTCTGAGCGGGTTCACAATCCAGAACAATGGGATTGTTTGTTTCCTTCTTTCTGTTTGATTGCGATGCGAAACTTTCATTGATAATCATCACCTCTTCATCTTTGTCAATTTCCTTTTCTGGTTGTGCTTTGGTGTCTATGGAAATATCCAAAAATTTCGTCAATTCTTTTCTTAGTTGGTCCAATTTAGATTTTGCCTTTTTCTCCAAATCAATTTGTTGGTCCATTAGCTTTTTTTCATATTCTTTTTCTAATTTTTCTTCCAATCCTTTCATCTCCTTGTTGTGAACGATCTTCAGGGTTTCCAAATCGGCGATTGATGAACATGTTTCCATCTTTCTATCGTATAACTCCTTTAGCTTGTTGAACTTTTCGACTGATACTGAGTTTTTAAGAATTTTTAAATTTTCTTGTTGCAATGAGATATTCTCTTCCTTGGATTTTACAAGTTGCAATCTTAATTCCAAATTAAGTGCGTCCAATTTCTTTTCTGCTTCTTTTGTAATAGTTTCCAGATTAGCTCGATGTTCCAATAACTTTTGCTCAAATTCTCGCTTCATTTTCGTTCTTGATTCTTTCATCTCCTCGTCATGTTTACTTTGCAATTCACTTATCTTGCTGAAAAGACTCTTATTCAAATCAGAAAACTGTGAACATCTGACACACTTCGACTGTAAAACAACATTGAAAACTGGCGAAGATTGGAAACCAATTGGATTTGTACTAACAAAGCAGTTAGAAGCAGAAACGGGTGACGACGAAGAGGGACTAATTCCAGGCTGGGCTTCGGACACAACAGCTTTTTGATTACTTGATGTTGATGATATTCCTATTGAATTTGTAGAAACATTTGAAGTCGGAACAATGGAATAGTTAACAAGCGTCCCTCGTCGATTTGGTGACAATTTTTCCTGTTTGATTGATGAAAGAAACGGTGTTGATTCCTGGCCAAGATCCATGGTAAAGAAAGTAAATGTTTGTTATTATTAATTTTCTGTTCACTTGAAATAAAAAACAAAAGAATTAATTAATTTATTGAAAGGTTAAAATTATTTTAGCTAATTTACTATTCGATTTGATAAGAGTCGATTTGATGAGAATGAAATTTGGATTTTCAATAAGGAACGAAATCAATTAAAACGGAAAATAACACTGATAAGAAACCTCTTGGAAAAACTTAATCAAGTAAATAGTTGATCTTAAATGAAACAAAAAGAAAACAAGTCAATTGATTTTAAAGAAAATCCTTTTTAATCTTCCTTCAGGAACTTGGAGAGTATTTAAATTGATTAATCTACTCTTCCTACGTTAACTCTTTTTCTAAATTCAATTTACAATTTGTTTCTAATTGGCCGAAACTTTTTCTTTTGTTTTTTAAACTGACTAATAGTTTCGTCGGTTGACAATAAACCGTATAATAACCGTTAGTGAGCAAAGAAAACGTCTGATTTATGAGACAAGTGAACTCGAAATGGTTAATTTTGAGACAGTTAAAGTTTATTTATGACCGAAGATCAAACGGTCGTTTGGATGAAAAGAAAAAAAAAGTTTCCTTGGTCGAATTTCTCTTTTCACACTTTTCTGTGAGATTTCTTTCTATAGCAAACAAATGTGATCATTACCAATCAGTCGCTCAAATAAGATCATTGTATTCATCAAGCTCATTGAGTTAAATCACTTACAATAATCTGTAATAACATTTTAGTCAACAAAATGATTTCGATTTGAAAATTTATTCATTTGCTTGAAATAAATATGCAAATTTTTTCTAAATTTACAAATATCATAATCGACAAATTGTAATGAGATCTCTATTTCTAGAATTGCATTTTCTTTATCTTTAAACAATTAGAAAATTAAATTTTCTCCGCTACTTTAACAGCGACTTTACAAATGTTTTCTACCGCCGACGAGAGAAGTTGGTACCCGGGAGCCAATTTAGCGTCGTGTTCAAGGGCACAGTCGTGATGATGTTGTTCATCGTCTCGAAATTGACTAATTGTCTTGATCATATCTTCATTTACTTTTGGATCATCGGCCATCAATTCTCTTAATTGGCTATCGTAATGTTCAACAATCACTTTCTCGACAGCCTCTGTTACCGCCATCGCTGCATTTGGTCCTAAAAGAGCAGGAATAAAACCGAGACCAAAAGCACCGAATTGCCATATGGGTACTAAGACACTTTTTCGAGCCCTGTGTTTACCGGCGAGATACTCGAACTTGTCCAAATGCGCTTTTTCTTGATCCCACATTTTCTGAATGACGGCGGCCTTTTCTGGATATTTACGACGTAGGGCCAACATTTGTCCAAAATAAATTCGATCAGCTCCTAATTCACCGGCATGATTAACACGGATAATTCTATCATACATTTGACTACGAACTCTTCCTAAATATCCTGCCATTGTCACGATAATTTAAACCATGTAAAAATCTATGTACACAGAAATATTAATACAAAATATTAGAACATTTTATCTAAATCATATTGATTGTCAATCTTTCTCTTTGGTGTGTGATTGTGTATGAGGCTGGTAAAGAATTGATGAACAATGATTTGGATGGAGAAAGAAAATATTCAAAGTAATTAAAGTTTGTCCAATTGATCCTAAATTAGGATTCCTAATATCGGGAAAAAGTTACAATCAATTCACATCGATTGGTTTGGGGAAATAAATCAACCGGAATCGCTTTAACGGGTATAAAAGGATCTCCCTGGATGTCATCCATTGGTCGAAAAGGTAAACAAAGATGAGCAAAGTTCCTTAATGATTGACCTTCGGGCTTACATGAGACATAAATAATCTTGGACACATTGGACATTCTTCTGATCACATTGATTACCCCACTCGATAAACCACCAGATCCTGGGTTCATGATCATTACAAGATCATCTGAGTAAAGGTTTTCACTTATGTTCATCAAATGATCTTCGATTGTGCCATGAATGAATTTACAATTAGTAATGCTGTTAACTGAAGCGTTAATTGTTGCATCTATGATTGATTGTTCGCATGAATCGATCCCGATCACTTCTTTAACCATTGGTGCAACTTGTAAGGCCAATACACCAGAGCCACAACACATATCAAGAATTGTCATATTAGATTGAGGTTCAATCTCCTCGATTATCCGTTTATATAAAATTTCAGCGGCACTTTTGTTAATTTGGATAAAAGGTTCAGGGGTGATTCTAATTTTAACACCGTTAATTACTTCGTCGATGTGTTCACTTCCATACAACAATTTGAAAGGAGCTCTAGAATGAGTACAACGAACTCCGGGACAGGCCTAAGAAAAGAGATTCAGAAAAATTAGTCAACTTGAAGAAATTGATTGAGAAAATTGAGCTAATTACCTGAAAGTATAAAGAATTAAGATTAATACTTTTAGCAATCGGTGAGAAGAAGTTGATCAGTCGATTATGCTCATCTTCCAATTGATTAGATGATAAATTCTGTGGATGTAAAATAGCGATGCCCATAAGCTCATCGAAATCATTACTACGAACACAAAATCTTTTCCAATGTCCACCCTTGGAGAAATCAAGACAAACATCTAATGGTGATTGATTTCTCAAGTATTCTTGAAATTTACCAGCAAGAATTTGGTGACTATTTTTGACGATTTTAAATTTATCAGGAGGTGAACAGATTGGCAGTTGAAAAGATTTACCAATTTTTCCCAAAATAAAACCAACAGTTTTAGGATTCCCATCGGGTCCAGGCCAAATTGAGAAATCATCAGTATTCCGATATCCTTCAATCACAGGACTTGGTTCAATATTTTCCAACAAACAAGGTAATCCAGATTCATCAGGGGTAATAGACGAATTGATATCTTTCAATTTAATGGTGAGACTTTTTAAAATTGTACTTATCTTTTTTTGCTTTACAATTAGTTGCTTTGAATAATCAAGATGAGCAAGAGGAGTTAAACCTTTGGAATCTTTCAAAATGTTGTTAACTTTACCAGCCACACTTTTAATCACATTTCGATTCATAGTTAATCAAACAGTCAACTTACCAGAGATTTTAATCAAAAAGAGTAAACTAATTAAACAATCATCACAATTAAATAGAAAAGAAAATGATGTAACAATATAAGTCGCATTGACGAAAAACTGATTTTCATCAGCTGTTCATCCCAAGGGGTCGTCTCATTAGAAAAAGAATTTTTTTGCTCGATTAAAAAATTATAAGATTAAATTTTTTTTTTCTTCGCATTTTGTTGATGTAAAGTATTAATGTAAAAGAGGAGAAAAGTTTACACATGGAGAAATTAGAAAAGATTATTGAAGTTAAATAGATTTTTCAACTTCTTCTAGTGAAGAGATGTCGATGTGTTCACTTCCAAACAACAATTCGAAAGAAGCACTGGAATGAGAACAACGAACTCCGGGACTTGGTTAATTTAATTGAAACCTCAAAGATTTCCGACTCTTCATGGGGACTTGGGACGATCTCTTTTTACCTGGTGGAAAAAAAGAGAAAAAAAACATTGAAATGTCGACAAATAAAGTGAAAGTGATCAACGATGAATTTTACCTGTTCTTTGGCCACGAGAATCCGATTTATTTGAAGATTTGAGAATAGATTTCGGAGCACCTTCTTTCGAATTCTTTTCCGGGGTGGAATTATCGTTTTGAGGCTGTTTCTATGATTGGAGAAAGCATTATATTCAACTTATTTAGAATTCTTTCAATGATTAAAATATAAAAACTTACATCCGAAGCCATTTGGCATTGGCTCTTCTGTTCATCTCGTAATTGTAGATACTTCATGTTCTCCATAATCACGGTTTCAAATTCTAAATAAATTGAACTTTTTATTCTACTTGAGTTGTGATCATTTCTCCAATGTTTATGATAACGAGTACCGATCCATCGGCAAATACGACAAATCAACGCGAAGCAATAGTTTTTTGGAATTTTGTACTTGTCGATCTCTTGAGCAGAGATTTGACTTCTTGTGATTTTGTTTATCAAAGAAGGATAGATAGAATCGGGGACGATAGCGTTTTCGAAATTGACAATTTCTTCTTCTTTTGAAAGAGGTTCCCCGTGTGCACTCTTTAAGTGCTTAATGTAATTGAAGTTATGGATTTTTTCGCTCCACCGACATATTGAACAGATTCTAACAGCACAATGGTCATCGGGTATTTCGGTGTAACCAAGTTTATCATTTGATTCAAACAATTCTCTTCCAATTGATGGTAAACTTTCTTTTGGTCCATCGATAGCGTCAGATTGAATAGATGGAATCGATAATTTTTGTTTCTTCTGAGCGGGTTCACAATCAGGAACAGTGGGATTGTTTGTTTCCTTCTTTTCGTTTGATTGAGATGCGAAACTTTCATTGTTAATCATCACCTCATAATCTTCGTCAATTTCCTTCTCTGGTTGTGCTTCGGTGTCTATGGAAATATTCAAACATTTTGTTAATACTTTTCTTAGTTGGTCCAATTTAGATTTTGTCTTTTTCTCCAAATCTCGTTGGTCCAATAGTTTTTTTTCATATTCTTCTTTTAATTGTTCTTCCAATTCTTTCATCTCCTTGCTATGAGCGATCTTCAGGGTTTCGGTCAGTTCTTTTCTCAGTTGGTCCAATTTTAATCCGGTATCATTTTCCAAATCACTTCGTTGTTGCGATAATTTTTGTTTATATTCTTTTTCTAATGTGTCTCTCAATTCTTTCAATTCCATATTGTGAGAGATTTTCGGAGATTCCAAATCTTTGATTTGAAATACTTTTTCCATAGTTTGACTTTCTTGATCCCGAATCTTAATTCCAGGTCTAACCTCTTTATTTTGTAATTTCAATCGGATTTCAAGCTCATGTTCATGAATCTTTTTCTCGTATGATTCCTTTAGCTTGTTGAACTTTTCGACTTGTACTGAGTTTTTAATGATTTTTAAATTCTCTTGTTGCAATGAGATATTCTCTTCCTTGGATTTTACAAGTTGCAATCTTAATTCCAAATTAAGTGAGTCCAATTTCTTTTCTGCTTCTTTTTTAACAGTTTCCAGATTAGTTCGGTGTTCCAATAGCTTTAGTTCATATTCTTTCTCCATTTTCTTTCTTGATTCTTTCATCTCCTCGTCATATTTACATTTTGATTCGCTTAACTTTTGGAGAATATTCCTATTTAAATCAGATAATTGAGAACACCGGACACACGGTGACTGTGAAACAACATTGAAAACTGGCGAAGATGATTGGGGACCAGTTGGCTTTTTACTAGACGCATCAACGGGTGACGGCGAAAAGGGACTAATTCCAGGCTGGGCTTCGGACTCAACAGCTTTTTGATTGTTTGATGTTGACGATGGTGATGATGATATTCCTATTGAATTTGTAGAAGCAACTGAAGTCAGATCAGTTGTTTTTGCACTATTGAGTGTCATTGGAGAAACGGGTGTAGACAGTGATGACGAAGAGAGGCCAATACCAGGTTTGGCTTTGGAAATAGAAGATAATTGATTATCTGATGTTGATGGTGAATTTGTAGAAACATTTGAAGTCGGAACTTGTGACACTTGTGGTGACAATGTTTTTTGTTTGAGTGATGAAAGAAACGGAGTTGATTCCTGGTGAAGATCCATGGTAAAGAAAGTAAATGTTTGTTATAATTTATTTTCTGTTGTCACTTGAAATAAAAAAACAAAATAACGAATTAATTTATCGAAAAGTTGGAATTGTTTTGGTAATTTACTAGCCAAGAGTCGATATGATGAGCTTGATATGATTTTCAAAAGAAACAAGATCAATTAAAAAGGAAAATAACACTGATGAGAAACCTCGTGGAAAAACTTAATCAAGTAAATAGTTGATCTTAAATGAAACAAAAAGAAAACAAGTCAATTGATTTCCAGAGAAAATCCTTTTTAATCTTCCTCCAGGAACTTGGAGAGTATTTAAATTGATTAATCTACTCTTCCTACGTTAACTCTTTTTCTAAATCCAATTTACAATTTGTTTCTAATTGGCCGAAACTTTTTCTTTTGTTTTTTAAACTGACCAATAATTTCGTCGGTTGACAATAAATCGTTAGTGAGCAAAGAAAACGTCTGATTTATGAGACTAGTGAACTCGAAATGGTTAATTTTGAGACAGTTAAAGTTTATTTATGACCGAAGATCAACAGGTCGTTTGGATGAAAAGAAAAAAAAAGTTTCCTTGGTCGAATTTCTCTTTTCACACTTTTCTGTGAGATTTTATTCTATAGCAAACAAATGTGATCATTACCAATCAGTCGCTCAAATGAGACCTTGTATTCATCAAGCTCATTGAGTTAAATCACTTACAATAATTTGTAATAACATTTTAGTAAATAAAATGATTTCAATTTGAAAATTTATCATTTGCTTGAAATTAATATTCAAATTTTTTCTAAATTTACAAATATCTTAATCGAGAAATTGTAATGAGATCTACATGTATATTTCTAGAATAGCATTTTCTTTAAACAATTAGAAAATTAAATTTTCTCCGCTACTTTAACAGCGACTTTACAAATGTTTTCCACCGCCGACGAGAGAAGTTGATACCCGGGAGCCAATTTAGCGTCGTGTTCAAGGGCACAGTCGTGATGATGTTGTTCATCGTCTCGAAATTTACTAATTGTCTTGATCATATCTTCATTTGCTTTTGGATCATCGGCCATCAATTCTCTTAATTGGCTATCGTAATGTTCAACAATCACTTTCTCGACAACCTCTGTTACCGCCATCGCTGCATTCGGTCCTAAAAGACCAGGAATAAAACCGAACTTTTCCTAAATATCCTGCCATTGTCACGATAATTTAAACGATGTAAAAATCTATGTACACAGAAATATTAATACAAAATATTAGAACATTTTATCTAAATCACGTTGATTGTCAATCTTTCTCTTTGGTGTGTGTTTGTGTATGTAGCTGGTAAAGAATTGATGAAAAATGATTTGGATGGAGAAAGAAAATATTCAAAGTAATTAAAGTTTATCCAATTGATCCTGATAACAATTTCAAATTAAAAGATTGAATTTTTTTCTTCACATTTTGTTAATGTAAAAGAGGAGAAAAGTTTACACATGAAGAATTTAGAAAAGATTATTGAAGTTAAATAGATTTTTCAACTTCTTCTAGTGAAGAAAGTTCCTGGTTCGCTGAGTTCAATTCGGATTTCAATTGATCCAAATCTTGTTGGATTTTTGTGCTCTCTTCAATGAAACATTTCAACTTGGAAACTTCTTCTGCTAGAGATGCGATCTCATTAGAAGCTGAAACATCAAGAGAACTGAAAGCATCACAAATATCTGAATGGAAAGAAGAAAAAGAATTAGCTTGATTGATTAACATGACATGTTTCAAACTAATTAATATTTACCATTCAATTTGACCAAAGTTGTCTTATCGATTCCTTGAAGTGAAATGTTACAAGTTTGGCCTTCGATATGTTGAAATAGACATTCTAAATCTTTATCCAATTTTGTGAACTTTAAATTTAAATCACCAATGAAATTATTCTCAATTGTTAGTTGATCAAATTTCTCTTTTAAACTGGTCAATTTGGCAAGAGAAACTTTTTTACCATGAATCTTATCAGAAAGCTCATCATTACCAGTCCAAATTTCCGTAACTTTATCAGTATAATATTCTTGGCGTTTTTTCATCTCCTCTTCCAGTTTACATAATTTCAATCGAGTTTGTAAATATTTAGCCATACCAATAGCTCGTTGAACATCATTAGATCGACCAGCAGCCAAATCTTTAGGTCGTTTAAATCCACCATCTTTAGAGAGGGAAAATGGAATCGAAGTAGAAGTTGGATTAACTTTCCTTGGAGCCGATCGAGCAGACAAAGGTTCCAACGTCTTTTTACTTGGCATTCTAACGATTACAAATATTATAAAAAAGAACAGAACAAATCTCAATCACAGCCGAAAAAAAGATAAAAGATAAAAATTCCAATCAATCAAGAGGAAGAAAAAAAGTCGCATCATCAGCTGATTGTTTTATCTCAAATTGAGAATCTCAATGACTTTGAGGGAGAATCTCAACAGAAAAAATTGTTTTTTTCTATTCTTTTTTCCTTTTTCAAGAGTAACATTAATTTTCCTTCTCTGTGTAATTTTTTCTTAAATTAGTGATTTAAATTGTTATTAAATTGTTATTCTTTTAAAATGGCTTCCTCTATTTTCAGGAGAGCAGTAAATGGCTTGAAAAGTAAAGAAACTCGTGAATATTTAGCAAGTACTCACTTCTGGGGACCGATCGCCAATTGGGGTATCCCTTTAGCTGCAATAAGTGATTGTATCAACAAAGATCCAAGTGTTATCTCTGGTAATATGACTGTTGCCCTTGCATTTTATTCAATGCTTTTCATGAGATTTGCTGTACGTGTTCAACCTCGTAACATGTTACTGTTTTCTTGCCATTTTACCAACGAATGTGCTCAAATAACCCAAGGAATTAGATGGACAAAGTATCATTATTTCAATGACGATAACAAGGATAAACCATCACAAGAATAAGATTTTTTGTCTTTCATCTTGTTTGACTTGAAAATCTTATTGTTTTTATCTTAGTAGCTCAATCAATTGTTTTTGATTTACATTATCATTTCTTTTTCTTCTGTTCTATTTTGTTTTTTTTCTGGACTTTTACTTTCTCTCTCGGTGCCATGTTATTTAGATCAAAGAAAAAGGATTGAAAATTTGGAAAATCATTTCTATGAGGACACAATCATATTCCACACCGTTTGATTAACTTGATTTACCAGAATTAGCAGAGAAAAATTGTTAAATCTATTGAATTTTGTTCCTATTTTTTTTTCTTGTTTTCGTTACAATGTAATTACAATCATTGTAAATTGTTACCATAGAGGAGTTTATGCAATTGGGGAAAAGGTAAACATATTAAATTATCTTGTGTCAAAATTATCATATTCCTTTGATTTCTTGTTACTCAGACTTGATTTCACAATTTAACTACAACCGATGAAATCAAAATGTTTTTTTGTGAGTAAAATATTAATAATTTAATAGCAAAATGAAACTTGATCAACCTTAACCAAAAAAAAGATATTAGAATCACAATATATCAATTGAAATAATAACAGTGAAAGTGGATTTAAATAAAATGATATAAACAATGAATTAATTGTTCAATTGTTTTTGTTTCTTTAATCCAATTGAAAATATTTCTATTGTTTATCCTTGTTAATCCTTCTATTTTTCATATCCTCATTCAATGAGTGTCTCTTTCTTTGAATTAGTAAATGTTGTGGTAATTGGATGTGGATGTTGGTGTTTGATTATTTCTTGAACACTAGAGATTTGATAGTTTGGATTATCATCATTGAAACCATTTTCTTTATCATCATTAACACAAAGCTTTGCAACTCCAGGATAAAATTTACTTGGTGAAGGTGAAAATGTATCGGTAACTGATGAAATTGCTCCGTCCGAATCTCCACCCGATTCTTGATCTAATCCACTGGTTTCACCATCTCCCTGATTGGATACGAAACTTTCATCCAGATCAATTTGAGAAACAATTTCAGGATCAAAGTATGGATACTTATTGGTTTCATCTTCTTCATCTTCATCTTCATCATCGGTTGAGACGAAAAACACTTGAAGGTTACATCTACCTCTTTCTTTTGAAAGTATCTCAGCGGCTTCTTCGTGTTTAATTGATCTTAAATCGGTGCCATTAACACTTACAATAGCATCGCCGACATACAATTGACCACAACGCGAAGCGGGTGTATCGGGATGAATCTCGGAAATCAGAATGGGAACACCATGTTCTTTACCGCCAGTGATTGAAATTCCTAATCCTTCGGTCATATCACGTTCGATGATAACTTCTCTTACATCGCCGATACCTTTTCGTTTTCTTAAAAGAGGCCACTCGTGATCGGGTGGAGCTTTAGAGGGATTAAGGCGAAGTTTAGATTCACTATTGGTTCCTCGACAATGACGAATAACCGTTTTGTGCCGATGTAAATGAATCTCGGCTTCTAATTGATTCCAAACTCTATCTTGTTCTTGGCCTTTTATATCAGATTTGCCAAGAAGTTGGATCTGTTGAATTCGACCTGATAACTCTTTGTCCAAATACTTTGCTGCCAATCGAGCACCAAATAGTTCACTTTCAATACTAATTAGGTATCTTCTTAAAAAGGTATTCTCTTTTCTCAAGGCTTTAATTTCTTGTTGAGCGTGAATAGCGGGAAAAAGAGCCTCATCTGGACTGGTCACTTTTAATTTATTATCACTATTTGATAAAGATAAAGGTGCTCTGATAGATCGGCTGTCACGACGTTTACTATGATATGTATCGGCAAGATTAAACATATGGCCTGATTTTTCGGCGATTTTCTCGGCTAATTTACACTCTAATAGTCTTTTCTCACTTTCTTTGTTAATTAATTGGTCCCGAGTTGAAAGAAAATCCATCTCAAGTTTAGTATTATTCTCGAAGACAACAGCGGTTTTGTGAACTAATTGAGCAAAGATGGATGACATGGTGGCCATCCTTTGACGAGCTTCAAACATTAGATCATTTGAATCTTCTTCAAATTGTCCAATTATCAGATCTAAATCAACAAACGCTTTGTCAAACTCTTTCTCCAATAATTCAAGCCATTTTTTACCAACAACGGTTATCAGATTACTTTTATCAGAAGACATAATGTCATGGATTATACTCGGTCGAAATACAAATAAAACCCCAATGATGACAACCAAATAGGTTAAGTAGATTCGAGACAATCAGCTAATATCCACTAAAAAAATCACGATCAATAAAAAGAAATCAATTTAATTGATGAGACCAAAGAGGCTGAAACCAAAATATTTCTTTCTAATCAAAGGCTAGAGAAGAGAAAAAAAAAGAAAACATAAAAATCTTCAAATTCAAGAAGAACAAACCAAATAAATGTAATAAGATGAACAAACACCGAGAGAGAATAATTAAAGTTATCCAATCTAATTGCACTAAAATAGTAATTAAACACTTACCTTAATTAGTAGGAATACTAAATAATAATTATTGATTGATTATTTAAGCAGCTGAGGTCATGAAGAAAACAGAATTAAAATTTTCATTGCCAACACAGTCCAAATAGAATAGAAATAAATATCCTTTCTTTTCATGGAGATTTCAATAAGCCACAAAATTAACAAAGGAATAGAGAAGTAAAAAAATCAACAAAATGATTAATAATCATGAAGATAATCAGGTAACAATTAACATTTTCTTTCGGAGAAAAAAATTAAAACAACAACAATCAAAAAAGAGAATCAGATACTCGAGTATCTAAGTGAAGATCCGATCCAAAAGCGATATTTTTGAGTGGAAACAAGAAAATTTGTAAATGTGTGACATGAAATTAGAAATCAAATGTTAATTGTTGCTCACAATCTATTTTATATTAATCAGTGATTTAATGTGTAACAGTAATTAGTGTACAAGTCGAGTTATGCTTGAAAGGCTTGTTGCCTGGGTATTAAATTCCTACATTGGTGATTATTTCGGTAATGTAAACACTGATCAATTATCAGTTGCTCTTCATCAAGGTTTGTGTTTTTTTTTCACTCTTTTTGTATTTTTTTGTTTGATAGTTGAAGTTTAATTTTGTTTTGCTACATTTAGTTTATTTAATGATTAACAACTTTTTTCTCCTTTTAATTGATTCTCCATCAATGATTTTAGGTGAAGTTGAACTTGAAGGATTACCTCTTAAAGTTGAAGCTTTTCGCCATTGGGATTTACCTATTGAAATAAAAGCTGGTTCAGTTGGTAAGATAAGGTTAAAGGTTCCATTATACAGATTCCGAACTGAACCATGGTTGATATTAATGGAAGAATTATATCTGGTCACTGGGCCCATTAAGGATTTCACTTATCATGAAGATATTGAAAAAGTGACTCAACAAGATTACAAGTTAACCTTATTGGAAGCTTTGGAGAGAAAATTTCAATCACAATATGAATCAAAAGAAAGTCAATCTTATTATGCTTATTCATATTCTAATTGGTTTTCCTATGGATCTTCATTGGTTACATCGATAATTGAAAATCTTCAACTTAAGATAAACAATGTACATATTAGATATGAAGACTCTTGGTCTATACCTCGAACACCATTTGCCTCTGGATTAACGATTTCCAGTATAAATGTTCAAACAACTGATGACGATGATAATTTAGATGATGCTAGTAGATCAAAATCAATCGATGGATCTCCAACTAAAAGTGGAATTGCCAGAAAAGCGGTTCATCTTGAAGGGTTTAACCTTTACTGGGACAGTAATATTACTCTAATTGAAAATCTTTCTATGGAAAATCTTGTTGAACAAATGAGATTACTCTCAGAGAAACAAATTTCCCCTGATGGAACCATCAAAGATCATGATTATCTTGTCTGTTCGGTCAATGGTAAAGCTCAAATTAAACAAAATGCCTTTGATGATCTTCTCAAAACGGTGGACAATTTCATGTTAGACTTTCAATTAGAAAAGTTTCCTCTTCGTTTAACTCTTGTACAATATCGTTTGATGTTAGAATGGTCAACATTTCTGAATAGAACTAAAAAATTGTGGAAATATCGTAGATGGCGACCATTGGTTCCAATTAAAGATGATCCTAAATCTTGGTGGACTTTTGCTGTGAATGCGAACATGGAAACATATCGTAAAAGGAAACAAGCTCGAAGCTGGAAATTTTTGATACAACGTGTTAAAGATATTCTTGATTATACTGATATTTATTATTCTTATTTAACTGATGCTGATTCCATGACCAAAGAAATGGAAGAGATTAAGGAACGAATTGAAACCGAATTAACTTACGAGGAACTTTTCTGTTTAAGAGAAATTGTTTACCATAATATAAGAAAAAATCAAGAAAATTTGTCACTCAAAAGAGGATCTGGAACCGGAGGGTCAGGAGGAGATGAAAATGGTGGTTTCATTCAGAATTGGCTATCATGGTGGTATTCAGAGACTGTCGAGTCAGATGACATGGAATCAACTGATCCAGCATCCATGGCTGTCGCTGAAACCTCACGATTAAGTATAAGTTATCCGGAAGAAGCTCAAGTTGCTAATATCGCAGTTAACTTTCAGGTGCCACAATTAACCTGGGAACTTGTTACAATTGGTGAAAAGGGTCGTGATCAAAGTTTAGTTAAAAGTGTTATGCAAGATTTTGCCCTTTATTTTGATAAACATCGATCATACGAGTCAAAGGTTAAAATTACTCTGAAAAGTTTAATTGTTGAAGATCTTCTTGTGCCTGATTACTCAATCCATCGATTTATCATGTCATCTGAAGTTTATAATTCAGTTTCATCACGAAAACGTCCTAAAGGTGATAATTCACCTGAAAGAAAATACGATTTCCTTTCGACCTCATGTCCAACAACACCACAAGAGATTCCATATTCTCGCCTTTTGTCTCCCATGTCACTTCCCTCTAAACTACAAAAGTCCAACATCTACCATTTGATGCCCTATTCTGGCCCACGGCGATATCGACCCAAAATCCCGTTAACCAGGAAAAATAAGTTGACCTCCGATGAGAATATTGTTCCAAGTTGTCCAAGTACACCTCCGTGTTCACCAACTTCTGATGATTGTTCTGAAAGGAAACTTGGTGATTACTCATCTAATCACGACCATGATGATGGCAGTGAAGATGAGGAAGATGAAGGCGATAATACACTTGTTAAAATTTCTTTCCTTTTTGTTGATGAAAATTCACCTTTATTTGAGACGAAATATAATAGTAACCATCGTTTTGTAAACATAAAATTCAACAGTTTGGAGACAATAATTAATCCGGAAACTTGGGCGAAAATATTGAACTTTTTCGAACCACTTCCTGAGAAAAAATCTCGATACGAAAGGGACACCGATTTTGACCACATTGGACTTAAAGCTTTCTTCCTTTCTGGGCCAAATTCATCTTCACCAATTAATCAAGCATCAACATCTAAATTAGAGGTTGATAGTAAAATTGATTTAACCATTAGACGTCTTTCAATCATCTTAAATAAACCGGAAGATCAGCCGCTGGCAAAGGCCAATATTCATGGTTTCTCGTGTTTCTATTCAAAGTATAACGGTAACGTTTTGATGGAAGGAAAATTGAAAAAACTCTCGATTATTGATCTCTCACAATTCAACGAGATTTACAAGGAAAAATTCATCACCTCTGGAAAGGAAGCTCTTAATTTTACCTTCTTTAAATACGGTCAAGATGATGAGACCATGAAACGGGAATGTGACATGAGTTTGAAACTTCAAATGGCCTCCGTTCAATATGTTCACACTCAGCGTTTCTATACAGAGACTATGCATTTCCTACGACAATTTAATACACTCCAATGGAAAATTAAAGCTCTAACTGCACCAGAAGTGATAATGAACTTTCACCGATCAACTCGAATTTCTTTGGACATTAAAGCAGCCGCACCAGTGATAATTATTCCAGTTAATCATCTTTGTGAGAATGTGCTTGTAGCTGATTTCGGTCAACTCACCGTAAATAATAAATTTCTTTACGCTGGTTCACCAGGAACCATTGGAACTGTTTGTAAAAAGTCTGGTTTAACACAATCAGATTTAATTGCTGCTTCTGTAAGGGAAAAATTTGGTGTCGTCACTCGAGTCTCATCGCAATCATTGGTGTCCGGTTATGTCCGTCTTCTTGAACCTAAACCATGTTTACTTGATGTGATCGATGTTCAACTTCCCGAGATGGATTTATATTCGGGTTTTGTTGTTCGTAAAAACATTGACTCAAAACGTCGTAAATCATTTGTTAATTGTAAAAACGTTACCAACGATGAGAATGATGATGATTACGAAGATGGTGTTTTAGATTTTCCATCTTTCCGTATTAAACGATTACCTGGTCGAATTTTAAAGGAAAGATTCATTTTTTCTTTGCAAATTGAACGAAATTTAGAAGCAGAATTTAATCATTCACTTCCTGATATCTCGATGCTTGGCAAAGTATCAGCTGTTAGATGTACAATCGACTCACCAAGATACCAATTGATTCGTGGTGTATTGGAAAACAATTTAGGTGAACCAATGGACCATATTACACCTAATCAACAAATCGTTGAAGGCGAAGGATTAAATATTCTATTACCTAATCGTATTTGGACATCAATGGCAATTCATTTGGATTTGAAAAATGTTTCTCTTGAAATAATTGATGGATCAATGGAATTGACTCCAAGTCAGAATGATCAACTTGCTAGGATCGATTTTCTTTCATCAAGATTGTCAATTGAAAGTTTTACCGATTCAAGTAAAGATATCGATCTTGTTTCTCAAGAGATCAAGATTATGGACTCGAGATATTTATCTAACAATCAACCTAAAGAAAGGAAACCCAATGTATTTCCAGGGATTCTTCAACCAGCTCGAAAAGGTTTACCATCAACACCATTACAAGTGGAAATACATTATCGCAGTAAACGTAATCAAGTTTGCTTAACAGTTTTACTAAACAATATGAGAGTCATGGCAATATTTGATTGGTTTAAAGAGATGAGTGATTTCCTATCTCAACCAATTAATTTTAAAAAAGCAACATCACCTCGATCACCTGAGATTAAAACAACAACAAATGATTCAAGTTATACAAGTCAATTGTTAACTGTAGATGAAGACAGGCTACCTGATTTTGAGCTTAAATTCAATATAACCGATACTGAATTAGTTGTGGTTGAAAATTGTTCAATTGAAGATACTAATGCTGTCATTTTAAAGGGAACTGCTATTCTCAATTTAGCAACGGATTTAACTCATCCGGAGCCATTTAATTGTACCCTTGAAGGTGTTGAAGTTTTCTCATGTATCCTTGGCGTTGAAGAGGAGACAGCGTTGTCCATTGTTGACCCGCTTAATGTCACTATTGACATGGCACCCAAAGTGATTCCTGAACCGATCCCAAAATCGACAATTAATGTTGAACCTCGAGAAGAGGTTGTCCTAGTCTTAGATGTTTCCGAGATTAGTTTACGTCTCTCTTATAAAGATATCTTCCTTTTCCTAAAGATACTTAACTCACTTCCAACTCAAACCAAAGTGCTCACTAAATCATCTTGTTCACCCAAACATGGCACCGATCCATTGAATTATCTTAACGATTATGTTTACGCTTTACCCTCTCATATTAGTCACTTGCAAAGTTTAGGCTTTAAACAATCGGAGTGTATTCAAGCACTTGAACAATGTAAAGGAAACATCAATGAAGCGGCAATTTGGTTAACCCACTCCCTGCAACAATCGCCGACCTCTAGTCTTTCACCTGATCATGAAATTGAAACTTTACTCCGTCCAACCAAACGTGTCAGTCGTTTTAGTAAATTTAATTTTGAGACAATTAGTCTTCAAGTTGGTTCGTGTATATTTTGTCTGATTGATGATTGTAAAGATACCGATGTCCCGTTGTTTGAGGTTAGATTTTCTCGTATTGATTTATGGCAAAAATTTTCCTCTCACTTGATGGGCGCCGCTAAATTTGAGATGACCGGAGATTATTTCAATCGCTCTCTGTCGGGTTGGCAGCCCATTTTGGAGAAATGGCAAACTTCATTTGGTTGGAGTTTAGAGAAAGATGACAAAGATATTCTCAAAAAATTATCCATCGAAATTAACTCTTCAGACACTCTTAATTTAGTTCTAACCAATACTTGCCTTGAATTGTATAAATCGGTTTTCACTACTTGGATTGATGAGTACAATTTACTGTCCCAGCAAAATAAGCAACCGGTTCGTCAAAGGTCACCTTTTATCCCGTTTGCGATTAAAAATGAAAGTGGTTGTGATCTTAGATTCACTTTGGTTACATCAAATGTCGGTGATCATTTAACCTCAACAACATTAACTGATTCACTATTTGCTTTTGCCTTTGGTCCTACAAACAGAGTGAAAAAGTTGAGTACTTCTAGAATTCCTGATTCAGGGAAATTAAAATCGGCCTCGAACAAAGATTGGACTCTGGTTAAAGCGAATGAAATTGTTCCGTTTACCTTTGATGGTCCAGCTAAGGCTCGTCACCAGGACTCTCATCGACTCAAGTCTCACAAAATTGTCGTTCAAATTGACGGTTGGCAGCCCATTTTCCCGGTTTCCGTTGATAAAGTCGGTAAATATTTTCGAGAAGCTAAACCAGAAAATGTCCGCTATGAAACGGCTCGAATTGTTTTCGACATTACATTGGAAAGTAATGCTCGAAAATTAATTACAGTTCGTTCAGCATTGATGCTTTTCAACGGAACTAACAACTCAATGGAAGTTAAATTTGGCACTTTTGGAAACTCTTGTCTCTATGTTGTCCCTCGTACTTTAGTACCTGTGCCACTTCATCTAATACGAACAAAAATTTATGCTCGACCTTGTGACATCGGTGTTAACATGTGTGAGACTCCAATTGTTTGGGAACAAGTTCGTCGTATGAGCGACTCTTCATCTGAACTTTTAACTTGTACACCGACAACTATAACCAAAGAGCAACACAGTTCGTACACCGGTTCACCGCTTTATAAATTTGTCTCCATTGTGAGTAGAGAAAACTTTCCACTCGAAGAAAGGTCAAAAGGCCCAGGTTTACGATCAGTTCGTGTTCTCCCCGCTCATCAGATCTCACTATTACCACCATTAACCATTTGTAACCTTTTACCCTTTGAGTTACGATATCGAGCTATAAGTTACCTTGAAGATGGTTCAATCAAACCTGGTGGAGTAGCAGCACTTCAATATATTGACACAAGTCAAGAGTTTTCATTGACCTTTACCCTTGACAATTACCCCAAATGTACACCACTAGTCATTGCTACAAATTTCATCAGTGATTTTACCACCAAACTTGAACTTTTTGACAAAAAAGATCGACCTTTAAATATAATGGCTCAAATTTCGTTGGCCAACAATAGTCCATTTGCCATATCGATTACCCTTTTATCACCATTTTGGATTGTCAATCGAACCGGATTACCGATAATTGTGAAACAAGAATCAGCCGATAAAGAGGCTTCTGGTCAATTCGAGGAACATGAAGTTGCTCGAAGCATCTCACCATTACTTTTCTCCTTCTATGAACTCGAATCGTCATTTTCTTGTGTCATGAGATTGGGTAAATCATTTGGTCGAACTCGTTGGTGTAACTCTTTCTACCTTCAAAAAGGCGCAACTGTACGTAAACTACGAATAGCATCAAGTGATCCTCGACGTCCTGATAAAGTTTACGAAATTGGTATCGAAGTTCGTAATGGTAAAGGTCGTTATCGTGATACTTTTGTTGTAACATTAACCCCGAGATATCAGATTGAAAATTCAAGCTCATTGTGCCTCGAAGTGACCCAAAAGTATGCAACCTCATCAGAAATCGATTCGCGGGAAAATTTAATCTCTGTGTTACCCAATTCAAATGTTGCCTTCCATTGGCCTCGAAGTGACCAAGATCGTCTTCTTTGTGTCCGCTTAGCCTCATTACCTTTGAGTTGTCATTGGTCAGGAGGTTTCGCTGTCACAGCCAACTCATCATTCTACCTTAATATTCGTGACTCTCAAGGCCAATCACATTTTATCCGCCTGGAAATTTTAGCTCAAGGAGCAACATCTTTCGTCATCTTTAGTGATGTAGGAAATTTACCACCGCCCATCAGAGTTGACAATTTCTCTGAGGTGCCAATTGAATTCTATCAGACCAACACTTCCCAGGCTTGGATGAAAACCACCGTCAAACCAAAATCGTCCATTCCTTATGCATGGGATGAGTCAACCTTAAAGCCACACTTGACAGTTTCAGCACCCGGTGGGTGTTCAGCCACCTACGATCTCACCTCTTTGCGACCCGGTGATAACCTTTCATATGAAAACTTTTTCTACATCGCCTTTTCGGGAACCTTTCTCTCTGTCCATGAGGCTGAGAATGAAGTCTCCGTTCAACAATATTCCGATCAAGATATTAAATCTATGCAATTGGTTCTCGATGTACCTGAAGGTAGTCGTAAAGTCATCATCAATCGTAAAGAACCAGGTAGACGATCACAATTATGGAGAATGGATCAATATCGTCGTTTATTACATGAAGGATCATCACCACCCAAAGATCCCCGTAAATCGGGAAGCAAGAGCGAAGGCATTTCCTTTGTACTCGACATTGAGGCTCAATGTGCGTATCCAGGTCAATATTCATCTCTTACCCTGCGAAGTATCGACAACAAACGAAGTCTAACTCAATATTGGAGTTTCACTTCTGAAGGGCGCCTTTGTTGCGAACATCCTGATCTCTATGTTCAACCCAGAGATGGTTTTCTTGGACTTTTCATCGGTAACGAAGTTGTTCTTGGCCCCTCACAGCCAATCACCTACTCGAAGCTACCAAACAACGTAGCCTTTGAACAAGCATTAACCACACAAAAGATGCGAAAAGGATCAGGCCTTTTATCGGTTCATGTTTGTACCGACGGACCAACAAGAGTACTTCAAATTATGGATGTTCGGAATATTCCACCCAATTCATCTCGATCAACTTTACGATCACCTAATATTCCCTCAATTTCCGCATCAAAAAGTTTAGCCTCCGCTGATCGAACCAAAATTGAGCTTAATCTTGTCGTTAAACCTTCAAATGTTGGATTTTCACTTGTTAATCAATATAACGAGGAAATTGTCTATTTATTTTTCAACGAAGTTGTACTTGAATATCAATACAAAGTATTCGAACATCGTATCAACTGTTCAGTTAAATATTTTCAGGTAATTTTTTAATTCTCTCCCTTTAATTATCAAAATGATTAATCCACTTTCTCTACTTAATTTGTTTTCTTTTTCAGGCTGATAATCAAATTATCGAAGCCGAAAAACCAATTATTTTCCATACAATGGAACTCGAAGAAAATAACCCGTTAAGTGGACTTCCAGCTCTTCATATATTCATTCACAAATTGGTTCTTCCAAAAGTCGAAGCTCAATTCTTCGAGGTACTTAAATAGTGGAATAACTACTTTGTTTTATTTTCGTTAATTAATCAATTTTTTTCTCGATTACAGGATGTCCAAATCACAATAAAAGACATTTCCTTGAACCTCGAAGAATTGTTAATGTTAAAGTTTTATGAGTTTCTTGGTTACCCTGAACTTGACTCTGAATCTGAACTGGTTGATGATGAAAAGGAAGGTCAAAATGCTCATAAAGCCATAACCTCGGCTTTAGCTAAATCACCTCGTCTCTATTTTTCAAATCTTCAAATTAAATTGGACAATGTGAAGCTTAGTGTTCTCACAACTAGTCATTTACCAACTAAATTGTCAGCAATTAAGAAAAAGCTCCGACTTCGTTTGATCCGATTTGAAGATGCAAAGATAAGTTTACTCCCATTTCGTAAAAATTATTCCTTGGAAACATTTAGATTTTTAATTGAAGGAATTGTGAGCCACTACCATCGACAATTAAAAGGTCAAGCAGCCAAAATATTAGGATCATTTGATTTCCTGGGTAACCCGTTGGGTTTTGTAAACGATGTTACCGATGGTTTATCTGAATTGATTAATGAGGGAAATGTTGGTGGATTGATACTTAATTTGGCTCATGGAATCTCTGATTCAACTGCAAAATTTACCTCCGTACTATCAGACGGGCTTGGAGTGGTGACCATGGACGATCGACATCAAGAGATTCGAAAACGAATAAAACACGAATCAAATGACCATTTGAAAGCGGGAATCAAGGGACTGGGTGTTGGTATTTTGGGAGGTTTCACTAGTATTATTACGCAAACCTACGAGGGAGCAGTTAATGAGGGTGGTGTCGGTGGCTTTTTCTCAGGCTTTGGTAAAGGTCTTCTTGGTACAATAACAAAACCCGCCGTTGGAATGCTCGACTTTGCAACTAGTGCGGCCATTGCTGTTCGTGACACAAGTCGCAAAATTGCCAACACTTCTTGGTCTCAGGTCAAACGCATTCGACCTCCTCGTCAACGTTTCTCTGTTCACGGGCCGGGATCATTGTTACCTCATTTCTCTCTTGAACAATCTCGAGCTCAAGAATTTTTTTACAAATCAACAATTCTCAACGACAAAGATGACGATGAACTTTTTATTTCATTTAAATTGCTTCGTTCGGATGCTGCGCTTTTTATTACCAGTCATAAGCTTCACCTGATCACTTGGTCCGAATCAACGATTGAAGATCGTGGAAAGGGTCAAATTTCATTAGACTTTGAATTTTTGCTACGATGTGAGACAGCAACACAATACGGAAGTCCAACAATGTCCAATTTAACTCGTGCTTATTTAATTCTCGTTTTAACTGATGAAAGTTGTCCCCAATGTTATGGTTCTCATCATCAATTAGCTGAACTAGGATCAACTAAGCCAAAGATACGCTGTCAATCTGAACAATTAGCTAACGAGGCTACACAATTTATTAACTTTGCAAGAGCATCGTATCAGGAAAATCACTTTATTATACTTTCTTAAATTCAGCATCAACAAAATTATACATTAATGAAATTGTAAATGAAAAACAATTATGAATCAAAACCTCATCTGATTAGATTTTCCTGTTTTCATTGATAATCAATATTTTTCTAGTTAACTTTCAACGGTAATTAACAAATTGCTATGTAATTTTAGAATCAAGCAAGTGATTAATACAAATTGTGAATAAAGAAATAAACATGCTTGTCATCTCACCATCAATTGTCTATTATTTTATTCCTTCTACGGGACAAGGTCATTCCATGAAACTCCCTTCGAATGACCTTACTAATGAACTAAGGTATTTTCTTTCCGTATAAAAGGAGTTATTAATGAAATCAAAGAAACTAAGTAAAAAGAAAATATTATTTCTTTGGAATCGTTGACGATTCAATGGAAACATTTCGAGTGTAGTTTCAACATTAATTCGTGGTACTTGTGATCCAACGGACAAGATCAGTACAAATCGATGGTCATAGAGAAGGCTAAAGAAATGAAAGAATGAATTTTAAAAATGAAAAAGAAGTAAAGAAAAGATGAATCGAAAGAACGTATTTAAGGATTCGTAGGTTCGTCAAGACCATGAACGATCTTAAGATAGACAAAGATAAATTTTAAGACCAAACTGAGGATAAAATTATCAATTTTTTGAAGAAAAATAATTTATGAAAAAGGCGGTTAGTTCAATCTGCGAGTTGAGATCAGCTGTTTACTTGTGTTGACACAGAAAAACAAACAATCGGAACAAAAACAAAACGTTTAAATGATTAGTTTTGGTTAATCAATTTCTATCTAATTGATTAGTTGTCATAATACTTTTTGTTACATTTTCTATTCTAATTACAATCATAATCTTTTCTTTCATTCGCAAAATCAATCTCTTTAAAAATGACCACAAATTTCGAGATTAAATTGAAACGGTCCAATAAAATTTATCATCAAGGTGTAAGTAGAATTGATTAAATCTTTTCTTTTCTATCTTGGTGTTAATTGTTTTTCTCTTGTCACTTGATTAGGAAAATCTTGTCGGTGTTGTTTCATTTGATTGTAAACATGAATCTCGCCACGAAGGGATTTCCTTGGCAGTTGATGGATCAGTTAAAATGCAATTTAGCTCAAAAAATGTTGGAATCATTGATGCCTTTTACAATTCAGTTAAAGTAAACAATCAAAATTTAGTTGATAATTAATTTCAGTTTTATCATAGAAATAGGATTCTCATATGAACATGCAAGAGATGGCTTGATATTGACAATATCCTCCCATCATGTTCAATGGAGTTGATTTAATCACAGTTTATTGTTGTTTCATCAACAGCCAGTGCCGTTGATTAATTACTCTGTTGAGATCGCTAAAAGTGGTACATTACCAGCAGGAAAAACGGAAATTGCTTTTGAATTACCATTGAGACCTAAAGGAAACAAAACTCTTTATGAAACATACCATGGAGTCTTCATCACTGTCCAGGTTCGTGACATTTTTGGGTCACCTTGTCGCTAGAAAATCTTGTCTCTAATTCCCTTTTATTACTTACAGTATGTCCTACGATGTGAAGTTAAACGGTCGATGTTGAACAAAGATCTATCCAAATGCGTCGAATTCATGATTGAATCGGAAAGAAATGATAATGAACCTGCAGGTATCGAGGATCGACCAATAAGCTTCACAATTACACCGGAATCACTTCAGAATGTTAAAGATGTGAGCAATTAGATAGCAATTTAATCTATTTGAGATAATTACAATTCCTTTTTAAATGTGATCATTTTATTAGAAACGTAAAGTCCCCTCGTTCAGTGTTAATGGAAAGCTAAACAACACCGTTTGTAAACTGACCGATCCTTTCACTGGTGAACTGGTCATTGAACAATGTGATGTACCAATCAGAAGTGTTGAATTACAATTAGTACGCGTTGAGACTTGTGGATGTGCCGAAGGCTATGCAAGAGATGGTATTGATTGTTATTGATTTTCAACCCGTTCGAAAATCATTGACTCATTGCTTGTTTTTGTCTATTTTATTCAGCGACCGAAATTCAAAACATTCAAATTGGTGATGGTGACATTTGCCGAGGAGTTTCAATTCCCATTTACATGATATTCCCTCGTTTATTTACCTGTCCAACTTTAATTACGAGTAATTTCAAAATAGGTAAACACAAAAAAAACACTAATTCTCATGTATGATTAAGTGAATCAATTTTAATGCTTATAAAAAATTTTCTCATCTTTATTGTAACCAGAGTTTGAGATTAATGTGGTGGTTATTTTTGAGGACAATCATCTAATCACGGAGAACTTTTCAATCAAATTAGTCCGATTTTAGATAACTGATCCAATCTGAAACTGATCTTTGACGATTAACATTAATTGCTGCTCTTTCAGATTCGGAACTTTCCTCTTCCAGACTTTCGATAATTTCCAAAATGTCTTCAGGGATTCCATCACTTTCATCATCATTTGTGGTGCAGTTTGATGCTGGTGCTCGATCATTATCGTTGTTAGAGCCATTAGTATATTCCCGTTGGTTGTTATTGATCGTCGAAATATTGTAACTGTCATTCTTATGATTAACATCTGAATTTACTGTAGCCGATTGTTGTATTTGATGATGGAAATTAAAATCAGGGTATAAGAAATTTTCTTTACCGTATTGAAGGAGATTCGGTTGTTGTTGTTGTTGTTGTTTTTGGTGTTGCTGTTGTTGTTGTTGCTTCGGCTGTTGATTGTAAGCCGATAAAACATTCTGATTAGATGAAGATGATGATAATGATGATGGTGATGGATCAACTTTCTGGCCATCATCGGTTTCCACTGAGTAAACCTGAGCTTCATTACTTGAATCATTAATCTCAACCGTAACACAATTGATTTCCAAATTATTTACGTCCATTGGTGATTCTAGAGTATCATCAAAATAGAAATACATTGTTAATATATTGAGTCAATCAATCAAAAGCAAAAAGGGAAAAAACTAATTGAAAAAATTAACTAATTAAGAGGAGTGAACAAGGAAACAAAACATTAGGTAAGACATATTGGTTATGATGGTAAAAATGTTGAGTCTCAAGTCAATGTGACAATTTAAATTCAATTTAATCCAATAAGAGATAATCAGTTGGAAAACCTCTCGATTAAAGTTGAACAATTGGATCAGAAAATAATACTTACCATTGTAATTAAATTGTTGCTGATTTACGTTGTGATAAATTTGAAAATTATCATTGTCACCAAATTGTTTAGGATACTGATGTGGACGATGATGAAGATGATGATGAGGATGATATTGCTGTGGTTGTTGTTGTTGTGATTGTTGCTGTTGTTGTTGTTGTTGTTGTTGATATGATTGATAATTTAGATTGTAATATTGATTAGGATGATTAAGATGATGTTGAAATCTTTGTTGTTGATTATAAACTAATGGCGATGTTGATACGTTTAGATGAGGGTGATGATGATGATGATGATTGTAAGGTAAACAATTTGTACTTTGATTATTCACTGGACGATTAAGAATTGAAGGAATTGCTGGAATTGATGAGTACATTGGATCTCGATAAGTTAAATTGTTGACTCGGTTTCTATTATGATGATTTTCTGGTATCAAATGAACTTGATTGTTGATTATTGCTGCTGGAGATTCACAATAAAAAGACATGTTGACATCAAGAGATGAAGATGGCGAATGAACCAAATGAGAACTAAAAAGATCGAAATTCATTGATTTGTCTAAAAAGATAAAGGTCAAAATATTGGAATTAAGTTAATTAAAAGGTTTATTAATTGATAAAATCACAGATAAAACGATAAACTCGTTTTCGAAAACAATTTAGAGTTAAATCTCCTCTCTCTCTCTCTGTCTTCTTGTCGACCTTTCTAGTTGGATGAAATGGTCAGTTTGAAGTAAGAAAGTTAATCTATCAAGAAAAAGAAACGTATTTACTTTGTCCACTTGTTGATTGAATTGATTGGTTAAAAAAGTGAATTTAACTTTCAAATTTATAGAGACCAATCAGTGCGATTTGTTTTGTATCATCCAAATTCACTAATTTTCATTTAAAAGCTTGAAAATTGATGAATTTGGACCAAACCGTTTTCGAAAACGAGTTTATCGTTTTATCTGTGATTTTATCAATTAATAAACCTTTTAATTAACTTAATTCCAATATTTTGACCTTTATCTTTTTAGACAAATCAATGAATTTCGATCTTTTTAGTTCTCATTTGGTTCATTCGCCATCTCCATCTCTTGATGTCAACATGTCCTTTTATTGTGAATCTCCAGCAGCAATAATCAACAATCAAGTTCATTTGATACCAGAAAATCATCATAATAGAAACCGAGTCAACAATTTAACTTATCGAGATCCAATGTACTCATCAATTCCAGCAATTCCCTCAATTCTTAATCGTCCAGTGAATAATCAAAGTACAAATTGTTTACCTTACAATCACCATCATCATCATCACCCTCATCTAAACGTATCAACATCGCCATTAGTTTATAATCAACAACAAAGATTTCAACATCATCTTAATCATCCTAATCAATATTACAATCTAAATTATCAATCATATCAACAGCAACAACAACAACAACAACAAACACCACAGCAATATCATCCTCATCATCCTCATCATCTTCATCGTCCACATCAGTATCCTAAACAATTTGGTGACAATGATAATTTTCAAATTTATCACAACATAAATCAGCAACAATTTAATTACAATGGTAAGTATTATTTTCTGATCCAATTGTTCAACTTTAATCGAGAGGTTTTCCAACTGATTATCTCTTATTGGATTAAATTGAATTTAAATTGTCACATTGACTTGAGACTCAACATTTTTACCAATATCTAGAATCACCAATGGACGCAAATAATTTGGGAATCAATTGTGTTCAAGTTGAGAAAACGGTTCAAGTGCTGAAGCTCCAATTAACTCAGTGGTAACCGATGATGGCCAGAAAGTTGTATCGTCATCATCATCATCATCTAATCAGAATGCTTTATCAGTTTATAATCAACAGCCCAAACATCAACAACATCAATGCAGTAAAGGAAATTTCTCATATTCTGATTTCCATTATCAAATAACACAATCGGCAACAGGAAACTCTGACGGCAATCATAAGAATGACAGTTACAACATTTCGACGATCAATAACAATCAACGGGAATATACTATTGGTTGTAATAACAACAATAATGATCGAGCGCCAGCATCGAACTGCACCCCAAATGATGATGAAATCGATGAATTTCCTAAAGAAGTTTTTGAGATGATCGAAAAGTTTATCGAAAAGTACTCCTTGGTTATATGATTGTCCTCAAAATAACCACCACATTAATCTCAAACTCTGGTTACAATAAAGATGAAAAAATTTTAAGCATTAAATGAGAATTAGAGTTTTTTTTTGTGTTTAACTATTTTGAAATTACTTCGTAATCAAAGTTGGACAGGTAAATAAACGATAGAATAATATCTTTCCAATTCAATCATGAATTCGACGCATTAAGACAGATCTTTGTTTAACAAGATTTTCCTAATCAAGTGACAAGAACAAGAGAAAAACTATCAACACCAAGATAGAAAAGAAATAGATTAACCAAAACTAATCATTTAAACGTTTTGTTTTTGTTCCGAATCGGAACTTTCGATTGATTGTTTTTCTATGTCAACACAAGTGAACAGCTGATCCCAACTCGCAGATTGAACTAAACGCCTTTTTCATAAATTATTTTTCCGAAATCGGGAAAATTGACACAATTTGTATTAATCATTTGCTTGATTCTAAAATTATTTATCCAAAGTTTATCATCGTTAATCTTGAATGGGACTAAAATTAAAACGAAAGTTAAAACTACATTAGAAATGTTTCCATTGAATCGTCAACGATTTTAGAGAAATAATATTTTCTTTTTACTTAGTTTCTTTGATTTCATTAATAACTCCTTTTATATGGAAAGAAAATACCTTAGTTCATTAGTAAGGTCATTCGAAGGGAGTTTCATGGAATGACCTTGTCCCGTAGAAGGAATAAAATAATAGACAATTGATGGTGAGATGACAAGCATGTTTATTTCTTTATTCACAATTTGAATTAATCATCTTGACGACACGAGAAAACTTTTCGGGAAGTTGTAAAAATAGTAAATTGTCTTTCTGTTTATCGAGCTTGAATCGAGGCGAAAATTTATTTCCGCGGGAAATTCTGATTTATAATGAGATTGGATAAAGTGTCGTATTTGAGTTTTAAACAATTGATTGGTTTTGGATTAGAGTTCGTTTGTGTCCAGAAAAGGACGAAATTTTAGTAGGAATTTAATGAAAATTTGACCTCGCCATTCTGATTATATTAATAGCTCTGAGACTTTCACTGATTAGGAATTCTTATGAATTGTTACAATGAGAGAAGACAAAAAAATAGAATTTAAAAAAGTTAAAAAAAAGATGAAAAAGTGGGTAAAGGTAATACAAAAATCAACTTTTACGAAATTTAAAAAAAGTGCTTTGGTTTGGGTGTTTTTTTCGACAATTTTTTCTAAGATTAGAAAAAATTTTCGATAAACTTGTGATGCTTCTCTCTCTCTTTCGATTGTCGAGATGTCAATTGATTTTGGTTCGTCTTTGGTTCGTCACCATCGGCAACGTTAGGGTTGGGGTGACGTGAAAGAGAAAATCTAATGTGCAGATTAAAAAAGAGAAATTAGAATAAAAAAGAGTCGAAAGTTTTCCATGAAATTAATAGAAAATGTCATTGGTGATTTTTCTCGTTAGAATTCCAATTTTGGACCATAGACTTTGAGAGTTAATATAATCTTGTAACAATTTAATCATTTGGTGTGAAAAAAAATCATGTTGCCTTATTGGTGAAATTTAGGAACCCTTGGTGTTTGTGTGTACGTGTTATTGATTATCCAAAAATTGTTGCAATTGTTGATTAGTTGAACGAATCCGCTTTGATTTCTTGGTGATGATTAATGTTCATCATTTTCTTCTTGATTTATGATAAAATTTTGTGTCTTTTCATGTGAAGAGTTAAATGGTCAGATCGAGCGAATCCTCTACCACAAACCTTACATTTGAAAGGTTTATCTCCAGAGTGTTTACGAAAATGCCTCGTTAATTCATCAGATCGAGCAAATTTCCAATCGCAATCAGGCCAATCACATTTGTATGGTTTTTCACCTATTTGATTGTGAAAAAAGAGAAATAGAGAGAAAAGTTACTTATAAGTCAATAATTTAGTTCGAGTATCAAATGTTCATTCTAAAAGTCAATGAATAGTTGATCATTTTCCTTTGATATTGTTGACCATTGATCATGACAGTAGACAGAATTGCGAATTGGGGATTGAAACAATGATTGTGAGTTGATTAAAATCCACAAATGACTTGAAACAAATGATTTCATCGATGACAGAAAATTGAAACAATTCAAACAGATAGAATGAAATATTTTGATATTGAAATGAATCGATTAGTAAATGTCTTAGAACAAAATCAATTCGTTGTCTCGTTGCAATTTATTTTGATACGAAATTCAAAATAGATTAGCTATTAAATTCTATCTGTTTGAAATTGTTAATTTAATTAACCTGTGTGAAGCCTTTGATGGGCCTTAAGATGTGAACTTTTCGTATAAGCTTTGTTACATCCTTGGTAGTGGCAAAAGTGAACTCGGCGCCTCTCCAATTCGGGATTATTTCGTCTATTGATTTTAACTACTGGACTTGTGGTTGTTAGTGTTGTCGACGGTGAAACATATTCACTGATTGTAGGAACTTGAGTTTGATGACAATTGATGATCCCTTCACTCTCCGAATCGGGCGGTGTGGGTGGAGTGTAATTTGAAAGGAAAAGTCCATTTGTCTCTTGGGAAAGGTAACCCGAAGTTGGACTTGGTATTGCAGAGCATAGACCATTCATCGAATTGATTGTCTCATCATTGGGGGAGAAAATTAAATCACCAAGTTCAGGTATTGAGGTGAATTCAATTAAACTATTACTATCAGAGTGATTACTGACTAAATTGTTGCTATTGTTATTGTTGTTGTTGTTGTTGATTGAAGTAACGCTGTTGTGGTTAGTTACTGAGAGGTGACCTGTTGTTGAGGTGATTAATGGTTGACTTAAATCAGGATTGTTGAACGATCCACAATCAGATGGATGAGAATACCTGTTGAAATCACAGGAACCATTGTAATTTGATTTAATCAAGCCTCCAATTGAGTTGATTGATTGTTGGTTTTGTGGATGATGATGTTGATTATGGTGATGAAGATTATTTTGTGGAAGATTATATTCTTGAGATGAAAGTGTCGTCGGGATATTTTGGTAAACGGAAGCTAAAGGATTACATGATCGACCATTGCTATTGTTAGTTGAGTTACTATTATGATGAAGATGATGATTTGTTTGTTGAATTATAACTGTTGATGTTGTGCTTGTACATTTAATATCTTCCGATGGGAGATATTGATTTTGGGAAGAATGATTGAGAAAATTTAAACTAATTGGTGAAGCTTCTCTGTGATGATGATCTTCTGTTGATGTGGTACAAGGCTGTTTATTCCTGGAATTAGTGATAAATCCTTCCGACAATTGATGATGAAGATGATTATTGGTATTAGGGGTTGTGATGTTGGAAGATGTTGACAAATAACGAGATAATCTTGACTCCTTTGGATCCCAATCAGGTATTGAAGATGATGATGTGGGTGAAGTAGACAATGAGGATGACAATGGGGAGAGAAGAGATGATGACGAAGAGGAGAAAGTAGATGAAGGCGATATTGTTAAAGAAGATGAAGATTTGCCGGAAATAACGGGGCTCTTTAAAGTGGAAAACGTAAAAAGAGATAATCAAACCAAAGCGAATCCATCAAATGATAATAAAAAAAAGCGAAATCACATCAGGAGATAATAGGGTTTGGAAAAGAAAAGAAAAAGCAAAAAAGAGAAAGAGAAAGCCTTAAGTTAGTATTGTATTAATACATCAGAAGATACGGTTTTCTATAATCATAGACATTTACATATGAACGGTTTTGTTTACAGTAACAAACGGATCACCAACGGAAGAGGGTGGAGGTAATGGTACATGAGAAGGTGGAAAAGGTAACAAGGTAAAAGGAGAAAGGTAAGAGGAGGTGGAGAGGGAGAGGGAGAGAAAGTCTTTTCTTTTCTCTTTTTGTTAAAAGGTCTCCCACTCCCTTTTTTGTTGAACAAGGAGTCATTGTAATAACATTTACAGTTGAATGGTCCAATATATCAAATGGAAATATGGATATTCCCTTATTAAAAGATCACTTTTCTTTGGAACTCTATTCAATTTCCATCATGTTTTCACCAGAATAAAAATAATTCCAAACAAAAGATAAACACCAAAGAGGGGAAAAGAGACAAAACCAAAGGAGTAGAATCGTTGATTCGATTGCTTTTTTGAAAATTGTAATAAAATGAAAAGTTAATGATGAACTGTTAATCAACTGACTTGTTTAATTAAAGATTTGGTGATTGGTCGGAAAGGGTTAATGCGAAATCAGCAAGAGGGAGTTAGTTGAGTTTTCTAAGAGAAGAAAAGTTTTTTCTAAACAATAAATTGTTTCCTTTGGCCTAATTTTATTTTCTCTAAGTAATCAAATCGCCAGCGAATCGTCGTCATCAGCCTCCTACCTTCCTGTGGACTTTTTCATGTGAATTTATTTAAATTGGGTCAAGAAACTGTAAGTCACACTCTCTCTCTCTCTCTCTCCCTCGGATGGTCTCTCATCTTTTTCTCTGTGTAAGTAAATCTCAAGTAAAATTTTACTCTGACACTTGATTTCCATTCGCCTAAATCCACCCCCTCTCCTCCTTCTCTCTCTCTCTTCTCATCATCATTTCCGATTTCCTTTCGATTGAAAGAATAGAAGAAAATTTTCTATTCTAAAGGTAACTTTTTCTTTTTAACATCTTTTTATCCATTCATCCCTCTCACCTTCTCTTCTTCTTCTTCTTTCCATCCTCCCTCTTCTTCTTTTCTTTTCTCCCTTTGTCACAAATACTCCTTAGCGTATCCCGGTCACCTAGAAATAGATGATGAGGGCGCTAAGAGAAACGAGAAAGATGTAAAGTCCATCATAGATATTGAGGCCAAGAACAGCTTACTCACTCTCTTTCTCTCTCATCTTCATCTTCTTGTCCTCCTTCTATTCATCCTCTAAATTTACTTTCTCATTTCTTTTCTCCCTCTCTTTCTCTCTTACCTCGTTCTGATCATTCTCATCTTTCTTCGCCTTCTTCTCTCTCTCTCTCTCTGCATCCTCTTTCTCTTTTTCTCATAACTTTCTTATTCACCATTGTATTAAGTCTTAAAACTTTTTCCTCTCTAATTCTTGCAACATTGATATTTTGTGATTCTAATGTTTTCACCTGTACATCTTTTTTTCGGCCAGTAATCGTCATCATCATCATCCAATGTAAACTGTAGCAGAAACTAAAGGAAAACGATGTAACAATATCGCTGTCAACTAGAAATTGGGATAAATCAAATTTTCTTATTATTACCATAACAAATGAGGTGATGCATCTCAAGCATTACGAGGTGTTGATGACAATGAAGAGAAAATTAAGATTCCAATTTATCTTCTTAAGTAAAAAGACAAGGATGAAGATTCCATCATCAATTTCTTCATCACCTACAAACATCGAGAAGATAATTTATCAATTTCTTTTCTCATTCGAATGAAAAATTCGGATACGAGAACTATCATTGAATATTTTCTCTTCTATTCCAGCTTGGATCTCTCTCTCTCTCTCTCTCTCTCTCTTTGTGAGAAACAATTCATAATAATACATAATATTTGGATATTTTTATAGTCATTGTTGACTAGAAAAGGTCGTGACCCTTGTCCATCTTCGATAAATTCGTATTCTCATAAGTACAATGTCCTTTTAACCAATGGACCTGTTGATCTCTTCTCTTGTCCGGTTGACCTCTACTGGATAATATAATCTCTATGTTTATTTATACACTTGAAAGGAAAATCTCATGTTGATGGTCAGGCTCTTAAAATACCCTCAGGATGCTGATTACCCTCAAGTTTGACACATCATCTGTACTCTGGACGTGTAATCCTTGTGACTCTCATCGTATCAACATTGATAACTTATTTAGATCAAAATTTCTCATTCAATTTTTACTATTTCTGTTCTGATTGTTGTCTTAACCCTGTGATGACAATACTTTATTTTCATCGATGAATTTTCAATGAATTTGATTCATCGGATCTAATACATCAGCCCTGTTGATTGACAGCGATTCTCAGGTCAACTTTATCCCAAGTGAATTGTCTCAATTTAGCTTTGAATCGGTTAACAATTAGAAACTTTATTCGTATTTAATAATTGCATCAACGATTGATTGATGATCCTGATTTGTGTAAATCAATTAACTTAAACATCAACAACAACATCATCTAAATACAAACAATCAACAATAATTGTTCAATTTATCATTTGCTCAAATGTATCTGATTGTTTTTCCAGTCGAAGCTCTCAAACCAATTACAATCAATTATATTAATTTGTCAAACATTTAACACAATTTCTGAGTTAATCAACAAAACACGAATTAATTGATAATCAATTCTAATACCAAAGTGTTAGTCATGTTCTAAACAGAGTAAATAGAACTTGTCGAACTTGAAAGGGGGAAAAAGTTCTAATACTAATTCCTTTTTCTTATCATTTACTCTCTTAATTGAATTAACTGATTTTCTTAAAAAACAATAACAGTTAAAGAAAAAATAGAGAATGTAATTTAATCTAATTATTCCAACAACAAAGTGATAATAATAAGTATTATCACTTTCAATCGTTGTTTATGATCATGATGATTACGATAATTTTGTTGGCGGGAAAAGAAACGAGTCGTTGTCATCCTTCAATTGAGATGAAGATAAAAATATGAAGATGAAGATTTTCAGAGCATGAAGATTATGCTCAAAGTCAAATAGATTATCATTTACTACTCATCTCCTTTCGTTCAGCATCATCTCCCATCTTCATCCCTTTTATCATCATCTCACCTTATTCACTTTCTCATCTTTTTTATTTCTTCTTACTCATCTTTTTTTTTCACAGGGATACTCACTAACCCTTTTCACACACTCACTCTCTCACTTAGATCTCTAGATAAATATATACCTGTAAATACAATAGACAATCACCTTTACTGAATTTTTTTATCTCCATCACTTTTTATCTTCATCTCTCTCTCTCTCTCTCTCTCTCTCTCTCTCTCTCTCTCTCTCTCTCTCTGGATGATAAATAGACCGTCTATTGTATACAAAGTCCTCCTTCTTCCTCTCTTCATCTTCTCATCTTTATTTACCTTTTTTTTCATCTACCTTGTCAATATTTTCATCATTTATATAACAATGATCAGGTTAATTCACTAACAATAACCAATTGAATGGTGTTAAGCTTATTTAATATTGTAAATATGAAAAAAAAATTCATCTTCAATTTGCATAATCATATCACAATCAGTCAACAATTAGTTAATCAAAATCCTATGCAATTATAAAATTATATTTTTCATTTTCTCTTCTTCTCAATACTTTTCATCTTCATCATTATCTTTAAGTAGCTTTCTCTTTAAATCATTTTCTTATTTACTTTCATCACTGATCATCTTCATCGTAATTAACTAAATCGCTCTTTTATTCGGATAATTAACAATTTCAATTCAATCAACCGATTTCTCTCTCTCTCTCTCTCTCTCTCTCAAAAAGCATCACTCTCATCCTCATCATCTACCAGAATCATCATCATGTTTATATTGTAATTGAAATAATAACAATCATAAACGTTTAACTTTTGTTTACGGTTATTTAAACTCGATTTACTCTTAATCTTAATCTAAACACACACTCACACTTACAATCAACAGAAATCAAACTTGATTAATCAACTAATGTTTTCATATTAACGCATTTACCTGTTTAATAACTTAACTCGTGCGTTGATTAAAAGATGATCAATTTTTTTTCCCAATCAACGTTTCAGTTAACAATCAATAATAATCTTAATCATCTCAGGCTAATAATCATCATTAAATATTGGAAAGTGATTCTATCAACCATTAAATGATAATGATGATCAAGATCAAGATGATTTACTTTTATAATAATTCTCGTTCTTATTATAATATCAAACTGATTATCTTAACAATTTAATCAGTTGAACAATTTATCAAAATTTCACTTACTCGCAACGCTATTAAATCAGATTAATATCAATTTATTATCAATCAAAATGATTATAAAACTGATCAAATATCAATATCCACCAATTAACATTTATTTATCAAATAAAAAGTGCAACAATCAAATTTAATAATAATCAGGACCTTTTTTTTCATCAAATCATTAAACTATCAACGGCACAATCAAACAACTTACTAACCTAATTTATCAGTTACAATTATTTGAACAATCAAATTGAACAATCAAGAAACGTTGCTAAAATCTAACGATGAATAATCATCAGATTAATCAAATTAATAGATTACAATTGTGTAACCATTGGGATCCAACTTCCTGATTACATTTATTACCCTAGTCAGTCCTTAATCACTTCCTTAAACCTTATGGATAATTAAATAATCTAAGTTAATCTAAGGCCAAGGTCTCATTGAGTGGATGCGATTTGATCAAGTTCAAGGGTAAATTGTGATTCCTTGATTGTGATTAACTTGCGAGAAACTTTTTTCTCACCAAACACTTTGCCCTTTTTTTCTTGGTGTGGCTCTTTTGTTATTATCCAAAGGTACTGATGATGATAAAGATGAAGATGATGATATTAATATCACTAACTACTATTAAATCAAGAAAAGTTTAACAATAAGTTTAACATTGAACTTAAATTGGATGCACTTTACAACAATCAGACAAAAAAGATCCTAGTAAATCAAAGGATAAATCAAATTGGATAAAAGGTAAAAAAAAACTCATAGGTTGGGACCTGATTCCTTATGGAAATCATTTATTTACCGTTATTATGCCTTAAATTGTTATTATTATCATACCTTTGATGATGAGGATGATAAAGGTGCCCTTGAAAAAATAAGAGTGAATGATGTAAAAAAAATGGATGAGAATGATAATTTAGGAGTTTTTTTTTCGAGAAAAAAAAACGTTAAGCTCAACACAAATTGTGCGTTTGATTAAAAATTTTTCATCTCTTTTCATCCCTGGAAACGGAAGTTGATATAAAGGTTTATCTTCATCATCTTGATATTTATCCTTTTCTTTGGGGTGGTAAAGGGGGGAAATTTTCGCTCTTTTCTCTCCCAATGTTCATTTGCACTTATATTAGTTGTCATTTCGATTGGGGACACTTTTCGAACCAAAGGTTTGCCCACTTTCGTATTCGAAATAATTTTTTACACCCCACTGAGGTTAAGAGGTTGATATGTGTATCTTATGTACCGAAGAGGGGGTTAGATTGTAAAGATAAAAAGTTCGTTTGAATAATTTGTTCTAATTTCAAGTTCGATGCGATTTATTTACTATGATAAAACTTTTTCTAAACTCGAAACTTTTCCAAAGAAAACGAATTGTAAATTCTTTACTCTTTAATTTTCTCTGTTTCAAACTTAATCACCAATTTGATTTTGATTAATCCTTTAGGATTTTATTGTAAAGTTGAGGTTCTGTTTGAGCTTCGATAGTTGATTAGTTGGTTTCACAAATATTTATTAATTCAGTATTTAAATTGGTTAGGACTCTTACGACTCTAATCATAATTAGGGTTAATTTTGATTGTGTGTGTGTTTTGCTATAATTAGATTTCATTAGATTTAATTGTTTCTAAATTTTGGATTACGATTAAATTTAATAATGATTAGCTTGGATGAGCTTAATGATTTATTTATTTGCAACTAATTTTTGATTAACGATTAAAGTTGATTTGATTCATTTAAATTATAAATCGGACTTAATGAATTTAATTAGATTTTAGATATAAAAGTTGAATGTTGAACCGTTTACGTTAAAAATGATGGCGGATTTTAGGGTTAGGATAGAGTTAATTAGTTGGATTAAAATCAAATTCTTACCAATAATGATGATGAAGATGAAGATGATGAAAAATTTGATGATGATGTTATATCAGCAAATCCATTATTTGCTTCATTACAAATATAAGCGATCACAAAGTCGATGTCACTGAGAGCAGTTGACCCATTGGGAGATGAATCAAGATTCATATTAAATGTTAATCGAGATGATAATTAAGAGAATGATGGTGACAATTGAGAAAATCCGACAAAAGTTAATTTAACACGAAACTTAAAGTAAATCGATTGAATCCATTTTCATGATAATCACGTTGATTGAGTTTAAATGTTTGTTGATTTTATTAACAAAAATATTCATCTTGTTTTTCACTTAAGTTATACATGTAAACGTTTTCAATGTAACTGACTAACTGTTCAAAAGATGATCGTCTACTTGATTCTCACTCTCGCTCGTTCAATAAGACTCACTCATCATCTTTATCAAAAATCATCAAAAGCGGGGACAATTTTTTAAGAAATTGAGAGAGAGAGACGCGATGAAGATGAAAAGTTTTACTTGTACTGATTTAGCGGGAGAAGGAGGATGATCAAGATGATGAAAACCGTTCAGTCGATCACTAAAATGAGTGAGCGAGAGAGAGAGAGAGAGTAGAATCGTCTTAGAAATGTTACAAAAGAGAATAAAAAAACTAGTTTTCTGACCTTAGAATGGCCTTTTTATTATTGTGTAAGTAACTCACTAGGTAAAGAGGTGACCCACACAGAGGCAAAGGCGGTCATCTTAAGATGGAGGGAGGGACTAAAATGATGAGGATGAAAATGAGGGAGAAAGAGAGAAACTGTCTACCTAGCGGTTCCTTTATTTTTTTTTCTCTCTCTCTCTCTTTCATTTCTCGTGGATAAAAAGGTAAGATGAGAAAATTTTTTACTCTAGATATTTTACTCATCCGGAGGATGAAAGAGAGATGAGGGAGAAGAGAAAGAGAGAGAAAATGAATATTAAGATGAAGAAGATATTGTACATTATTTAAAAACATGGAGGGAGTTTGAGGGAAGAAGATGAGGAGGAAAAGAGGGAGTCCTTTTGTCATCAAAATCTACACAATGAGCGAAGGGATGTTGGGGATGAATCAATTGCTTCTTTTTTCATCTCTCTCTCTCTCTCTTTCTTTTGAAGATGATTATGATGAAGAGGAGGATGAGGGAGAGATAGAGAAAGAGAGTATATAAATATCCTGCGAGAGAGAGAGATATCATCCCACCCCTCCCCCATCTCCCTAGAAAGAAAACGAAGGTAATAAGTTATAAGGTAAAAGCGGTAAAAATCATGGGAGATTTTTTCGACTTCAGGTGAAATCTTATCAATGGGAGTTTAAATTGAGAGAGAAAAAGCGTCAACTATTGTCCTCTTCCCCTTCTCGTCTTCATGATCATCATCCTCATCCTCTCCACCATCCTAATCATCATCATCTAGTTTTTCTTAGACTTGCACATTGATGTGAATCAAATAACTGGGACTGTGTTAGTGGTGTTTTTTCACTGCGCTCATTGTACAAAGGGTGATGGTGGTGTTTGAGTGTCTTCAGCATTGTAAGCACCAGGGAGGAAGTGGAGAGGTGGCGGTGGTGGTTATTGGCTTGAAAAGAAAGGCACTTTATAAGACCCAACCCTGAACCGGAATAACAGGGGTCGAAAGGTGTATTTTTGATCCATGTCCTCGAAATTAGGCCAAAATACGGGATAAAAGTTTCGAACAACTTCAACTAAAAGGAAACAATTTATAAATTGCCCTAGATAATTATGGATATTAAAAGATATTTACTAATAAGTCTTACTGATCAACTGACCAATTAAGTGATTGCTGTCTGTTGGCAAAATTGTCAAGCTTCAAGCTTTAATTATTGATTGTTGGTATTTTTAGGAAACAATTAAAGTTGACAATTAACATGATTAATACATAATGTTTGTTTTTGATTGCGATCATTGATTAGTTTATAAGAAAAAAAGTGTGTAAATTGTAACAACGGCGATTAATTAATTGTAATCATTTTCCAATCCAATATTGTAATTCCAAATGGCATTGATTAATTGCTTGATTATTTATCCTCGTTTGATGAATTAAATTCATTGCATTTATCCTCAATTTCACCTGGGAAAATATGAAAAGATTTTAATTGTTAAGATGATTAAAACTCTTAATTAATTATAATATTGTCGATCTTTTTTTTCATTACCTTTTTCAACGCCCAAACAGTTACCCCATTCAGCTAAGGTCACCAAATGGTCATCGTTAGGGTCACACGAGTCCAAAAATCGACCAATACAAGGTTCCATTGATAATAAAGGTGCTCGAAGTGGAAACAGTTCATGTCGAGAGACTTTCCTATTAACCCAAAAATTACGTTAAAAATGATTAACTTAATTGTGATTGAATTAAAATGGATTATAATAAACACCATAGGCAGTGATTAAAATAATTGACCTGGAAATTGATTGTAATTCAATTGAAATTTAAATCAATCAACCGATTAACTTTAACTTTGTGTATTAACATTTTTCTTATCCTTAAACTTTTTCATTAACTAAATGAACACTTTAATTGTTGAGTTGATTGTTAAACTATTTTAAATCTAAGGTTTATTTAGATTTACATATTAAATCAACTTAAATGTTAATTTTCTTGATACTTTTTGATTGCTAGAAGGAAAAATTTAATTTCCATTCCTTTGTATTCCAAATTGATTTGAAGTACAAGTTGTATTTAATATTGAACGACAAATGTTCAGAGTTAATTGTTAACATTTTCAACACTGAATTGTAAAGATTAATTTTGATTGTGATCAGTTAATTGCTCACCTATCATGAGGTTCAGTGTCTAAATCACAAAACTTCCAGATGATCGCATTAATCCAACCATGGTGATAATTGTCCTTCTCGTGATCAGCGGGCTTTGGATATTTCTTGCTGAGAAAATGAAACATTTAAACATGGAAATTAGTTTTAATTGTTGACCATTAATTAACCTTTTAATTACCTCATGATTGTATAAAGCCATTCCTTCATTCGCCTTGGGAAATCAGCCAAAGTACCTTGATCACAAGATCCAAGCTCTTTGCATTCACCATAATAATCAATGTGCATATGCAAATGATTATCAGTACAATCCTTTGATTCACCTGATTTAATTGTGATTAGAAAATTAAAAATCAGCCATCAACAACCAAATTAATTGTAATGATCAATAGTAAACTTGTAAAAATTTGAAATAATATTCATATACAAGATTTTGTGTTATGTTAACCTGATTGTTTGCTAATTGATTAACCATTCAATTGGTGATTAACAAATTGTGACAAGTGTTAAACTAATTGTTGATTTGCTATTTTTTCACTTGTTTCATTTGTTAATAGTTAATTTAGTATAGTTTTAATTGTAACCAATAAGAAAATAATGGTTGATAAATTGTTTACATTTGTGTAAACCATTTTTGTTTAACTGATTAAGATTTTTAAAATAGATTTTCACTTTTTAAATTGTAAACACAATTAGTTAACATTTATCATCACTATGGTTAATCAACAGGGAACCAGGAAGTTAATTGTAGATGATTATTCAAAATCATGGTTGATTGAAATCAAATCTCTTGTATATTAAGATAATTGGTGAATATAAATCAAATTTAAGACAATGAATTGTGTTAGTTAACTGAACAATTAAGTTAATTACCTTCTTTGCAGACACATTGATGGCGGAAAAGATGACAATCTGAGTTCCAAGTGTTATTGTAATTGTCGCAAACTTGTCGACGAGGATCTTTATTAGGTCCACATTCCCTTGATTGTTGAAAATTAAAATGAGTTAATTGTTGGCCTTTTAGATTCAGTGATTAGCTGATTGCTCTTTCATTCAACTTTCCATTTGTAAATCAATCAAAGATCTGTGATTAACTTTTTGAGTGTAATTATTGAAGCGAAAATGATGAATATGAAGATGAGGCTGAAGAAGATAATTTTGAAAAGAATCCAAAATCATCTTTTCCAATTACATTGGATTGTAATTAAGAAATTAAGAGTAAGAAATGATCTCCTTTTTTAAAGATTTTACTGATTAGTCTGAGTTGTTTAGATAAACTTAGATTGAGAGTTAAGGAGATCGATTTTGACAAGAAGTCGATGGCTATTAGACAACAATTTAGATCAACAATTAAGAGATTATTTCAACTATCATCTTATTCTCGTGTTTACCTTATACAAAGACATTTGGCCTCTGCTGTTGCAGGATCAATGACACATTCTCGTCCTGGTCCACATCGAGCCTTAGAACAAGGGTCTAACAATTAACAATTAGAATCATCAAGTAAATTATTGTGTGTAAACAATTGAATCAAATTGAATTACCTTTTGAAATACTAGTTTTGTTTGTGATCGATTTACCAACAACTGAATTCGTTGATGTCTTATCAACTTTGGTCACTTTCTGTACGGATTATTGATGATAGAAAAGATTGGAAATTAATCACAATTAGATTTAATTGGTTTGGATCACTATTTCCTCAGTCAAGTTAATCATTACCTTTTCACAATTAACTGTTAGTAAACCAGAAAAGAAAAGAAGAATTGTAATAAAGAGACACAATTTAACGAGCACCATTTTGGATCAACAAGTTGGTGAAATTTTCTTTCTAAAGAACAACAATTAACTTAATCACATTAATAAGAAAATTCTAATAAAAAATCAGAACTTTAGTTTGCCACTGGAAGAATATAATCAAAGAAAACTGTGAAAGAAGATGAAAAGTAAACTATTTTAGGAAGAGATTGTTTCGTATGTTCTAACATCGAGTCAGCGATTTTTATCCTTCTCATCATCTCACTAATTGCTAAAAATAGCTCACTCTTCATCTCACATTCTCTCTCTCTCTCTCTCTCTCTCTCTCTAATTGCTTCTGTATGGAAGAGAAAATGATGCTAATCATCTTCCAAGAAAAAAAGAAAATGATCTTTTTCATCCTTTCTTTTTTTCTATTTCCTCTTTTCCATCTCCATTTATATCAATACATTTACATTAAACGTTTGTAAATTATCATTTAATTTTCAACCGATTCAGTTATTCAATCTAAATAGATAATTACATTTTAGTAGAGATGACTATTGAAAGATATTTTACAATTAATGAATTTTGAATGATTTAGAAATTAGCAAATAAATAATTTGAGAAAAAATAATCGATTAATATTGATCATACAAGATTGATGCAGCGAGAGTGAGCCTTTTCGACGAAGTCCCATCGAGAAATTCCCGGCATGATAATCAATAGGTGAAAGATAATTCTCCTGGTCGTTGTGGGATTGTCATCACCTCGGTTTCGTGCGAGCCTATCAATCATCACGTACTTCGGGCGGTAATCGGGCGTTAAAATTCGGGTTGATTTTCTTGTCGACTTTCGAGCTGAATTTTTGTTGCTTGGTCCTAATGGCTTTTTTCCCTTGATCGGAGTGGATTTAGTTGTCTCTTGTGATTTCTTTGTTCTACGAGGTCTTCCTCGTTTTTTTCCTTCTTGGTTACTTCCGATTATATTACTTGGCAAAGGAATATCACCTTTTTTGATGGCTTGCATGATTTTTATTACATCATCTATTGTAAAACCGTGAGTGCTTCCATCACCATCAGTTTGGGTTTGAGCATTTGAATAAGTAGCTCCAATTTCTGGAAATGCTGGACCACTTTCATCAAAGGTTAAGAAATCAGCTGCTGTTTTCGATTGCATTAATGTATCTCGAAGATTTTCTTCCTGTGTATCTATTCCTGTGCATGACGATATCGACTGAATTGACGTTTCATGAGCTAATGTGATGCCTAACGAAGTTGCAATAGATGCTTTTCTTGCAACTTCTATCTTCTCCGAGTCCCTAAGTTTTAATTCTATGTTTTCTTTTTCTAGTTCCACGAGTCTATTTTTTAATTCGGTGTTTTCTGCATAGAGACGGTGTAATTCATCTCGATTGGTTTTGTTTTGATAATAGCTGATGTCTTCTAATAAATGGGACCTTTCTTCGGGAATACTATACATTGAAAACCTTGATTTAGCTTGTAAGGTGTTAGTGTTCACTTGACCAACATGTCCACAAAACTCTAGGCTAGTCCTAGTTTCGCCGACTAAGTTAGCTGCTGGATTTATGTTGCAAATAATTGCAGCCTTTCCAGAGCCAATAAAATAAGGCTGTAAGAATTTGGTTAAACTAGAGTCCCGAAAAGGGACTAGTTCTTGGTTGGAACTGTAACAACAAGAGAAAAAAAAACGAGATTAGATTAAGAATTGACTGACTGATTGTTGAAGTAAAAATAAACTTACTTTTTTTGGTTGTTTCTTAAAATCCTGATACACCTTGATAAATTCATCAATGAATTGTTTATTCTGCCTCCTTCTTTGGTTCTACACCCTTCGGTGTTAGTTTTTTTTTGTCTCTCCGATCCAGCGAGATCACCAAGTGTCAAACTGTATTAAAAGAAATGAAAAGATTTAAAATAAGAAGCTTAACAAAATCATTCAAATACAAAACTTACTGTGAAATTTGAGGCTCCAATATTTTTCCTTCATCTTCACTGAACTTAATCAGAGTGATACAAAGAAATGAGTGACTTCTGCTAGAGTTTTGGTTCAGTCCAGTAGTTTGGATGTTTCTTTGTAGATTTGTCCATCCGTAAGAGTAGATTTTTAGAGCTTCCGTAAGGGATGAAACCATAACTGATCTTAAATCTTTAACATAATAACGCTTTTTTTCATCTTCAGATAAAGATAAAGCTGTGCCTCGACCACCAGAGGAAGAATTCAATAAATCATAAACAAGTTCATTATAAATTTCAAAATACGATAGATAACAAATGTATTGGTAGCCATCCTCGTTAAAACTAATATTATTATTGCAGACATCGGCATATACCACATTACGACAACATCGACTGGCAAGGATTGAATCTTTGTATTGTTTCTCGAGGTCTTGAGTTTTTTGATCAGCCAGAGTCATATCACAGAACTTTGATTTGGCAAGTAGAGGTTCATCGATAAATTTGCGGGAGGAGAAAATTTTCTTCAGCGACAATGGAATCAGTCCAGGATTAACTGTTGGATCTTCGTGAGATCCTCTCATGGTGAACGATTTTCCACTTGAAGTTGTTCCATAACAAAAGAGAATTCCATTATTTCCATCAAGAACATCTTCAACCAGAGGTAAACAACATTTAGAGAAAACATTCAACTGATTAACCGATTCATCCAGAATCTCAGTAAAATTATACACATTCCGAGTTGCATTAATTTTTTTCGCACTACCACAATTGGAAGAGGTTTTCTCGTCGATGTAAATTTTATTAGAGTCTATTATCTTATAAGGTGATTCTTCAATCGTAAAATTATCTATTGGTCGGATTCTTAAAAATGTTGCAATTTTCTCGTCATCAGAAGTGAGCAACGATTTTGTAGTTATATTGGTTGTAGAGTTGGTAAACTCGTCAACTAGTTCAATGCTATTATCAAGAACACAAATTGAAGATGAGAGAGGATCCATTTAATCACAATAACTTATTCTAAAGGCACAGTTAACACGGAAAAGATAATCTATATGGCACACAGAGGAAGGCGAAGAGACACTCGAATAGGCAAATCACAAGATAAAAATCATCAAAAAACTAATTACATGACAAACTGTCCGAATTTCGGTCAACAGGTAGACATTTTTACTGATGATTTTTTCGGTTGACAAGATAATCTTGTCAAGATTTCGAAAACCAATTCAACCAATCAGAGAGAAGAATAAATTTGTTGATGTGTTTCCATCTAGCGGACAAGGAATAAAATCCATTGAATTTAATTCAATCATTTGAAATTATTCATTTCAATCTAACGAACAGTTTCAATTTTTATTGACTATTTTATTGTCTTTTTTCATGTGTCATCGATTTAGTTTATGTAAATCTATTAAGAAAAGTTAACATTACGATGTTTACCAAAAAAAAAAAGTAATGGACTAATGAAAGAATTGCAAAGGTTTCATTTGATTCTGAAAACAATATCATGAACTGGTTTCACTGGATCTTCAAATTCTGGAGTAATTAGATCAGTTTCTGCTCGGTATTTTCGCATTAAGGCGATTGTCTTTCTCAGACCTTCTTCTTTATCAGCTGGTTTTGGTGCTTTATCGATGGCATTTAGAATTCCATCGACGTATTTTTCTGCGTCAAAATCTTCAGCTTCTTTAACGGCAGCTAATATTTCGGCTCTAAATAGTTTCTCTTTTTGAATGTTTCTTCTTAATCGAGTATATTTAATAGCCGAAAGATTGTTTTTGATCCATTTTATCCGATGATGTTTCTTTATCTTTCTATGTCTGATGTGCATAATAGTGTTGCTGTAATTGAAGTCTGGTATTGATCCATATTTATCCTTCCTTGAAATACATTTGATTTCATCTAATTTTCTTGGATCACTAATCTCTGGTGCAATGGTAACCCGAAAATCATAAATTGAAGGTGCAAATAATTCGTTTATTAATGAGAATCGGGTTGGCATTTGTTGTCTTTGAATAGGGACACCGAATCTTGGCTTTTCCACTATGGGAAATGTAACTTTGGCTGGAGGTAGTAAAGGTGGAGGGGGAATGGAAGCCGGTGAACATATTGAAAAAGCTTTAGATGAATAAATTAAATGCCTTGATGATGATCTAATTGAAATAAGAGAAAATCAAGAAAAAAACAGAAATAAATTAACAAGATATAAACAATCACATGGTAATAGAGAAAAAGACTTACCCTAAAAAAGAAGATATTTTCGTTAAGGTGTTCATCTTATCCTTGTTCTTATTCGTTGAAAAAAGCAAAAATGGTACATTAAGTGTTGAATTTAATCGGAGAAATCAGATTTCCAGGTGATTAACATTTTAAATTAAAAATCAAACAATTAAATAATTAATTGTTTTGGAAAAAACATTTCCGATGAAAATAGAAAACATGTTAACCGTTAGATGGAACCACTGAGACGGAATTCTTTTCAGAGAAAGTTTTATCTCTCATCGCAAGATGGAGTCACGAGCTTCGTCCACAATTAATTTTTTTTCTTCTGACTCGATTTTTAGAGCTCCTGATAAATTTTAACTTAATTAACTTTACCTGTGAATTTAAAATTAAATTTGGTGATATTATTGTTTATCTAATCACAAGGATCAAGTTGATACCAAAGCTATGATGATTCAAAAGCTACTTTAGTTGTTTTCGTTACTCTTAAAACTGATCCATTATTGCGTCGTAATAATTTCAACCATTTTTGTTTTCTTGGTAAGTTTTTGTCGATAATTGTTTTCACTTTTTAAAAGTTTGAAATTCTAATTTTCTTTTGTTTCTATTTTTATTTGTTCTTCATGTCATACCTAATAAGCTAATCTTTTCTGGGCCGTTGGATAATCGCCCTATTTCGGGATCAATTTTGAACTGACTCTTGTCTATGGCGAACAAGTTGGTTGAGAACAACCCTTATGGGGTCGACGAACAGGATTTTTGTCCATTTTAGTTTTAAACTAATTGTTAATTGATTTCTCACATGTAATCTCGACCTCAGGGGAGAAAATTTATTATTTATTTCGTTATTATTTTCCATTTTATTATCATTCCCTTCCTTGTCCCTTTTTCCCTATCCCTTGGTAATTGTAATTTATCGAAGCCTCGACTGAGTTCGCTGTTGAAGCTTAAAAATAAATTTTCTTCAGTTACATAAAAATGTATGTAATTACCTCAATTGCTATTCAATTTGACTTTAACCTAATATTAATCATTATTTGTTGATCAAACCGACACCTCAAAAGCTACTGAAATAATTGCAATTCAATGATAACCTTTTGGCTGATCTTTTCGCAAATCTTATCGATGTTTTGACAATCAACATGATTAATACATAGTTGGTAAGATAATTAAAACTTTTATCGATCTTTTTTTTTTCATTACCTTTTTCAACGCCCAAACAGTTACCCCATTCAGCTAAGGTCACCAAATGGTCATCGTTAGGGTCACACGAGTCCAAAAATCGACCAATACAAGGTTCCATTGATAATAAAGGTGCTCGAAGTGGAAACAGTTCATGTCGAGAGACTTTCCTATTAACCCAAAAATTACGTTAAAAATGATTAACTTAATTGTGATTGAATTAAAATGGATTATAATAAACACCATAGGCAGTGATTAAAATAATTGACCTGGAAATTGATTGTAATTCAATTGAAATTTAAATCAATCAACCGATTAACTTTAACTTTGTGTATTAACATTTTTCTTATCCTTAAACCTTTTCATTAACTAAATGAACACTTTAATTGTTGAGTTGATTGTTAAACTATTTTAAATCTAAGGTTTATCTAGATTTACATATTAAATCAACTTAAATGTTAATTTTCTTGATACTTTTTGATTGCTAGAAGGAAAAATTTAATTTCCATTCCTTTGTACTCCAAATTGATTTGAAGTACAAGTTGTATTTAATATTGAACGACAAATGTTCAGAGTTAATTGTTAACATTTTCAACACTGAGTTGTAAAGATTAATTTTGATTGTGATCAGTTAATTGCTCACCTATCATGAGGTTCAGTGTCTAAATCACAAAACTTCCAGATGATCGCATTGATCCAACCATGGTGATAATTGTCCTTCTCGTGGTCAGCGGGCTTTGGATATTTCTTGCTGAGAAAATAAAAACTAATACTTTTAACACTTACAGGGTGTAAAGAAAGTAACGTTCATGGGTGGGGTTTAAGATGCGTGAATTGATGGCAGTCGATTTGATTATTTAATTTACATCGTCTGATTTTTACTTCAAGTTAAGAAAATTTTAACGGCTAATTGAAGGAAAAAATAAACAAACCAATTCAATTCAATCGCGCAAGGGGAGAAATTCATCCCTCTGAACGTTACTTTCTTTACACCCTGTACATGTTAACTTTTTTGGAGTTTTAACAGTTCAATCAGTTCAATAGTTAAATATTCTAATCATTTGTAAACTCGAGCTCATGCTGATTCAGTTGTTGCTAGTTCATTTGTAAGCAATCAAACAGTAATGATAATTATCTGCATTTATCGTAAGAAGATTGTAAGCTAAGAATACAAAATCGTTTCCAATGTGTTCATCAAAATGGAAATTAAATCAACTTAATCACCATGAGGTCGAGTTAAGAAATGGTCAGTGTTTTTATCATCTTTAATTATTAGAATGATAGTCAATACTTTTGTCGGTTTAACGAATAGCATTTAATGGTGACAAGTGAACTTGAAATTGTAAAAATTGAGACAATTTTCCTTTCCAATTTTCTTATTTATGACCGAAGGTAATTCTAAGATTCTCACCGGACATTTGGACCAAAAAGAAAACAATAAGTTTCCTTGGTTAACTTATTTCACACTTTTCTGTGAGATTTCATTTTATTGCTCGAATATGTGCTCATCACCAATCAATGGATATACGGAGACTTAAATAAGATCCTAATAATTAGTGGCTAATGTACATAAATTTAAAAAATTAGTTCCATTATTTTGTGACAAGATTCTTGTCATATTGAGTCAATATTATTGACCGTTAAGATACAATTGTGCTTATAGAAACAAAAACTTTAAAAACAAAAATTCTTTTCACCAAAAGATGGAGTTAGTTGTTAATCTCTTGAGCGGGTTAACAATCAATACTAATCCTTTGAATACAAAGAAATGAACTTGTCATTGTTTTGATTCATTTCTGTTTTACTTATTGATTGTGTGATCGCTTTTTTGTGCAACTATTTCTGTTTAATTCTCTGAAGATGATTCTGGTTCTGGTACACGCTTTTTAGACTTTCGCCATTGATTACATCGTGCCTTATATTGTTCCTCGGTCAATTGCACGGCTTTGTGTTTAAGAACTTCAACCTTATGGTGTTTTTTATGTAGATAGAAATTGCGATTTTTTTCTGATACGATGTATGGACAATTTTTGATGGTACAAGCTTTGTATTTCTGGGAGAGGAAAAGAAAGAGAAAAGAAAAAGAAAAAATAGTTACCCTTAGGTTATCACATTGAAAGCTTCATTAATAAATGATGATAACATCATCTTTAATCATAATTAGCTTAATCATCCTGTCAATATAATCAACTAAATATTTCAAGTCGTGATTGTTGAAAATAAATTAACTTAATTCACCAAAAATTTACTTGTCATCTCAAGTTAATCAACTCTCTCTCTCTCTCTCTCTCTCTCTCTCTCTCTCTCTCTACTCTGTTGGTGATGATTTTATGTTCATCGATTTTGATTATAACAATTTAATCAACTATTTTAATTTGTTTGATTATTTTTCTCGTTGTTTTCACCAGAACGTCAATCTTTAAATTATTAATAATTAGCTTGTCATACTAAACTCTCCCATCAAAAGAGATGATGATAATGATGATTGTCATGATGACAATGTGAGCAAATAAATACTGATTGTATCAACTTTTGTTGTTGTTCCTTACTTTTAATGATTGCCTAGAAGACTTTAGCCATTGATTACATCGTGCCTTATATTGTTCCTCGGTCAATTGCACGGCTTTGTGTTTAAGAACATCAACCTTATGGTGTTTTTTATGTAGATAAAAATTGTGATTTTCTTCTGATACGATGTATGGACAATTTTTGATGGTACAAGCTTTGTATTTCTGGGAGAGGAAAAGAAAGAGAAAAGAAAAAGAAAAAATAGTTACCCTTAGGTTATCACATTGAAAGCTTCATTAATAAATGATGATAACATCATCTTTAATCATAATTAGCTTAATCATCCTGTCAATATAATCAACTAAATATTTCAAGTCGTGATTGTTGAAAATAAATTAACTTAATTCACCAAAAATTTACTTGTCATCTCAAGTTAATCAACTCTCTCTCTCTCTCTCTCTCTCTCTCTCTCTCTCTCTCTCTACTCTGTTGGTGATGATTTTATGTTCATCGATTTTGATTATAACAATTTAATCAACTATTTTAATTTGTTTGATTATTTTTCTCGTTGTTTTCACCAGAACGTCAATCTTTAAATTATTAATAATTAGCTTGTCATACTAAACTCTCCCATCAAAAGAGATGATGATAATGATGATTGTCATGATGACAATGTGAGCAAATAAATACTGATTGTATCAACTTTTGTTGTTGTTTCTTACTTTTAATGGCTCTGGTTCTGGTACACGCTTTTTAGACTTTCGCCATCGATTACATCGTGCCTTATATTGTTCCTTGGTCATTGTGCTGAAATTTCCATGTAAAAAAGAGAAAAAGAAAGAAAAATTTTCAGAATAATCAAAAGTTGATTCCGGAAAAAGAAAATCTAATCATTTCTATCAGTAATTAACTAACTACGTTTGATTAAATTGTGATAATTCTTCCTGTGTATGGAAACAGGACGATATCGACTGGATTGATGTTTCATGTGCCAAAGTTATTCCTAACGAAGTTGCAATAGATGCTTTTCTTGCAACTTCTACCTTCTCCGAGTCTCTAAGTTTTAATTCGGCGTTTTCTTTTTCCAGTTCATCAAGCCTATTCTTTAATTCGGTGTTTTTGGCGTAGAGACGATTTAATTCATCTAAATTCGTTTTGTTTTGAAAATAACTGATGTCTTCTAACGGGGACCTTTCTTCGGGAATACTGTAAGTTGAAAACCTCGATTTAGATTGTAAAGTGTTAGTGTTTATTTGACTAACATTTCCGCAAAATTCTAGGATGGTCCTAGTTTCGCCGACTAAGTTAGCTGCTGGATTTATGTTACAAATAATTGCAGCCTTTCCAACACCAATAAAATAAGGCTGTAAGAATTTGGTTAAACTAGAGTCCCGAAAAGGGACTATCTCTTGCTTGGAGCTGTAATGAAAAGAGAAAAAAGAACGAGATTAGATTGAGAATTGACTGATTGATTGAAGAAGTAAAAATAAACTTACTTTTTTTGATTGTTTCTTAAAATCCTGATACACTTTGACAAATTCATCAGTGAATTGTTTATTCTACCTCCTTCTTTGGTTCTACACCCTTCGGTGTTAGTTTTTTTCTGTCTCTCCGATCCAGCGAGATCACCAAGTGTCAAACTGTATTAAAAGAAATGAAAAGATTTAAAACAAGAAGCTTAAAAAAATCATTCAAATACAAAACTTACTGTGAAACTTGAGGCTCCAATATTTTTCCTTCATCTTCTCTGAACTTAATCAGAGTGATACAAAGAAATGAGTGACTTCTACTAGAGTTTTGGTTCAGTCCAGTAGTTTGGATGTTTCTTTGTAGATTTGTCCATCCGTAAGAGTAGATTTTTAGAGCTTCCGTAAGGGATGAAACCATAACTGATCTTAAATCTTTAACATAATAACGATTTTTTTCATCAGTCGATAAAGATAAAGCTGTGCCTCGACCACCAGAGGAATTCAATAAGTCATAAACAAATTCATTGTAAATTTCAAAATACGATAGATAACAAATATACTGATAACCATCCTCATTAAAACTAATATTATTATTGGAGACATCGGCATAAATCACATTACGACAACATCGACTGGCAAGGATTGAATCTTTGTATTGTTTCTCGAGGTCTTGAGTTTTTTGATCAACCAGAGTCATATCACAGAACTTTGATTTGGCAAGTAGAGGTTCATCGATAAATTTACGGGAGAAGAAAATTTTCTTCAGTGACAATGGAATCAGTCCAGGATTAACTGTTGGATCTTCGTGAGGTCCTCTCATGGTGAACGATTTTCCACTTGAAGTTGTTCCATAACAAAAGAGAATTCCATTAACTCCATCAAGAACATCTTCAACCAGAGGTAAACAACATTTAGAGAAAACATTCAACTGATTAACTGATTCATCCAGAATCTCAGTAAAATTATACACTTTCCGAGTTGTATTAATTTTTTTGGCACTACCACAATTGGAAGAGATTTTCTCGTCGATGTAAATTTTATTAGAGTCTATTATCTTATAAGGTGATTCTTCAATCGTAAAATTATCTATTGGTCGGATTCTTAAAAATGTTGCAATTTTCTCGTCATCAGAAGTGAGCAACGATTTCGTAGTTATATTGGTCGTAGAGCTTAAAAAATTGGTAAGCTCGTCAACTAGTTCAATGCTATTATCAAGAACACAAATTGAAGATGAGAGAGGATCCATTTAATCACAATAACTTATTCTAAAGGCACAGTTAACACGGAAAAGATAATCTATATGGCACACAGAGGAAGGCGAAGAGACACGAGACAGGAGAAGAGGCAAATCACAAGATAAAAATCATTAAAAAACTAATTACGAGACAAAATGTCCGAATTCCGGTCAACAGGTAGCCATTTTTACCAATGTTTTTTTCGGTTGACAAAATAATCCTGTAAAGATTTCGAAAACCAATTCGACCAATCAGAGAGAAGAATAAATTTGTTAATGTGCTTCCATCTAGCGGACATGGAATAAAATCCATTGAAGTTAATTCAATCGTTTGAAATGATTCATTTCAATCAAACGAACAGTTTCAATTTTTGGTAAGACTCAAACCGAGAAAAAATTAGCTGAAAATTGAGAATATCGAGCTGACGGACATATCTTGAGTCTTACGCAATTTTTATTGACTATTTTATTGTCTTTTTTCATGTGTCATCAATTTAGTTTATGTAAATCTATTAAGAAAAGTTAACATTACGATGTTTACCAAAAAAAAAGTAATGGACTAATGAAAGAATATCAAAGGTTTCATTTGATTCTAAAAACATTATCATGAACTGGTTTAACTGGATCTTCAAATTCTGGAGTAATTAGATCGGTTTCTGCTCGGTATTTTCTCATTAAGGCGATTGTCTTTCTCAGACCTTCTTCTTTATCAGCTGGTTTTGGTGCTTTATCGATGGCATTTAGAATTCCATCGACGTATTTTTCTGCGTCAAAATCTTCAGCTTCTTTAACGGCAGCGAATATTTCGGCTCTAAATAGTTTCTCTTTTTGAATATTCCTTCGTAATCGAGTATATTTAATAGCCGAAAGATTGTTTTTGATCCATTTTATCCGATGATGTTTCTTTATCTTTCTATGTCTGATGTGCATAATAGTGTTGCTGTAATTGAAATCTGGTATTGATCCATATTTGTCCTTCTTTGAAATACATTTGATTTCATCTAATTTTCTTGGATCACTAATCTCTGGTGCAATGGTAACACGAAAATCATAAACAGAAGGAGCAAATAATTCATTTATCAATGAGAATCGGGTTGGCATTTGTTGTCTTTGAATAGGGACACCGAATCTTGGCTTTTCCACTATGGGAAATGTAACTTTGGCTGGAGGTAGTAAAGGTGGAGGGGGAATGGAAGCCGGTGAACATATTGAAAAAGCTTTAGATGAATAAATTAAATGCCTTGATGATGATCTAATTGAAATAAGAGAAAATCAAGAAAAAAACAGAAATAAATTAACAAGATATAAACAATCACATGGTAATAGAGAAAAAGACTTACCCTAAAAAAGAAGATATTTTCGTTAAAGTGTTCATCTTATTCTTGGTCTAATTCGTTGAAAAAAGCAATAGTAGAACTTGGAGTTTGAAATTTAATCGGAGAAATCAGATTTCCAGGTGATTAACATTTTAAATTAAAAATCAAACAATTAAATAATTAATTGTTTTGGAAAAAAACATTTCCGATGAAAATAGAAAACAAGTTAACCGTTAGATGGAACCACTGAGACGGAATTCTTTTCAGAGAAAGTTTTATCTCTCATCGCAAGATGGAGTCACGAGCTTCGTCCACAATTAATTTTTTTCTTCTGACTCGATTTTTAGAGCTCCTGATAAATTTTAACTTAATTAACTTTACCTGTGAATTTAAAATTAAATTTGGTGATATCATTGTTTATCTAATCACAAGGATCAAGTTGATACCAAAGCTATGATGATTCAAAAGCTACTTTAGTTGTTTTCGTTACTCTTAAAACTGATCCATTATTGCGTCGTAATAATTTCAACCATTTTTGTTTTCTTGGTAAGTTTTTGTCGATAATTGTTTTCACTTTTTAAAAGTTTGAAATTCTAATTTTCTTTTGTTTTTATTTTTATTTGTTCTTCATGTCATACCTAATAAGCTAATCTTTTCTGGGCCGTTGGATAATCGCCCTATTTCGGGATCAATTTTGAACTGACTCTTGTCTATGGCGAACAAGTTGGTTGAGAACAGCCCTTATGGGGTCGACGAACAGGATTTTTGTCCATTTTAGTTTTAAACTAATTGTTAATTGATTTCTCACATGTAATCTCGACCTCAGGGGAGAAAATTTATTATTTATTTCGTTATTATTTTCCATTTTATTATCATTCCCTTCCTTGTCCCTTTTTCCCTATCCCTTGGTAATTGTAATTTATCGAAGCCTCGACTGAGTTCGCTGTTGAAGCTTAAAAATAAATTTTCTTCAGTTACATAAAAATGTATGTAATTACCTCAATTGCTATTCAATTTGACTTTAACCTAATATTAATCATTATTTGTTGATCAAACCGACACCTAAAAAGCTACTGAAATTATTTTAATTTAATGATAACCTTTTCGCTGATCTTTTCGCAAGTCTTATTGATGTTTTGACAATCAACATGATTAATACTTAATTGTTAAGATGATTAAAACTATTAATTGTTTATGATCTCGTCGATCTTTTTTTCCGTTACTTTTTCAACGCCCAAATAGTTACCCCATTCAGCTAAGGTCACCAAATGATCATCGTTAGGGTCACACGAGTCCAAAAATCGACCAATACAAGGTTCCATTGATAATAAAGGTGCTCGAAGTGGAAACAGTTCATGTCGAGAGACTTTCCTATTAACCCAAAAATTACGTTAAAAATGATTAACTTAATTGTGATTAAATTAAAACGGATTATAATAAACACCATAGGCAGTGATTAAAATAATTGACCTGGAAATTGATTGTAATCCAATTGAAATCTAATTCAATCAAGCGATTAACTTAAATTTGTGTATTCACATTTTTCTTGTCCTTAAACTTTTTCATTAACTAAATGAACACTTTAATTGTTGAGTTGATTGTTAGACTATTTTAAATCTAAGGTTTATCTAGATTTACATATTAAATCAACTTAAATGTTAATTTTCTTGATACTTTTTGATTGCTAGAAGGAAAAATTTAATTTCCATTCCTTTGTACTCCAAATTGATTTGAAGTACAAGTTGTATTTAATATTGAACGACAAATGTTCAGAGTTAATTGTTAACATTTTCAACACTGAATTGTAAAGATTAATTTTGATTGTCATCAGTTAATTGCTCACCTATCATGAGGTTCAGTGTCTAAATCACAAAACTTCCAGATGATCGCATTAATCCAACCATGGTGATAATTGTCCTTCTCGTGATCAGCGGGCTTTGGATATTTCTTGCTGAGAAAATGAAACATTTAAACATGGAAATTAGTTTTAATTGTTGACCATTAATTAACCTTTTAATTACCTCATGATTGTATAAAGCCATTCCTTCATTCGCCTTGGGAAATCAGCCAAAGTACCTTGATCACAAGATCCAAGCTCTTTCCATTCACCCGATTTAATTGTGAGTAGAAAATCAGATCACAGTTTGTAATCAGCTCTTCGGTTGCAATTTAATTTTTTATTTAAAGAATCAAGACTAATACATTGTGAAATCATTGATAAGAAGCTGATCAGTCGACTATGTTAATCTTCCAATTGATTAGGTGATAAATTCCGTGGACATAAAATATCGATGCCCGAAGGTTTATCGAAATCATTACTACGACCAAAAATTTTTTCTTTCAACAATTATAAGTAATTTCTTTAAGATTTACAATAATGTAATTGGTGAAATATTGCCCATCAAAAGCATTGAAAAAACGCTCTAAACACATACATGTTAACTTTTCTTGGAGTTTTAACAGTTAAGTCAGTTTAATAGTTAAATATTTTAATCATTTGTAAACTCGACTTCATGGTGATTCAAGTGTTGTTGGTTGATTTGTAAGAAAATCAAGAATCAATCATGAATGATAATTGTCCAAATTTATCGTAAGAAAATTGTAAACTGAAAATACAAAATCGTTTCCAATGTGTTCATCAAGATGGAAATTAAATCAACTTAATCACCATGAGGTCGAGTTAAGAAATGGTCAGTGTTTTTATCATCTTTAATTATTAGAATGATAGTCAATACTTTTGTCGGTTTGAAAGAAAATTGGTCAAACCGTTGGTAAGTAAACGAATAGCTTTTTATGTTGACAAGTGAACTTGAAATTGTAAACAATTGAGACAATTTCCAATGCTCATTGTCTTATTTATGACCGAAGGTAATTCTCACTGGTCATTTGGACCAAAAGAAAACAATAGTTTCCTTGGTCAACTTATTCCTCTTCTGTGAGCTTTCATTTTATTGCTCGAATATGTTCAGTCCTGTTTCACAAATTCTTTAAGTAAACATTGAAGTTAATCCCTTTGTCTTTGTTAATTTTTACGAGTTTTAGGTTAAAATTGCCAAAGAATCCATTAAAATAGAAAGGGTTTTTTTAGTTTGGTGAAACAGGACTGAACCTGAACTGAAATAATTAGTGGCTATTAGCCACTGGCTAATGTACATAAATTTACAAAATTTAATTTTAAAAATTAGCTCCATTATCTTGTGACAAGATTCTTGTCATATTAACCGTTAAGATACAATTGTAATTATAGAAAAAACAAAAATTCTTTTCACCAAAAGATGGAGTTAGTTGTTAATCTCTTGAGCGGGTTAACAATCAATACTAATCCTTTGGATACAAAGAAATGAACTTGTCATTGTTTTGATCCATTTCTGTTTTATTAATTGATTGTATGATCGCTTTTTTTGTGCAACTATTTCTGTTTAATTATCTAGAATTGTGTTGACTCAATGGATCCTGTAACATCTCCAATTTCTCACTTCTATAACAGTTTTCCATTAGTTGTAGAATCACCAAATTCAGTAAATTGTGTGAGCAACAATTTAAATGGTAAATCATTGCTCACTTCTGATGACGAGAAAATTGCAACATTTTTAAGAATCCGACCAATAGATAATTTTACGATTGAAGAATCACCTTATAAGATAATAGACTCTAATAAAATTTACATCGACGAGAAAACCTCTTCCAATTGTGGTAGTGCGGAAAAAATTAATGCAACTCGGAATGTGTATAATTTTACTGAGATTCTGGATGAATCAGTTAATCAGTTGAATGTTTTCTCTAAATGTTGTTTACCTCTGGTTGAAGATGTTCTTGATGGAAATAATGGAATTCTCTTTTGTTATGGAACAACTTCAAGTGGAAAATCGTTCACCATGAGAGGACCTCACGAAGATCCAACAGTTAATCCTGGACTGATTCCATTGTCGCTGAAGAAAATTTTCTCCTCCCGTAAATTCATGGTTGAATGTAACATTGCCAAAGCAAAATTTGATGATGTAATTTTGACTGACCAAAAGACTCAAGAACTCTCTAAACTATTGAAAGACTCAATTCTTTCGAGTCCATTTTGTCGTAATGTTTCAGCTTCTAGCACGGTTGAGAAAAAAGATAATTTCAAGGATGATCAACCGCTTTATATTTGTTACCTCTCTTATTTTGAAATTTACAATGATCTCATTTATGATCTTTTGGATTCGTCTTCGTCTGGTCGAGAGTATCCTTTATCCTTGTTACCTGATGATACTCAAAGATATTATGTTAAAGATTTGAAGTCAATTCTTGTTTCATCGCTTTCTGAAGCTCTTAAGGTCTACAAGTTTGGCTGGAAAAATCTGCAAAGAAACATCAAACTGAACAAAGGATATAATCAAAGTCACTCATTTCTCCACATCACATTAGTCAAATTCGGTCTAAAATTATTGGATCCTCAAGTCTCACAGTAAGCACATGAAATTTACTTGATTGTTGATTTTCTTTTTCAAAAACATTAACCCTTTTGTTTATCTTCTATTTAGTTTTGTTCTCGGTGAACTCTTTGGATGCGAGCAAGAGGATAGCCAACCTAAAGGACATTGTGGGCCAAATATCAATATTCCTTTGATGAAACTTAGCGAATGTATCAATCAAGCCAAATTGCGTCAGAAAAAGTAAATATATTTACATAATATTTATCATGTGTTTTTTATCAACTCGACTTATTCTAATCATTATCCCGAAATTGTCTTATTACAGCCTCAATCGAAATCATGTTATCCCGTTTCGTAACTCAAACCTGACTAAATTTTTCCAGCCTTATCTTACTGGCACCGGAAGAGTTGTGATGATCATTAATATTAATCCTTCCCCTGATCTATTTGGTGAAACATTGCGATCTCTAAGATTTGGTACAACTCAATTTTATTCTCATTCGATGGACACATTTAAACCCACTGAATCAAAACAGAAAATGATTGTCGTTACCACAAAATCTTCAAATGAAATTATTACTGATGAAAACACTAATTTGATCCAGACGAAGAGAGAAGCACTGATTCGTGCTGAAGTAATTAGTGAATTTAAACAATTTCTTGATCATCAATCGATGGAACATGAAAAAGAATGTAAAATATTACGTTCTAAGTATGAAGAATTACTTGAAACTAGACTAACATTATGCAAAGAAAAGCATCAAGTAAAGATTAACAATATGCAAATGAGAATTGACAATTTGATTAATTTGCGAGACACTATCATTCAACCTGAAAGAATATTCAACAATAACGATTGTCCAACTATTGTAGAAAAACCTAAAGTGACCAATTCAGATGAAACATTTCCCATCAAATCGAATCAAATTTTAACCACTGACAAAATTAAATCTAAAGATGACAAAAGTAAGAAGAAACGAAGAAGATTCAATGGCAATAAAATTAAAAAAAGTTCGAATGATCTTTTAACCTCAACCAACGAGAACAAAAAGACGAAAAAAGTTCTGAAACAATCGAAGACAAAGAAAAACTGATCGCTCATCTCTCTTTTACAATGTACTTTCATTATTCTATTAAAATTAATGATCAAATTTCAATTTCAATTGATTTTATTAAAATTCACCGTTAAAACAGAGAGAAAAAGTTCCACTTCTATTTATCTTTGTATGGACTCTATTGAAAGACAAATCACCTGAAGGTTCAATATTAGAAAAGTTCATTACAAAAGCGATGCTGAAGTTTAACATGACGGGAATAATGAGAGTTTTTATATAATTAATACAAACAAATTAAGAAAATATCACGATATCAGGTAGACTATAGAAAACTATTGATAATATATTTATTAAGTAAGAATTAGTTATTATTCCTACAGTGTATTAATCTCACTCAATCTCTGTGTTTTCATCGAGAGCTTTTTAATTGATTTTTCGATGATTCCAATTTGGTTTTCTTTATGACAATTATTTTGGAATAAGCTGAAAATTTCTTTCCTCTATGATATAACGATTTGTGCGATTTAGCGAAGTGAGAACAGTGTTTAAATCTGAGTGATAACCAGCTACATATTGTACACATTTGAGCGAGTACATGATCATTAGGTAAATTGTAACAGTTTTCTTCAATTTCGGAAATTGAAATAGTCTTGGCTTTTCTGCGGTACCACATTTTATATGCTATGCTTGTCATGAGCACAAATTTACATTGAGAGGTCAAATACCCTGGGTTTTCACGCTCAAAATTCAAGTCATGCTGAGTTTTAAGATGAGTTGAATAATTATTGTTTGTAGGTAGCTCAAACCAAGAGCATAGACTGCAAATTCGTACAGGGTTAAGGTCAGGAGGGATTTCGTAATATGGTCCACCATCAGTTGATTTTGTCAAATACTTAAAGGCAGTCGTTGTACTTGATGAAAATTCATCGTGGGTCTTTGAGGTCGAAGGATAGACGATTGATCTTGTTGTTTCACTATTCATTTTCGGTACCATTTCCTCGTCCACTGGTTTCATCTCAATTTCTTTTACCTTTTTTTCAATAGTTTCCTCATACAATCGTTTTAGCTCCTCATATCGCTTGATTGGTACGAACTCTTTACAAACTTGTAAAATTTGTTTTTCTAGTAGCATATTTTTATTCTTTGCTTTCACGAGTTCATCTTTTAGTTTCTGATTAGCTGATTCGAGCTCCTTACCGACTTCTTGTTCCAAGGCCAAAGCGAATTCCTTTAGATCGATAACTTTCGTGTTCTCCAAAACCTTCTCTTTATCTTTAACCCATTGAGGATTAACGAGTATAAACTTTGGATATATAATTTTTTCGATAACATCACAGGTCAAAGATGAACAACATTTTGACAAAATCTTTTTCTGGGTCATCACTTTATCAACAAGTTTAGAGAACTTGAATGATTCTTTCTCATTTTGATCATCATTCAATTCATTACTTTTAAAAGAAACAGAATTTAAGTCGGAATTCACATTCATTGTAGAGAAAATTTCGTCAATTAAACTTGAAAACTAAACACCAAACACGAAAACAGTTAATAATAATAGATTTTTTTATTAAGCTCAAAATTTTTTTTCTTTGATAAAAAACAACAAAATTAATTTTATTTACAATCAACTACAGTTAATTGCCAGATAATCGTAATTGTAAACAAGACAACCGAGCTGTATAATTGGGTTCTGCCCCGTTCGGCCAAGTGTTTAAGCAAACATTAAAGTTAATCCCTTTGTCTTTGTTATTTTTAAAGATTTTTCTATTTTAATGGATTCTTTGACAATTTAAACTAAAACTTGTGAAAATTAAAAAAAAAACAAAGGGATTAACTTTAATATTTGCCTAAACAATTGGCCGAATAGGAATATACCGTTAAACGGAAATCAAGAGAGAGTGAAGGTTAATTCTCAGGCTGGTCGCCACTATCGCTTTTTTCGTTCTTCTTTTCGCAACCAAATTGGTTAAAGTTTATTTTCGTTGTATTAACGTCGTTGACCAATAAGATTTCAATTTGTTCTGCATTCAAACTTGAAATCAATCGAAACCTGAGTGAAAAATTTCATTAAAATCTTGACTCAAGATTCTTGAGTCAAGAAATTTTTAACCAATTTTCTTTTAAAAGTTATTCTTCGAAATTATCTCCATCTCTTAGTAGAAAAAAGAAAAATTAATCTTAGCGGTGATTTTCAAGTTGGAATTTAACTTTTCATTTTCTTGGATAATTAATCTGATTCTCATTTTGAAATAATTGAATTTCAACTTGATTTATTTTCTCTTGTCGATAAGTTAAAGTGAATGTTACTTATTTTTGTAAAAACTTTTGATGGAAAACCAGAATCAACGAATTGATTGAAGCTGAAACATAAGACACGTTCTCTTGCTTTTATTGCCTAGAGAGACTTTCATCCAACAGGAGGAGCAATTAAATTGTGATTAAATTATCAAATTGTAACAGTTTCTTTCTGATTGTCAGTTTGTTTGTATTATCTTCCTCTTCTTCTCATTTCTTTTTATTTTAATTTAATTTGTTTCCATCTCTCCGGCCATGAATATGGATGAATCTAATTCAGTTTGTGACAATAATTGTGATCTGCATAAAAATGAAGGTGAAAAGAAAAGATTATTCAAATTCTCAAAAATTGTTGATGATTTCGTGACAAAGAGTAAAATGTTGTCTGAATGCTGTTCAACTTCAAATCCTGATACTCTGGACGGAATTAAGAAACAAAAAGTGGTCACTGTTGACCTTAAATTGAAAAAAAGTAAAGAGATGATCGATACTAAAGAATTAGTGTTAACTCTGGAAAAAGAGGCTGAGAAAAAATTAGATTCTCTGAATTTGGAATTTGAATTAAAGCTTTTCCAATCTAAGAAAAAAAATATTCTACTTCAAGAAGACAATTTCAAACTTCGTAAGGACACAGCAGCGATCAAAGAGCAATATGAGAAAAAGATTCATGATCAGGAGATGGAGACCCAAAAGAAATTAAAAGATCTCCGGAAAGAATTGACTAAACCTCTCGCCAAAATCGCTAATCAACAAAGTCAAACTGAAGAAAAAGTTATTCCAATTAAAGAATTAGAAAAGGTACAAAGTGTTTACGACATGGAACTGAAGAAACTAAAAGCAACTTATGAAAAAGAATATGAGGCAAAATTATTGGAACAACGATCGTGCCTGGAAAAAGAAAATGAATCAAAATTAAATCAACTAAGAACAGAATTAACTAAATTGTTGGACATTTCAATGGACAAAAAAATTCGATCAGAAAACAAAACTATTGTGGACGATGAAGTGATCTTTGTACGTCAAAGTTTCTCACAGAAAACACCAGAGACGATGGAAACAGGTGAGCAAAGAACTAATCATAAATCTAAAAGTAATTAAATTACATGATAATATAATTTTATCGTCCAGAAGAAAACAAAACCAGAACAAAAAGTTCTAAAAATTCTGATCCTGATCAGTCAATAAATCGATCGAACAGACGGACCAGATCAACGGAGTCTAGAACAACGAAAAGAGCGCGGATTGAAGTACCTGTTGAATCAAAAGTACCAGAAGCTCCAAAAGTTTCGCCAAATTGTAGTAGCGAATCTCGTTCAAAATCTTCGTCACCCTCTCATTCTAATGAACAGTTATCATCGAAAGCCAATTCGCTCTCTGGATATGATGTAGAAAGATATGTTTACACGGGAGCCGCTAAGCTCAATAAATGGGTGTCTGAATACGAACAATTTAAAAGTTCATGTAGCCATGATGAATTTTTGACCTTTGCTTCGATCATTAATGTCTATAATTTGCTGTCCTCGAATGTGATTCCAGTTAATCGATCAACTCACCAAGATTGGTTGGTACTCATAGTGTTTGACCCATGAAATTTTCTTTTACTAATCTCATTTGAATGACTTTTCTTATTTTCCAATAGGAGTGAAAGTAAATTACAATTAAATTATTCGGAGAAAAGCGCTAAAAAATATCGTGACTCAAGCTATCAGATTTTCTTTCATAATGATGCAGCTCCTAAAAGTCATTTAGATTTCAAAAATTTGGTGGATGAAAATTATGACAATGAGAAATCAAGATGTAAATTAGCCAATTGTCCGTGTGGAAATCGATTCGAAAAGGCCAAGACGAAACACAATATATCTCGTCACATAAGTGAGAACTTTTGTATTTTTGTTTGTAACAAATGTAGCTCTTCATACCACATCATAGCCTCTCTTTTCGGACATTACGATAACTGTTGTAGTGAAAGATGCAAAAAAATGACCAAACTCAAAAGATCGGGAGAGTTGAAGCCATTTTTGAAGACAAAAGAAACTCCGACAACCTTTTTACCCGTCATCACACCAGATTCATTCAAGATCGGCGTTGATATGATGGCTAATCGATTCAATGGAAATTCGAAGCGCAAAGGTCAATTTTCTGAAAAGATTCAGGGAATTTGTGTCTTCATTACGAAAGAAATTGCTGAATTCGAACCTGCTAAGCTCGTTTTAGACATGTAAGTTGAAGTAAATGTAGTTCGTTGTAAATTATAATTGTTACTTTTATTTCTTTTACAGTCCAAACGAGACAGTTCCGATTTATTATCTTACTGTGAATAAACCGTTCATCTATTGGGACATGGATGCTAAGAGATCGACAAGTTACTACGAATATAGCGAAGCCATAAGAAAAGTGGAAAAGAGTGAAGATCAATTTGTCTGTGGTTTCGAACGATGTGTCAAGTGTACAAACTCTGACGACCGAAGAAAATCTAAAAATTACCACACAATTAGAGGCCACATACAATCGTATAATTTTCGACTTGGATGCATCAGTTGTAAATGTACTTTCGCCTCTTTCGATACATTGGATGCTCATTACACAGAAAAGTGTATCAAATCAATATTAACGAAAGCAATCGAGTTGAAAAGGAAAGAAAATTCAGAGAAAAATGCTAAATAAATTTCATCTTTATTGTCTATTCATCATTTAAATATCATAACAATATCGCCAAAATAATACTAATCAAACAATAAACAATAACTATCAAAGTTTAGACTCTAATTACTGATTGATTTTGGAATTGCATTTACACTCCTCACTCTGTACTTGTTCAATTAATTCAGTAATCGATTATTGGACATTTTGTTTCGTTCGAGAACTGATTCGTTTTTCACGAATCGATTTACCTTTTCTTTCTTTCTTTTTCAGGCCAAAAGCAACGATAAGAAGGATCCTACTATCGAAGTAAATATCAAACAGTTCAGAGATGCTCAAGAGATTCGAAGATCATCTTTATCATCTTCAACATTCTCTCACGGGTACATCAAGCTCGATCACGAGCCGAATCACCGTCAGTCCGTTTTTGAAAAAAAAATGTTACTTGGAAATTAATAGAATTGATTTTAAAATATTCAATAATTAATAATCAATAAAAGGAAATTAAAATTAATTGTTGATCAATAATCTGAGTCTTATTTTGTTTGTTGAGAATCGTCAGTCTCAAGGATTGGGTTAATTTCCATTAATTTCCATTTGATTACAGTTCTTGGTAATAATAATTAATAATCAAATACATATTTAGTTATGAAAAAGAAAACAGTAAATTAGTTAATTGTGAAATAACTAGACAATCAGCTCTCTGTCTCTGTTAATTACCATAAATACTAATAATACAACCAATTGATTAACATAACATTGTAATGACATTGGAAATCAATGTAACGACCGTTCAACCTTAATAACAATTAACATGACCTAGAAATCAGTGTAATTAAATCAAGTAACTTAGGTCAGATAGTAATGAGTAGACTGATTAGTTTTATATAAAAAAACAACAATCAACAATTAAAGTAATCATTTCTTGATTAGTTCAATTTGCTTGTGTCACAATCAGTGGATGAATCAACAATTCATAATGAATAAGTTTACGTTGATTGTTATAATTAGTTCACTTTTATGTTCATTTGATTGTATCAAAATTTCATTTTCCTCTTGTGGTAAGTAAATATAGACTTTTGTTCATTTGTAATCTATTAATCAACTTTTAACTTTTTATTAATTGTTCGGATCAACAATTAAGGTGGAGAAGCATCTGAACTACGAATTGATGGTTGTCAAAATAATGTCGAACCTTGTGTTCTGCCCAAAGGTAAAACGGCTCATATTGAGGTCGATTTTGTGGCTCCGTTTGATTCCGATTTTGTTTACGCTGATGTAAGTCGACAATCGGACACTTTGTCAATCGCTATTCCAATTCCACTGTTTGATCGTGACGCTTGTACGAACCATGGACTAACCTGTCCACTCAAAAAAGGTCAAAATTACACTTATGTTTACGATTTTTATGTTGACCCTTTACTGCCGTCAATTAAAGGCAACTACTTATTATCACTGTCCACATTTTGGGGCTACGGTCTTGGTTGTATTAGTATTCCTATGGAAATATCGAGCAGTAATACAACTGATTTACTTGGTTTATTTGGTAATCGATTGTCGGTCGATTAAAGTTTCAAGTTCCAATTGATTTGAAGATTTTTCGCGAAAAATCCATTCATCTAATATATCACAGTGTCCATTTCTTTTGTGTGTAAATAACAATAATAATTATTCTCTCCTCTTTTGGTGAAACATTTTCTTTTACAAATAAACAGTTAATTCGAAATAAAAATCAATCCAATAATTTTACGATCTAAATGATAACCAACCATCAATCGAAATTGAAAATATTAAACGTCTCGAATTAACAGAAATGAAATTCGAGAGAAATTATTAAAAGGTTAAGACCATTTTATTCTCAACTGTCAAAGAGCAATTTACGCTTTAAATTAATGTACCAACGCAAATTTCGTTGGTCACAATCACAATCAAAATCATTAGAATTTAATTGAAACAATCAAAATTAATCATCGACTTTTGTTCTCACAAGTAGCGAACTCTGGTGATTGTTTTTCAAACGATTTTTCCATTGCCTCGAAAATTGAAATTTCTCATTTGTTTACATTCTAATTGTTGACCTGCAGTTGATTGTTTATCTTAATTGTGACTTTCGATCAACTTTTTATTTTGCAGAAAATCAGTTTAACAAGGATAGTTAATTGTTATTTCTTAGGTGATGATATTCTGTTTTCGTTTGTGAATAAAAATCTTACAATTCGGTTAACTGACAAGTGTGAGTTTCCTTTTTGGGGTTTGTGTTTTTCTCTCCTTGGAATATTATTTTCTTTTAATTGTAACTGTTAACTTGTTATCATTTGCCAGTTGACATGTTCTAGTTTACTTGGTTTGGGTTGTAATCAAATCGACAATTAAAGTGCTATTATTAATTATGTTGATTGTGTCAACTAACAAATAGTGTAAATTTTGTAACCAACAAGAGATAATAGAGATTGTTTCATTTTTTTATAATCTATTCTCGGTAAACAAGTCAACCCCTTTTACTAATTAAGATATGTGATTGTTTCTTAAATTGTTCAACTGTTTCACTCTCATCTTCACCATCTTTAATCATAATTATCGATCATCACCATCTAAAAAGTGTAACAATTAAATTAATTGTTTATTCAATTTGGGGAAAAACAAAATTGACTCTTCTACCTGTTGAGATTGTAAATCTTTCCATTCGCTGTGCTTCCCATTAAACCTAAACTCTCAATAGACAATCAGAGAAACCTACAAGTTAATCATCATCATCATCATCATCATCTGTTAGCCTAAAGGTTGACAATTAAATTAAATTAAAAGTGTTAACTTGGTTTACTTTTCCTTTTTTTGAATTTAGTTTCTTTTGTATTTTGTTGCTAAGGGGGAAGAATAGAGACAAATTGACTCCTCCCTTTTACCTAAACATCAAAAAGGAAAAAATTGTTTTGATATATTTTTGGAGACACTTTTCATTCAATCATTTGTTTCCCTTTTGATTACAATTAATTCTTCGTTTAAAGTATTCTATTCTCACCACAGTTTATATTGTTAACTCAATTGATCAAGTTCTCTATTGACGAAAATGAGCCAACAAGATGATATCAAAAGACCAGGGACTCGAGTTTTCAAGAAATCATCGCCCAACGGTAAGATAACCGTTTACCTTGGAAAAAGGGACTTCGTGGACCATATTTCACAAGTTGACCCAATAGGTGAGAATTGTAATTGTTTCATCTTCACCTCAAATATTTAGACTATTAACCCAATTAAGTAAATTGTTATGGTGACACTTGTACCCTCTTCTTTTGATTCTATCAATCTGTCTGTCATGTTTATTTACAGAATATCATCAATTTCCATCACCATAATAATCGTTAGATTTGTTCTTTGTCATATATTATTTACTAATATTTTTTATTTTCTCTTCCTGTTTCTTTTTTTCTCTCTCCTTTCTTTGGTTCCTAATCCATCTTTTCCTTTTCCTTCTTTTCCTTCTTCTTCTTCTTCTCTTTTTCTATCTGTCGAATTTTTTCTTCTTCTCCCTGTCCTTCTTCTCTATCATGATGATATTCTCGATGATTATCATTTATTTATAAATATACTGAACATATAACTCATTCCTCGATATTGATTAATTACACGAATATTTTCATTCTTCATGTTGATCATGCAATGTGATGAATTCATTGTTATGCTGTTCAATAAATCATGTTTTCTTTTTGTTTTTTTTTCTTTTTCTATTATTATCTAGATGGTGTAGTCTTAGTCGATTTGGATTATGTTAAAGATCGTCGGGTATTTGGCCATATTTTAGCCGCTTTCCGTTATGGAAGAGAGGATTTAGATGTTCTTGGATTAACATTTCGAAAAGATCTTTACTTAGCTTCAGAGCAAATCTTTCCAGTTCTAGAGGAGAAAAGCAAAAGACCTCGAACCAGATTACAGGAGCGATTAATCAAAAAATTAGGTCCAAATGCATTCCCATTTTATTTCGAGGTAAGAAACATACACACTTGATTTCTTACACTTAATTACCAATTACTAACCAAATTACTTTTCTCTTTCCTGTTTTATTATTACCATTAACCATTTCTCTCATGGCAATTTCTCTTAGTATTTAAGAAGAGAAGATTAAGAAAAGAAATATAAGCTTTTCTTTTCTTCATCTTTTTTTTCTCATGATCTGTTTTTATTTCACTCGAATTAATTTACATACATATTAGGAGATACAATAGTGATGTTTATAGTCTATCTCATGATATAAAATTCTGTTTACCCAGAAGTTTATTATTCCCATTCTGGTCTCTTTGCTTCCTTGTCTATTTTGTTTGAAAAAAAGTGTTAAAAATACTTCAATTACCGTTAATTATTAATCACCAGGATTTAATTATCAAGATTTGATGACGTTATTTATGTTCAACAACTTTAACTAAATTGAAATTGTTGTTTTTAGTTTTTCCCTTTTTTGATCATTTCAATTATCTAAATCATTTGAGTTATTTGTTTTTTTTTCTATTAATATAATATCTCTCTCTCTCTCTTTATTTATTTTTTATTCTCTATTTTATTCTCTCTGGATTACATTTGCGTTGATTTATTGGTCATCATCTAATTATCAAAGCTTCCACCTCATTGTCCAGCATCAGTTACTCTTCAACCGGCCCCTGGTGATACCGGTAAACCTTGTGGAGTAGATTATGAATTGAAAGCTTACGTTGCCGAGAATCTTGATGAAAAGCCACATAAACGCAATTCCGTTAGATTAGCGATCAGGAAAATTACTTATGCACCAAGTGAACAGGGTGAACAGCCAAGTGTCGAAATAAGCAAACAGTTCGTGATGTCGCCAAATAAATTACACTTGGAAGCTTCACTTGATAAAGAGGTTGGTATTAATTTCCCTTTTTTTTGTAATAATTACACTTCAATTAAATTCTAAACGATGTATCTCATTTAATGTGATAATTTAATAATAGATTTGATTGATAATTTGCTTGCCTTTCCCTTCTTTCTCCATATTTATATTTGGTTTTATTGTAATTAATATGATTCTATTTTCTCTCTCCCTCTCTTCTAGTTGTATCATCACGGTGAAGATATCGCAGTCAATGTACATATTGCAAATAACTCAAATCGCACGGTTCGAAAAATCAAAATATCAGTTCGTCAATTTGCTGATATTTGTCTTTTCTCAACGGCACAATATAAATGCTCGGTAGCTGAGATCGAGAGTGAGTACGTGATTGACAATCCATGTGTTATAACTTAAAATGTTATTAGTTTTGTTTAATTTGTTATTTGTCATTTTTTCCGTTCTATCTTATGTCATCGTCTACGATAAACGTCTTCCCTGTTTCTGTAAAACTTTTACAATCATCTTTCTAACTTAAATCACGATCAATCTAATATCGAAATCCAAACCTCACACTCAACTATAACCTTTAAACTCTCAGGGATGGTTGTCCTGTTAGTCCAGGATTTACTTTATCTAAAGTCTATTATCTGCGACCTCTTCTATCTGATAATAAGTCAAAAAGAGGATTAGCACTCGATGGTCAACTTAAACACGAAGATACAAATCTTGCATCATCAACAATGTAAATCATTTCGAAATTTATCTTCTTTTTATTTTTGTGACAAAATTTTCTCCTGACAATCTGATTGATCTTTTTTTCCCTTTATTCTAAATATCCATCAATCTATTTAGTATAACAGATCCAGAACATAAAGAAAATCTTGGAATAATTGTTCAATATAAAGTTAAAGTAAAACTTTGCTTGGGTCCTTTGGGAGGTGATGTTGTTGCCGAATTACCTTTTGTTCTGATGCACCCAAAGCCTGAAGATGATCCTGAGCCTTCTGGAGCAACACCGACTGATGGTGATCCAAATCATGTCAATAGCGAAGGAGCCAAACAAGAATCAAATGATTTTAATTTAATCCAATTGGATACGTACGTTTATCCATCATCTCCTTATACTTTGTTTTGTTTTCATAATGTCACTTTCTATCAACCTTTCACTCAATCTCTCACCGACTCTCTCTCTCTCTCTCTCTACTCTTCTTCATCAGCATGTCCTTGTACCTTATTTAACCTAAAAGTGAACCAATTTGCTTCACTTCTATTGGAAATCAAAAATGATTGACAGAAATCGGGATGTCATTAATTTTGATTTCTTTTTTTCTTTCGCATTTAATCCAAATCATAATGTTTATTTTAGATATTATCACTTTTCCCTTTATAACATTGACAACTCTAATTCATCATGTTATCCTTAATCATTTCCCGTCCATCAAATCACCTTAATATTTATTTTTACTCTCTCCCACATCTTACTATTTATTAATATATTGACTTAATTTTTTTTCTTCTCTCTCTCTCTCTCTCTCTCTTCCAGGGAACCGACAGAAGATGACATAATCTTTGAAGACTTCGCTCGGATTAGATTAAAAGGCGAAAATGATGGAAAGTAAATTAAATCCACTGACAAAATCGACAAAACCAAGAGACACAAATACATAAACAATTTAATAAAAAGACACAAGAAACACATATACACCAATCGCATACAACAAACACACAAAACAAATTAAATGAATTTCAATTCCTCTAAATTGTTTTTGTAAAATATAACTTTCTTTTGCCATGTAAAAAAACTACAGATTGTATCCATTATTATTATCATAATTATCATTTAAATTTTAAATCAAACAATCAAAAAGTATCTCATGTAGCTCTTTATATCACATTCTCTTTTCGGACATTACGACCATCATTGTTGTAGTGAAAGATGCAAAAAAATGACCAAACTCAAAAGATCGGGAGAGTTGAAGCCATTTTTGAAGACAAAAGAAACTCCGACAACCTTTTTACCCGTCATCACGCCAGATTCATTCAAGATCGGCGTTGATATGATGGCTAATCGATTCAATGGAAATTCGAAGCGCAAAGGTCAATTTTCTGAAAAGATTCAGGGAATTTGTGTCTTCATTACGAAAGAAATTGCTGAATTCGAACCTTCTAAGCTCGTTTTAGACATGTAAGTTGAAGAAATGCAGTTCGTTGTAAATTATAATTGTTACTTTTATTTCTTTTACAGTCCGAACGAGACAATACCGATTTATTATCTTACTGTGGATAAAGGGACATTTTGGATTCTAAGAGCGCAACGACTGCTCATGGAAAAGAAATAAATCAAAACTAAGTCAACTGAGAATAGAATCTCTGGTCATTTCAATCAGTTAAAAGATTTTCGCTAAGAAAATTGAACTATCATGGACGACGAATTGATCATTCAGTTTCTCACAGAAATTACCAGAGAAAATAAAAACAGAAGAGTAAAGTGTTAATTATAAATTTGATCAAAAAGAAGAGGAAAGGATCAATTAAAAATTAGAATATTGAATTAGATCAAATGGTAAAGTCGGTGGCCAGAAAGAATCATTCATTTTGATCATGAAAAACATTTCGATTCCGATAATATTTAAAGGATTTCCTCAGGAGGGAAAAACTTAATTTCTCAGTTCAAACGAATGGATAACACAATTAATACAATGTAAACTCTCAAGAAGACAAAAATATAAGAGATGATATTTCTGATTGATTATTCTACCTTAATTCTAAGATAATCAATTCGTCAGTTGTTTCCCATCAGAATATATTATAATATTTATAAGATAAATCAAAGATTTAAGTGTAAGCCTTTTTGTAAATAGAGAAAATTAATATTTATTAATCAAAATAGTTTTTTACATAAGTTTCAAATGGACTTTGGTTGGTCAATGAGTAAAAAGAAATATAAAAGTGAACATTAATTAATTACTATAATTGGAATCATAATTGTAAGTAACTTTAGTTAAAACTTTTCTACCGGGAAAGTAACCGGATATAACCAATAGGAATTGGAATCATAATTAAATATAAGTTGCAATATGATAACAATTAGATGTTCTCAAGTATGTCTCAAGTTATCAAACGGTTTTTCTTATATCAGTAAAGAAAATCTCCTTGACCGTCAGTTGATAAAGAGAATGTTAAGTTAGTCAGTTTATCGACTGTAATTGCTATTTTCTTTTCGTTCCCATTCAGTTTTAGCCGATTCAAACGCTACCTTTTCCATGACCGCTACTTGGAATTGCGAAATCACTATGTCAGGACCAATACCCGAATTTCTGTGATAATCTTTGAAGTGTTGACGATAACTATTTCTTCTACAGCTCTGTACCCATTGGCAAATAGAACATATTTGAACGATAAGATAATCCTCTGGAATATTGTAACAATAATCATCGACTATGTCGTCTATCAGTTGCGCTCGAGTCTTATCATCGTTCAAAGATTCATATATCGTGCTGTATATGATCATATCATTGTATTGGGAAATGATTGTCTCGTTTTCTAACCTCACAGAACTGTGTTTCGACTTGAAGTGTTTTGCATAATCGTAGGTCAGAACCTGTTCTGCCCACTTACATCTGGTACAAATACGAACGGCGAGATGATCCCAAGGTATCTCATAGAAGTCGAAAGATCCAGTTACTTTTTTAAGAGTTTTAGACAAGGATGATGATAGAACAGTGAGATCAAACATCCATGAACACGGAGGAAAATCGTGAAAATCGGTAGATACTAGTTTTCTTTTCACTTGAGTTGACCTTGAACTGGAAGGTTCATCTAACTGGCTCGTTGTTCCGCTAGCGCCACTGCCCTCCCTTGTGAGTTGACAACCATCAAATTATTGATCAAAGTGGTCTGATTATTCAGGATATTTGCTAATTCTTGTGAAATGTTGTCTTGATCCATTGGCTCGGTTTTTAAGATAATCTCAGAATCTGTTTGAGCTTCTTTATCCACCATCAGAGTAGATTCATTAACTGGTTCTGATGATCTCTGTGAATTGTTGTTTTGATCGATCATCGTCTCATCGTCATGATCTATCTCATTGTCCGTCTGAACTTCTTTATCCGTGGAAATAAACAAACATTGGGTTAATTCTGTTCTCAGCTGATCCATTTTTGATGAATGTTCTTTTTCCAAATTGTTTCTTTGTTCTAATAATCTCTTTTCGAAATCCTTTTCAAGCTTTTTTCTAAGCTCGTCCAATTGCACATTAATGTTCTCTAAATTGTTTAATTGCGTCGCTTTTTTCTCGATTCCTGGTAACCGTTTTCCATTATTGGCGAATCGAATTGATGGACATTTTTGCCCAATCCAAGATCACGAATTTTCTTCTCATAAGATTCCTTGAGATCGTTATATTGCTGCATGGGTATGAATTCTTCACGAACTCTTAAGATTTGCTCTTTCAGCCCAATATTCTTTTCTTTTCTTCAACGAGTTGATTTCGAAAATACAAACTAATTGATTCAAATCTTTTCTCTACTTCATTTTCCAAGGTTGACATTAATTCTTTGAAACTGATAACATTTGCTTTTTGTAGATCCACCTTTTCATCAATGTCTGACTCCAAATCAATTGTCACAACATTGGAATTATCGTTGAATCCATCACGAGAATTGGAGGATAAAGTTGAACAACATTTACAGAAAATATTCCTTTTGGTCATCAAATCATCAACAAGTTTAGAGAATCCAAATTGTCTTGAAGTTTCACTTTCACTTGTATTGGCCTCACAACTTCTTCTTGAAGCAAAAGAACTTGAATTAGAATTGTTCAAATCCATGGCCAATTAAAAGAGTCAAAAAAGGATGAAAACCATAAACAGAAACACGTGAAATGTTTCAATCACTTTGAAGATAAATTGTCAAACCGATTGACTCACCTATTGATTACAATTTGGCCTCAAGTTTCAATTTATTTGCTTTGTTTACGTTTAACTTAAAAATAGTTATCAAGATAATCAAGATAATTATCATTATAATTTTTGTTAAACAAAAGTTCTTTTTGAGACTAACACCATCTCTTGGTGGAAAAAAACAGTTAATACCAGCGGTGATTTTCAAGTTCGATTTTAATTTTTTCTCCCGGTAAGAAGATTGGCAAAAAATTAAACTTTCCATTTGAGAAATACGACTTTGTACATTTTGAGGAGCATGAAAATAACGCAAAAGATGAATTGTTTTTTCTGACCTAATCAATAGTTTTCGATTATCGACCAACATCAACAAATATAATTTATTGCCGAGACTCACTTGTCTTAATAAATGATAGTGGGCAGCTACAGTTTGTTCAGAAATTGCTAGCTCTAGGGTGGACATTGAAATTGATTAGTTAAATTAGCATAATATCCCCTTCAAAAACATTAGAATGTTCAATTTAGATTTTTCGAAGATGGTTCCTCTAGTCCGATTGGATTGAAGTGGATTTTAGTCGCTAATCCATTTTATTTGATCTTTAAGCCGTTTCTGTGTCTCTTTAAATTGTTCACATTGAACTTGAACGATTGTAATTTAATTGTTGAAGCCATTTTGAAAGAAAAAGATTGGTTTATTTTAATTTGAATAATTAAGTACAAAAATTATGTAAAATGTGCTCTAATTTGCGCCTTTTTGTCATTAAAAAGTGTTACCAATTGTTTGATTATTTAATTGATTATTTAACAAGAATCAACTAAATTAATTTAATTTCTAAAAATAGTCATCAGTCTAAAGCCGAAATAAAATCAGCTCAAAGTTAAATTGTCGTATCTTGAGTCTTACCAAATTTCATTATTTTCAAGTCCACAATTTGACGAATCAGGAAGATACTTTGGTAATGGTGGTAAACTTGAATTGGGCTTATCGAAGTTTGTATTTTCGTCAAGAGTAGAACCACTAAAAGATTGATCAGTAGAGTTACAGAATTTCTTTTTCTTTTCAATCAAATGAGATTCTAAAACGGAATCTGGAGAACAATTCGATTGACTTGTGATCTCTTGTAGACATTTTGATCTTGAACTTCTTCGTCTTTTAAGTGATACGACGGAGACCTGATCATCATCTTCGTTTTCCAGTTCGACTTCAGGGTCACTTGGATTAGAATGTTGATGGAAAATTTGAGTAGGCTCATGTTCTCGAGATGAACAGTCTATTGTATCTGTTTGTGGCTCTTTATCTGTCGCAATGTTCATTAGTTGGGCCAATTTCTCCTTGAATACATTCAGATGCTCTTTTACTTTTTCATAGATTGACTGTAACTTCAATTGGTTTTCCTTTTTCAATGTTTCTCTCAGTTCTTTGATCGCCTGTTCATGTGAATGATGAACAATTATCGTATCACCTTCATGAATTATTTCATCTATTACGTTTTCTTTTTCGCTCGTGGCAATCAAACCTTGTTTCGAATTAGATTTGCGTTGATCTGAAATGATCTTCATTTCTTTTTCTAACTGACACTTCTGAATTGGAAATTCTCCTTTTTTGTCTTTGGATCTTGAGAGCGTCGATGCTTCATTGATAAAAATTAAACTTTCCCTCATACGATTAGCGGAACTCTTTCCAAGATTAGTTAATTCGTCCTCAATTGATGACAACTTTTTCTGCGTTTCCTTTTCTAAAGTTTCTCTCAACTCTTTCAGTTCCAAAGCATGATAAGCTCGAATTATTTCCAACTCGGAGACTGGAACCACTGTTCGATTTTCTTGGTGATAGATCCTATCGATTTGCTTTGTAAGCTCTTTTCCAAGATATTCCAAATCCAAATTAGCTTTGTTTTCCAAGTCATGAATCTTTTTCTCATATGATTCCTTGAGTTCATCCAATCGTGCGATGGGTACGAATTCTAGATTCTCCGTTTGTGATTCTTTATCGCTCGATCCAACTGAATTCTCATATGTTTTCGCATTTCTATGCGGACGATCTGTAAAAATCGAAGGCAAATTGTGGAAAGTAGCAACACCGAGTTGTAAGCATTTTAGAGTTTTATGTAATAATATTGAAGATGGATCGATATCAACAATCATCCAAACTTTTCTATTGTCACCCAAACTAGAAATGAAAACAAAAACAAATTATTAAAATTGATCAAAAGGTAGAACTATTCAATTAAATTTACCTTTTAAGAGTATTTTTGCTTAGGTCGAAACGATCTTCGAGTTGTACCAGTTTCGTAAGGATCTTTACCATTTGTGTGTTATTTTCATATCCTGAGAAATCGCCTAAAGTCAAACTAAGGTTACAGATGAAAAGATCACAAATTCAATGAAGTTAGTCGGAATGATGCGATTGTACAACTAAAAGACTTACTGTGACACTTTCGATTCCAAGACTTTTCCTTTATGTTGCTTGAACTTGATCAATGAGATACAGAAAAACGGATGTCTTCGACTCATCGAAGTATCTGGAATGTTTTCCAAAGTGTTTTTTTGTCGATTCGTGGATCCAATTGAATAGATGCTAAAAGCTTCTTCGAACGATGAAACAAGAACTGACTGTAATTCAGTTTTAGGTTGATTCTGTTCATCATCAGTGAACAAGGGTAAAGGTGAAATTGAGCCATCAGATGAAGGAGCCAAAAGGTCATAAATGTAATTGCCGTAAATTTCAAAGTGTGAAAGGTAACAAACATGTTGATATGAAATATTTTCTTCTTTATTGCCAACTGCATGACTATCGTTGTTTTCAATGTTCGAGAGAGCTGATTCTTGGTCAGTTGAGTCCGAAGAGTCAATTTTCCCACATGGATCGATAATAAAAGAACGTTTAGAAAAAATCATTCCCAGTGCAAGTGAAACTAAACCAGGGTCAGAACTTTGATCTTCAATTGACCCTTTCATCGTGTATGATTGTCCAATACAGAAGAGCAAACCATTGACTCCGTTGAGAACGTCGTTAATTAAAGGTAAACAGCATTTTGAGAATACGCTTTTTTGACTCACCGAATCATCTAAAAGCTCAGTAAATGCGAATAACCTCATGAAATCACCTTTATCCCTATTGGAATCACTTTTTCTCAAATCAACAGATAAAATGTTGGAATCAATCACTTTATAAGGTCCATTCTCTTCACCTGAGGACTTGGTCGAAGGTTTAATTCTCAAGAAATGAGCAAATTTTGAAGACAATAATTCATTACAAGGTGAAAGGTCAACACAGTTCAAATTATCCATTACAGTTTGAGGGAGAAATGTAAATAAATTTAGAAAGACATTAAATTATTCACTCTTTGAGGTTAACTGATTGAATTAAATTAAAGAAACCAAAGAAAAAAGAATTGTAAGAGTCACCTATTGGTGTAAATCTTTTCTTCTTATTTGTCCAATTTAAATTGATTAATGCAATCAGTTGTTATTAGAGATTAATTGTAAAACATTTTCTTGATACAGCAATGAATTTACTTTTTTCACAAGCAACGGACTCATTCAGAACAATGGGCTCATTAGAATATATTTGATTAGAAACCAGACCAAAAACGAAATAACGCACCCAAAATCATTCGAGGCAAATCCAATTTTCTCGAGTTTCTTTTTCAATTATTCATTTTCTTTAAACATGAAAAATTGGAAGCTTATCCCCAACAACTAAAAATATCACACAATCAGTACTAAATGGTAACATTTAATCCATTGCTAAATCATGTCAGCAATTGAACCAAATACTATCATATCAAAATAATGGAATGATATCACGATAAATGCAGTTTTATATTACAAACAATCAGATTAGAAATTTCCTTGACAATAAAATAACAATTAGATGAATGAAACAATAAACTTTGATAGTAATTATTGATGATCAGGATCAATTGATAAAAAAATTGAAGTATATAAAAACTATTGGTTTTCAAGAATGAGAAAATATTAAAGTGTTAACGAGGACAATAAGTTTCCTAGTAATTAAAACTAATTGTAAGTCAAAATGAAATCAATATTGTTGTTTGTTGCTTGTGTTTCTGTTGTTATTTCATCAACAGTCTCAGTTAAAATCACTGGTACTTGTCCAACACCAACCAAACCACCAGGAATTGACTATTGGTATTTCAGTTATGTAAGTACTTATGAACGATTATTAATATTTATAATATTCTCAATTGAACTGATTGAACAATCAATTTATTTGCTTGCAGTTCACTGGAATCAAAGGATGGTATGAAGTTGGACACAGCGATGAAACTGTCCCAAGAACCGTTTATAATACTATTGAGTTCGGTCATCTTTACCCTGGAAAAGTTTACATGTTGAGAAAAGGAGCAACTAGAGATATGTAAGTAAATTATCAGTTCGATAAATGAAGAGAAATATATTGACAAGACAATTAATTGTCCAACAGAGAAATCACATCTGTTTTTGATGAAAAAGTTGATTATGTTGTCGGTGATTTCGATGGCAAATCTTATTATGACATTAGTGAAGATGACAGGCCAGTATCATTCAAATACACCAACGAAGGTAAGAATCAACAATAAGATTGAAAATTTGCAAACCAATTGCTAATTAACTTTTGTTAATTGCTACAATTAGATGGTAAACGAGTAACTGTTTCGATGCCTTACTACAATGAATTCACTGCAATGATTTCAACCTGTTCTGACAATGGCGATGGAACCGTTGACCGTAAGTATTTGAATCAATCAATCTATCAATAGATTTACAATTACATCAAATTAATAATTTCTTTCCTCAATTTAAATTATCCAACAGTTAAAGCCTGGTACTTCTCACGAGCTAGATCAACTTCAATCCCAGATGAAGTACAAAAAGTTGCTAAATCTTTGATTGGTAAAAATTTGTCTATAACCTGTCAAGGTGATTTCTGTTAAACAATCAATTAAAATATAAATTAAAGATCTTATTTAAAGTATCAAATCAAAATACTGATTTCTATTTTCATTCCAACTTATCATTACAATTGTTTCTTTGTTTTTGAAATAAATAATTGCTTTTCATAGATCTCGATGCTTTGAACCTTTTGGATAAGTTATTGTTGAAGCAAAAAGTTGACTCGAATTATCCAAACTGAAGCAACAGTATTCAGTATCGAAAACTGAGATGAGAACATTCAATTCTATCTACAGAGAAATAATTTTTTATAATCGTGATTATACAATATTTTGGTTATTTTTCTATTGTTCTCCATCTCAATCAATTCAAATTTTACTTTTAATTTTTTGTGGTCATCACTGGTGACTGGGTGTGTATAATCCAAAACATTAACTTTACTGTCATAGAAATAAATAAGCATAAAGTGTTTATTTGAATGCTCCGTTAAACGCATAGAGTTTCAACTCGAAACTCGAAATTAAAATTTCGCAAACATCCTGTTTAAGAAAAAGTGACAACCCAGTTTGTGATGAATATTAGCTCAATGTATTCCATTCCATGAGGATTTTCTCAATCTGGAAAAGGTTTTGACAATTGATCAATATACTTTCTTATTTAATTTCATAAAAAGAATAGTAATTGATTAAAATTTTAGTAGCTGATTAATAGATTTATAATTTTATGTAAAAATAAAAATCGGGGAAAGTATATTGATCCATTTTGAATCAGATGATTAACATCGTTTTCCATCAATACTAAATTATTTTAAATGGTCAATTAGTTAAATCGTGCTTATAAGTGATTATTTCTTATTTGGACTGTGGCCTTATATAAATCGTGATTAAATTGATTACAAAAGATTCTGATCAGAACAATTGAAATACGAAAAATGAATTCCACCTTTCTGATTGATGATTATATTGATAATATATTCTCATGTGACGCTATACCATATAAGTAGATCATCCAATGATCTCAAAGGTGACAGCGTGACGGGTAAGCCTTTCTCTTAATGTTGTTCCTCGGAAAGCGAAGCCCGGAGTCAAACATCCTCCTTCGAAAGGCATTTTCTCAGCTTCGTCTAATATTGTCAGTCCCGATTGAATGAGACATCGCGATGTGGTTTCATAAGCTGGATCAGGAGCCGAGATGAGACATCGAACCGTCTTGTTGGGTGGGTTCTTGTAATCCTTTTCACCCTCCTTTAAATCCTCAGACCAACCATGACCAACACAAAGAAAGGTAAATGAAAGATCTTCCACTTGTTTTCGCGTTGGTCCCGTTTTCGAGAAAAAACCTGCGGTCATGAGTTTGGGATATTTAAGAAGCAATTTTCTGGTAAAGGTGAAAAACACCATAAACCCAATATAGAAAAACGCGAGAATAGCTAATAGAACATGATAAAATTTAGGAACCACAAGATATTCCTCGAATTGCGCAGCTTTCTCATCGTTATACTCGTAAAACCAACGCTGACTATTCTTGACGATATCACGATCACCGATTGGAACAGGAATACACCAACCATTCACCTCCTGATTCCACCATGGAAGCCATTTAATATTCCCTTTGTGACTTCGTTCTGGTAACTTTTTCTTGAACATTTCGGTAACATATCTCTTTCTAACCTCCATCAACGAATTGTATTCACCGAAAGCAGTTACTAATGAATGTAATGTACCATAATTAACTGTCATTCCATGATTTCCTTGCTTCGATTTAACAAATGCTTCGACTTGGTTCAATTTTCCAGGGCCAAATGATTGCTTCAAACAATCCGTTCCAATCTCAGAAGGGATAGCATCATATCCACAGGCCCCAACAATATAAACACCCGCTTTTCGCGCTGCTTCATGGTACTTGAATTGAATCCCTTCAAGATATTGTGGTTCCCCTGAAACATCAACCATGTGAGCTTTTTTCTGTTCAGGGAAAAAGATAAATTGATATATTGATACGTAAATTAGTATGATAATAGTAATTGTTTTAAATATGATAAAGGTAATTAAATTAAACGTAAACAATGAAGTTGATTGATTGACAATGAAAATAACGATAATTCTATTAGATAAATCGTAAGTCATGAATATAAATCAACAGCTATTTGATTACCTTATGTCGATAATCAAATAGTCAGGCAACAAGTAGATGCATGTTTGTAAAAAGATAAACGATAAAACAAGTTAAACTATTGGAATTGTTACCAAACAAACTCTAACTGATTATTAATTAAAATGATAGTCAGTAAATAGCTCGAGCAAATACTAGACGAGAGTGATATTGAATTTAAAACACAATAGACTTAATGATTTTCTTTAATAGCTAAAAATATCACACAATCAGTACTAAATGGTAACATTTAATCCATTGCTAAATCATGTCAGCAATTGAACCAAATACAGAGGTGATTTCATAGAAACTCAAGAATTATCATACATAACTGAAAAGGCCAATTATAAAAGGTGAACTAACACTTTATGCAGGAGGAGATTTTGAAATCATCTGTACTATCATATCAAAATAATGGAATTATATCACAATTTATGCAGTTTTATATTACCAACAATCAGATTAGAAATTTCCTTGACAATAAAATAACAATTAGATGAATGAAACAATAAACTTTGATAGTAATTATTGATGATCAGGATCAATTGATAAAAAATTGAAGTATATAAAAACTATTGGTTTTCAAGAATGAGAAAATATTAAAGTGTTAACGAGGACAATAAGTTTCCTAGTAATTAAAACTAATTGTAAATCAAAATGAAATCAATATTGTTGTTTGTTGCTTGTGTTTCTGTTGTTATTTCATCAACAGTCTCAGTTAAAATCACTGGTACTTGTCCAACACCAACCAAACCACCAGGAATTGACTATTGGTATTTCAGTTATGTAAGTAATTATGAACGATTATTAATATTTATAATATTCTCAATTGAACTGATTAATAACAATTAATTTGCTTGCAGTTCACTGGAATCAAAGGATGGTATGAAGTTGGACACAGCGATGAAACTGTCCCAAGAACTGTTTATAATACTATTGAGTTCGATCATCTTTACCCTGGAAAAGTCTACATGTTGAGAAAAGGAGCAACTAGAGATATGTAAGTAAATTATCAGTTCAATAAATGAAGAGAAATATATTGACAAGACAATTAATTGTCCAACAGAGAAGTCCAATCTCTTTGGGATAAAAAAGTTGATTACGTTGTCGGTGATTTCGATGGCAAATCTTATTATGACATTTTGGATGATGACGAGCCAGTTTCATTCAAATACACCAATGAAGGTAAGAATCAACAATAAGATTGAAAATTTCTGAGCTAATTACTGATTATTGTTCAATTGCTACAATTAGATGGTAAACGAGTAACTGTTTCGATGCCTTACTACAATGAATTCACTGCAATGATTTCAACCTGTTCTGACAATGGCGATGGAACCGTTGACCGTAAGTATTTGAATCAATCAATTTATCGATAGATTTACAATTAAATCAAATTAATAATTTTCTTTCCTCAATTTAAATTATCCAACAGTTAAAGCCTGGTACATCTCACGAGCTAAAAAACGTTCCATCCCAGATGAAGTACAAAAAGTTGCTAAATCTTTGATTGGTAAAAATTTGTCTGAGACCTGTCAAGGTGATTTCTGTTAAACAACCTCACGATAAAATAATTATTTGATTTATTGATTACAATGATTAAAACATAAACTAAAGATCTTAATTATTTAAAGCATACAAAATTTGATTTCTATTTTCATTCCAACTCAAAAGTATCATTTCAATTGTTTCTTTGTCTTTAAAATAAATGATTGCTTTGATTTAAACAAATTCCCATGGTCAACTAGTTAATTTACAGATAAATTATTTCAAGGATAATCTTTTCTCAGAAAAACTTTACACACTTTTCCTCATCGCAATAGTGACAATTTATTACAATTTACTAACCTGAATACAAGCTCTTACAACTTGTTCACCATATAAGATGTAAGGACCACAGGTATTGAGAACAACCTTTGACTTTTCACACATTGACAATAGACTTTCCTCATCTGAAACATCAGCGATTATCAGGCCAACAGAGTCAAGATTTCGATCCAATTGAAGAGCCGTTTCCTTTAAAAGTGTCTCCAATTTTTCCTTATTTCTTCCAGCGATTGAAATTTTGAAAGATCTTTTGTCAATCTCTTCCCATAGAAGCAAATTACGGAAAACATATTTACCAGTATAACCAGTGGCACCGAACACAGTGAAATCAAACTCCTTTTCACTCATGGTAAATTTCAACTGAGACTATGAACTAAAAGATCAACACACAATAACACCGACAAGTTAACAAAAAGTCACAATTAAATTTGTCAATTTGTTTGAAGGAAATTGTTGGCAAATGAACAACAATTGAGATGAGAAAGGAAAACAACAACAAATACTCAAGGTTATCCTCGAATTGAGAAACACCAGACGGAGCCAAAGTCGATTGTTGAATTAAATTAATTTCTAAACATTCAATCAATCAAATTAAAGATTTATTTTCAATTCGATGGAATCAATTAAAATAATCTCAATCATGATGGAAATTTGTACGAAATCAGACAGATGAATGAAGAGATAAATGATTTAGCACTTTAATCTTGATTCGAAAATCGCGCCTTGGAAAACAGCTGATTTTCTGTCGCCAGAAGATTTGTTTTCATTGAGAAACTTTCGCTTATTTTAAAGTTAATTGTGTTCCTTTTGTCTGTGGCTTTAAATGCTATCAATTATCAGTTAATTAACTTGTCTAATTATGGCTCGAGATTATATGGGAAAGTAGAGGATAGGTAAGTCTTGTTTTCTTTTTTTGTCCCGGTTAAAACTCTTTTGGAACAACAATAATTAAATTTTAAATACTCATCTAAATGTGAGTTTAAGTTACATTATTGGAAAAGTAATTAACTGATTTACTTGTTTTAGAAAATTTTTCTATTTTTAACAATTGACCAAGTGGAGCTGTGTAACAATATGAATGAATCAATCGAGTTAATTGATTGCACTCAGGATGATGACGAAGATCAATCTGAAAGCCTGGGCTATTTTAGAGTTTCTAGACGGAAAAATCAAAAAAGACGTAAATTAGCTTTTGAAGCTAATCCGATTGTTGCAGAATTTGAAAATTCGACTGACTATTCTTTCCAAATTATTGGTACGTATTATCAAGATAGAATTCTTGATTAACTGATCAATCTTGATAGTGATGCAATCGACACATGATTTGTATTAGTCATTGTTTTAAATTTGCTTTTCTTTCATTTTATCAGTTGATGGATATAACTCACAATTTGCTTATAAAAAGCTGACCAGTTTTCACTTCGTTATTGATTCATCTGATTCAAATACCAATTTCGATTGCTCTGGATTCAAACGCGCCGCTTTATTAGTTAGTGCCGATTATCTTACTTCCATGTTGGTACTTAGAAGAGGACTAGAAGTTATTGGTCTCACTGGGAACTTGGAACAAAAATTTTTTGATGACACTACCTTCAATTATTGGAAACATGTTAATTTCATTTATTCAATTGAAAGTGACCAGTTGGATCTTCCATCAAACGAGATTAAAGGTGGAAGACGAATCAAAATTGACCTGTTTTTCAAATCAAATTTAGTTTTTGATTGTGCCCTAGACGATCAACCTTTTACAAATCAAAACTGTAATGTTTTAACCGTTATGAATGAAATATTTAACCATCCAAAAGTTGATTTAAATGCAAACTATTCTGAACCTCATCTTGATGTTATGAGTTCAGTTCTTGAACAAGTCAGAAAGTGTCACGATCAACAGGAGTCTACAGTTTACTTAATCCAGCCAGAGAAACTTCGTCCAACTTTAAGAAATTATCAAAAAAAAGCTGTACAATGGATGTTGAAACGGGAAAAACAGACTTCAGAATCTGATACAAAAAGTGACTCCAAACCTCATCCACTTTGGACTTTTAATAGTACATTAAATTTACAGTACAACTTTTATGGCGGATTTTTCCGATCAAGTAGAGATGAAATGATTCTTGGACCAAAGGCTCTTGGCGGTATTCTTGCCGATGAAATGGGACTTGGTAAAACTGTCGAAATATTGGCCTTATTGTTAACGCATCTTCGTCCTGAGTCTGAAATTGAAGCACCAGATATCGTGCCGCTGTCGGGTAAAAAACATCAAGCTCGATATTTGTGTCGATGTGGAGTGAAAACAAGGACTGAATATGCAACACCAATAAGTTGTCTTCGATGTAGATCAATTCAACATAAAGAATGTATCAAATTTAACGCAACTAAATGGAAACACTTACCTTATTATTGTCCAAATTGTTGGGATGATCCAAATATAAGTAAACTTAAGTCACGAGCAACTTTCATCATTACTCCAAACTCAATTCATCACCAATGGAAACAAGAGATTCGTAAACACGTTGATTTAAGATCACTCAAAGTTCTGGAATACAAAGGAGTTTCTGCCAATTATATTTATCCTTACGAATTGGCTGATCAGGATATTGTGTTAGCTTCTTATGAAACACTTGCCAATGAATTAAGATTTGTTGACCTCCCGAAAGAGGAGAGATTACGTCGACCTAAAAGATTTAATCAACCACCTACACCTCTCACAGCAATCAATTGGTGGAGGGTAGTTCTTGACGAAGCTCAAATGGTGGAAAGTGTATCTACAAATGCTGCAACCATGGCGGGAATTTTATCAACGGTTAACCATTGGTGTGTCACCGGAACTCCAATTCAAAAAAGTGTCAACGATATTTTTGGCCTAATTATGTTCATCGGAGAAAAGCCATATTGTTCTAGACTATGGTGGAAACTGTTAATCGCTGATCCTTATTGTAAAGAAAATTCTGAACCTTTAACTAATCTTTTGAAAGAGTGTTTCTGGCGAAATACAAAGGACGATGTTGCCCGTGAATTGGGTCTACCTGAACGAACAGAACATATCATTAAGGTTGATCTTGCGCTTATTGAGAAGCATTTCTATGTTCGTCAAAAAGAAAAGTGTTTACGAATGTTCGCTGAATGCTGTCGTATGGCTTATCTAGATGATCTCGATGTCGCACTAAAACGCATGGACAATAAATCGTGTCAAATGCTGATGAATCCCTTGTTGAAATTACGTCAAGCTTGTTGTCATCCTCAAATCGCTGGAGCTCAAATCATGACCATGTCAAAGAAAACAATGACAATGGAAGAGGTTCTAGAGACTATGATTAAACGAACCTCTTACGAATGTGAAGAGCATCATCGTAAACTTATAGCTTCTCTCAATGGTCAAGCGGGTATTCAAATAATCAAAAAAGATTATTCTAAAGCCATTGAAATCTATCGAAGTGTTTTGACTTCTATCGAAAGTTTTAAAGAAAAATTTAGAACCGATAAACTTCAACTTTATCATACTCTTTACAATCTTACTGATATCATAAAGACAATTAAGGGTAAACAAAAGGACTCGATAACGCTATGTGAAGATACTGTTGGTGATAAATCACCAACCACTGTGTCAATGGACCAAATTGGTAATACTCTTAGGGATGAAAATTTATCGACTGAAACTGATTCAATTCGAAATGAATATTTAGCCACTGCCGATACAGCGATCCAAGAAGCAAGAGAACAATTGAAATCTATTATGGAAAATACTTCATCTCAAGTGTCGATTTTATCATCAGATTGGTGGATAGAAGCTCTTGGTATGATAATCGATAAAAATGAAGAAGCTGCATTTACGAGTAGATTAAAAGAAGGACTTGAAGAACGTGCTCTCCGTAGTTTGGTTAAACAAGGAAAAGTTTATCAATATTTGACAGGAAAACATCGACAAATATCTGGACTCGAATTAATCATTGTCATGAGTTTAGATGAAATTAAAATGATTCGAGAAAAGCTAATTGATTCTGTTGTTAGCATGAAATCCAAGCCTGATGACCTTGAATTTAATCAAGCTATTGAATGTCACTTGAGACCTGGTAAAGATGAAGAAGGTAACATTGCGCCAGGACCAAAATGTTCCTACTGTTTAATTCACGAGACGTTCAACGATTATGAAGGAAAATTGTACTTTCTACTTGAAAAACAGAAAATCAACAGAAAACGTCGATTTGCAGATGAAGATGAAGATGAAGTTGATGTAAATATTTTAGAAGAGCAGAGAAAAGGTAATTGGTCTAAAAGTGAAACTGAACAAGTTCTAAAAACTATCAGTAGCTTTATTTCAAAGTACGATAATTCCACCGAGAGTCAGAGAGAAAAAGCCAAGAAAATGTTGGAACTTTTCGAACAGCTGAAGAAGGAATTTCGAGCTTTAAGATCCGTTTGGATCAGTATTTTCGATTTCGTCTCAAGATTAGACGAACTCAATATGGCCACTATTCGATTGAGAAAAATTCATCGCAACGAACTCAAACCTGATGAATCAATAAATTATATTCTGGAAGCTCATGAGATTGAACCAAATTTAATTCAGCTCCAAGCTGACGAGAAAATTTCTAAAGCTGATCTTCAGAAAAATCTTTCTCATCTTAATTTTCTGACTAATCTTAAAAAATCAAATTTCTGCAAGGAAGGAGGGTCGAACCCAGAACCATGTCCAGTTTGTATGCACCTTCTTGGGAAAACTTGGAGCTCACTTAGTTGTGGCCATTCTTACTGTTTGTCTTGTTGTAATCTCATGATCGATGATAGCGGTGCCGAGATGGACAAACCTGAGGGACAATTCAGATCAATTAGATGTCCTATTTGTCGACAATTCACCAAAATCAATGATATTATCCATGTTGCCACAAACAGTGTTAATTCGGACGAAGATAAGATCCAGGTTAAAGGTTCGTGGTCGTCAAAAGTCGAGGAAATTGTACGAACTTTGCTGCAAATTCGTTCGAAAGCACCGTCAGACAAATGTCTCCTTTTCTCAAGTTGGACCTCGTTTCTTATCCTGATTGGTCGAGCTTTATCTGAGAATGGAATTAGTCACATTCTCGCCGATAAACCAAAAAAATTCACAATTAAAATTGATGAATTTAAAACTGGTGACATTTCGGTTCTTTTGATGCCAATTCATCTTGGATCAAAAGGTCTTAATCTTATCGAAGCGAATCATGCGCTGCTGGTCGAACCTCTTTTAGATCCATCTCACGAATATCAGGCCATCGGTAGAATCCATAGAATTGGTCAGACAAAGTAAGTGACCTTGATTTCCATCCAAAATTTAGCTGAGACTTTTGTTCACTAATTGATTAATTGTTTCCCTTTATATCCATTTCTTATCTTAGGCCAACTCATGTCTATCGATTCATTGTGAACCAAACAATCGAGGAAAAGATCAACGAAATGTTTTCTCTCTCATTTAATTACAATGCATATTCTAATTTAATTGATAACCAAGGAGTTTGTAATACTGTGAAAGATATTTATGATCTTCTTCTAGCCGATGTATCATCGAAAATGGAAATCGAAAACGATTAGAATCAATGATCGTCCAATAATTCACAAAACTTTTTTTGAATCAACTAGAATTATTTCAATCAACTAACTGTATTTTTTACCATCTTTAAATATTATTAATTAAACGTTTTATTTTTTTTACACTACTAATCGTAAATTGGTTTTATTGTGACGAGAAAAAGATCCAAGAAAAGATTTTCAGAATTGAAAATTTCGTTACCGATTCTTTTGGATAAAAGTAAAAAATCTGAATATCATCTAACTTTCCCAAGAATATATAATATTAAGTAACTGGATTTTAATTTTTCCACTAATTGACTAAATTCATTTCACGAGAAACCTCAAGGTCGTCAAGTTAATCGAATGCGGAAGCATAAATTTAATATCGAACTTTTTCTCTTTTCAAATTTCCCGCTTTTCGTTTGTGACGTTTGAGTGTCGATGGAAACTCTTTGGGGGGAAGATGTTGATCGTTGGTTAGTGTAACCTTTTAATTTTGTTTTTCTGAGGAAGAGACAGAAAACTTTTCATTTTTATTGTAACAATTAAATTTAATTGTTTTAGTTTATTTTTATTCTTTTTTGTTTCTTAATTTGCTTAATTTGGGTCAATGTTTTTCTTTAATAATGAGTGACTCTCCAGTTTTGTTTGGAAATTATGTTTAATTTGTTTTCTTCTTTTAGTTTAATTTCCTCTTCTTCTTATTGTGTCATCTCTATTTCCATTTTTCTTCTCACCGTAAAGGTCAATTTAACTTCTGGTCATGTTGGTCAACCTTGTAACATCTTCGGCATTTGTTGGCCTCCGAGTATTCACATTTACTGTGATGATAATCATGTCTGTAGATGTAGACCTGAAACCCCCGTAATCGTTGGTCCACATCAATGTAAACGTAACAAATCTCATGGAGATAAATGTTCAACTGACCAGGAATGTATTTACTCGGATAACTATTCTTTCTGTGATTCAAATCTGTGTAATTGTGTTACTAATTATACTTATGATCCTTACCTGATGAAATGTTTACACACTTCAATTCAACAACGGTCAAGTTTCAATGCTTTTTACACAATGTTATCTTCGGCAGCCTTATGGATAATCTTGTTACTCATCGCTCTATTTATTAGTATTCCTTGTTGTTTGGCTTTTCTTTACCATTGTGTTTGTTACGAGAAGTCAACGGGAGATTCTAACCTGTGCCGAGATACAAGTATTAGATTAAGACTGGCCGAAAGTGGAGTAAATCTGAATGAGGAAGCAAGAGAATGTAATGGAAATATGAGAAATGGAGGAGATGGAACTCGAATTTCATTGCGTCACGATGAATTATCTTCTCGACAATCCTATGAATTAAGCTGCTTAGATGAACCCCCTCCATCCTACGACGAAGCTTGTAAACGATGTCAAACGGAACCAATTTTGTCCGAACAACGAAATGATAACTAATCCATATCCGACTTCATTTCATTCAATTGATTTTAAACTTTTCTATCTGATCACCTTGGAAATCAGGTGTGCCAATAACATTACTATTCATTGGATTTATTTTGTTCTCTCCATTATCATTGTTCTGTTATTATTCTATTATCCTGGAGGAAACGCAATTCAATCGTCTTCCTCTACAATGAAGCCAAAAAAACCAAGCAATAGGAAATCGAAGTCCTTATAATCTTGGAAATGGATCAATGGTTCATAACAAATTAACGAGATAAATTTAATCTGCCACTAACTTGAAATCATCATCACATGAACCTCGATTCAATTACAGTGATAACAACGTGCATTTAATTACAGCTCTATCTTTTTTATATTTTTCTTTTGATCATCGATAAAATTGATGTTTCATCGTAACTAAATATGGCTCATCATCGACCAATAATTAACACATTACCAATAGAGTTGAACATAATCACAATTAATCTTCCATACACATAATAAATGTGTAAATATAAGGAGATGACAAAAACCTTTAAATCTGATTTGGAATACACTGAAATCAACTATTTAACTTAATCATCAAGCTAATTTCCTCATTTACGATTCAAAGCTTATCCAAGGGGCAATAACTTTCAACCAAAGTCACACAAACTTCATTTGATATCAGCAATCGAGTCAACGAAAGCACAATTAATATTTTAAATCAAAGACCAATCATATCATCGATTCCTTTAATTCTTGACTCTTTCTCTTTGAATACAAAATTTACCTTAATCAAAAGCATAATAATGTCTCTAATCTCCATGTAATTAACCAATAATTCCCATCAATCAAAAGCAAAAGAGAGACAAAGACCTAACCATCACTAATTCCAGTCCTCAATCATATACAATTAGAAGATAAACTGATTGTAAATTGTAAAAAAAGTCAATGTTCCCTCCAGTTCATCAACTATTATTATGTATTTGAGACGCAAGTTAAAAGTGCCTCAAAACGACACAAAGAAATCAAAACAATTTATCATCAAATAAGAATATTTTTTCTTATCATCTCAATCATTTAATTACTGTCTCCATAAATCTAATCCTTGATTGTGAATCTGATTTAACATTAACCAGATCATCAGTAAATATGAATCATATTACTCTCATCACCGTCGGATCTGTTTGATTATCTTTCATGAAAAAGATTCATTGACAATTAATTTATAGCTTAATAAAGTTACAAAGTTTAAAGGGAACAAGATGAAGACAAGAGAGAGTAAAAGAAAGCAAGAAACAGAAAGAGAAAGAGAAGATAATGAAGACAAGAAAGACGAGAAAGATAAAGGGGAGAGAGAGCGAAAAATTGATAGTAATAGTAAGTTATTGTTTTCTCATCATCATGAAGGTGACTTTGTGTCATAAAAAATGAAGGTCAACCCATGGATCTGTATCGGAATCAAAAAGCCTTTCAGAAGAAAGTAAAAGAGTTTCAAAGAGAATCAAATTAATGGAAATGTTTAGACTCCAGAAAGTGATTAAGAAGATAAAATGATGTTTCATGATTATCACCATGATGATGATGAAAGACGATGTTGGAATTGTCGGAGAAGAAAAAAATATGATTGTGTACACACAATATCTGTGTAAACAATTATTTCATCGAGTTGAATGTAACTGTAATTAAGAATTGATTATCATCATCATGGTTAATTGTGGTTACTATTTTTTTACACATAAAAACCAGAACGACTGATTAACTGTTATTAACTGTTTAGCTTATGAAAGTTCATGAAAATTATTTTTTTTTGAAATCTATTGTTGGTAATAAAATATTGTTACAGTTTAATTTGAAAATCGAAATCATTATTTCACCAGCAATTAACAGAACCGGGTTTTTTAGCAATACAAATACAATTGTTCTAATAGCTAATAATTAGTTTGATAATTTGATAATAACAATCAACTGGTAGTTAAAATTATTAATTTGATTGACAGTTTCATCTACTTGTCAATACTAAGCAAGTGACAATTAAAAAGCCAAGTAGTTAACTGATCTCGACAAGAAATGTTTATTTAATCTTATCAGAATGATTCACTTACTATTACTAATCAATTTCCAGTTTTTAATTGGTAACAATTAATACCTTGTGCAGAAAAAATTAAGCAAGAGTGTTGATTAAAATGTAATTAGCTGATTACCTTTATTTTGTCACTGTTTATATTAAGACCATTAATCAATCATGATAAAGTTTAATTATCGTATTTTTATCTTTAAACTTAATGATGATGATTAAATGATCCAATTGTTGATCATTGATATTAACACTATTCTGGTGAAGAAATTGATTCCAACTTGATTACCTTGATTGACTTATCATTGATCAAGGATATTCAATTGTGATTCATATTCACTCACCATAAATCAAACCATTAAGGTTAATTGTAGCTGAATTGATTACAATGACACTTAAATCACGATGTTTTCGTTTGTTTCAAATCCATTTAGATGTAACAAAATGGACAAATACAATGTAACATCAATAGATTAGGTCGCAGTTGGACACAGCGATCAAACCGTTTATAATACTAATGAGATTGGTGATGCTTACCAGTAAAACCTTAATGTTGAGAAAAGGAGCAACTAGAGATCAGTGAGTAAATTATCGAATTGAAATGAAAGAAATATATTGACAAGACAATTAATTGTTCAACAGAGAAGTTCAATCTCTTTAGGGCAAAAAAGTTGATTATGTTGTCGGTGATTTCGATAACTTCTTCTTCGACACCTTCATCAATATCGGTATCTTCGTCATAAGGTGACATTGTTTTCTTCCGGCTTGGCATCTTTCTACCAGCTCGACCATCTTGAGCTAAACTCCAAATACCCTTCCCAGGACATGGTTGCTCGCAAGAAGAAGTACAATTATGATTCGGAGCTCCTGGAAACTTGCAACGATCCTTCTCGTGCCGAGTGCCATTACCTTCACGGGCGAAAGGACTGTCACAATATTGACAGTAATATTTATTGGGATCACGTTCAGGATCATTGTCAAGCAAGAAGACCATAATAATTTACGATCAGCAGGTTTAAGACCATAAGGAACTTCTCTTAAAGTAGATGATTTGACACTGGTTATATCAGCATTTAAACTGAGTGTATTTTTCCATTTAATAACGCTGACATTTTGCCATTTTCCATTTACCTTAATTCGTTGGGACCGAACAATACGACTGATCTCATATTCCCCATCAGCAGATTGAGCAGTTTCTTTAACAGGTGAATCAGTTTTGGTTCAATATTGGTGGTCAATCGGGGACGTTTATTTTGTTCAGGTGAAACTGAACGCAAGTGGGCAAAATCCTTACGAGGACACTTGACAGCAATTGGAGGTGTTGGTCTGGAATTGACAACACCAGTACTAATTGGATGACGAGTCATGGTAAAAGTTGGTGAGGAATAAAATAAAGAAAACTTGGACAATAGAAAATTCAGAAAACTGTCTACAATTTCACGGAGTGAATAATGATGAAGTGGTGGAAAATGTCACGCTTCTTATACTGACCAGCCCTAAATTTTAACCAATCAAAGCTCTTTGTGAGTTAAACACCAACTTTGACCCTACGAGAACTCCCACCGGAGGATAAAAGGAGCTTAGTTTATGACCCGAGAGGCAATATAATCTTGTTAATCCTCGAGTGCAGTTGCACTTTTTACTTTAAGCCTCTTTACGAATAAAGATTATTTTCATTTTTAACCCTAATCAGTTTCAGTTTTAAGTTCCAACTAGAAAGTTGTTACAATATTGTCTGTGATTTCGATGACAAATCTTATTATGACATTTGAGCTGATGGTGAGCCAGTTTAATTCAAATACACTGATGAAGGTGAGAATCAACAATAAGATTGAAACACTGAGATCTGAATCACCTTATTTCTTGAGTTCATCCAATAGTGCGTTTTTGTTCTCCGTTTGTGATCGGCCGATCCAACCGAATTCTCAAATGTTTTAGCATTTCTATGCGGACAATCTGTGAAATGCATGGTTAATTGTGGAGCGTATCAATACCAAGTTGTAAGTATTTAAGAACATTATGTCATTACATTAAAGATGGATCGATATCAACAATCATACAAACTTTTCTATTGTCACTCAATTTAGAAATGAAACGGAAATGAAAAAAACAAATTATTATAATTGATCAAAAGTTATTTTAATTGTTTCAACTATTGCATTTGATTGTACAACTAAAAGACTTACTGTTACACTTTCGATTCCACCACTTTGTGTCGGTTGACTTTGATCAATGAGATACAGAAAAACGAGTGTCTTCGACTCATGGAAGTATCTGGAATGTTTTCCAAAGTGTTTTTTGTTGATTCGTAGATCCAATTGAATAGATGCTAAAAGCTTCTTCGAACGATGTAACAAGAACTGACTGTTGTTTAGTTTGGGTTGAATATGCTCATCATCAGTAAAAAAGGGAAGAGGTGGAATTGAGCCATCCGATGGAAGAGCCAAAAGGTCATAAATGAAATTGCTTTAAGTTGAAGTGTGATAAGTAAAAAGCATGTTGATATGAAATATTATTTTCTTCTTTATTGCCAACTGCATGACTATCGTTGTTTTCAATGTTCGAGAGAGCTGATTCTTGGTCAGTTGAGTCCGAAGAATCAATTTTCCCACATGGATCGATAATAAAAGAACGTTTAGAAAAAATCATTCCCAGCGCAAGTGAAACTAAACCAGGGTCAGAACTTTGATCTTCAATTGACCCTTTCATCGTGTATGATTGTCCAATACAGAAGAGCAAACCATTGACTCCGTTGAGAACGTCGTTAATTAAAGGTAAACAGCATTTGGAGAATACGCTTTTTTGACTCACCGAATCATCTAAAAGCTCAGTAAATGCGAATAACCTCATGAAATCACCTTTATCCCTATTGGAATCACTTTTTCTCAAATCAACAGATAAAATGTTGGAATCAATCACTTTATAAGGTCCATTCTCTTCACCTGAGGACTTGGTCGAAGGTTTAATTCTCAAGAAATGAGCAAATTTTGACGATAATAATTCATTACAAGGTGAAAGGTCAACACAATTCAAATTATCCATTACAGTTTGAGGGAGAAATGTAAATAAATTTAGAAAGACATTAAATTATTCACTCTTTGAGGTTAACTGATTGAATTAAATTAAAGAAACCAAAGAAAATAAATTGCAGGAGTCACCTATTGGTGTAAAACTTTTCTTCTTATTTGTCCAATTTAAATTGATTAATGCAATCAGTTGATAATAGAGATTAATTGTAAGACATTTTCTTGATACAGCGATGAATTTACTCCAAAGAGTAATAATCTAAAGAGTAATAAAGTAAAATCATAAAAATAATCATTAGAATAATAATTAATTAGAAAAATTGATTAATTAAATCTCCATTGACTTGCTGTAGTTTTTGCTATTTACTTGAGCTCCACCTGGTTCATCGGTGTGAACTAATTTTCCTGTTTTTTTGTAGTCTGCAGTCTCTTCCTATTACTCTTTGATTTACTCTCTTCACAAGCAACAGACAAATTCAGAACAATGGGCTTTTAGAAATTTTATTAGAAACCAAACCAAAATTGAAATCGCGAACCCAAAATCATTCGAGAAAAATCCAACTCTCTCGAGTTTCTTTTTCAATAGTCTCTAAGCATAAAAAATTGGATGATTGTCCTTAGCAATTAAAAATATCAAACAATTAGTACTAAATGGTAACATTTAATCCATTGCTAAATCATGTAAGCAATTGAACCAAATACTATCATATCAAAATAATGGAATGCTATTATAATCAATGCAGTTTTATATTACCAACAATCAGATTAGAAATTTCCTTGACAATAAAATAACAATTAGATGAATGAAACAATAAACTTTGATAGTAATTATTGATGATCAGGATCAATTGATAAAAAAATTGAAGTATATAAAAACTGTTGTATAAAATAATGACCGGTTATAATTATTAGCACTCGACAACTGAGTTGTCACAATTTGGCTACGATATTGGCAAAATCCAATATGGAGACA